ATCAAGAGCTACAATTTTTGTATTTGCGGTTTTAGTCTATCGCCTATGCTGTTCGCCCTCAATCTAGACGCGAAGACGTCATTTAATATTACGACGTACTGCAAGGCTTCAGAAAACAAGTATTTTCTCGAAAACCAGTCACCCTATTGAAAAATTCATATACCGGGAAAAGTGGGAAATCCAGGGATATCACCTCTATTTTATACATTGTTTTCGATAATTCGATTTAGACAGTATCATAAATTGTGTCGAGAGAGAGATTCAGTTTTCGTGTATCATACAGGGTACGTATTCGAAAATACCCCGCAGCATCAATGCTTAATCAAATTGAAAACAGTCCATGCACGTTCAAATAATTTTTTCAAGTTTCTACAAATATTCGTTACGGTCCATCTGTTATGGTGGATTTTACCACGGTCCTGCGAAACTCTCTGGTTAAATGCACTATATTTTTGATCGTACAATACTTACGTAGATTACTATTTTCGTTTGTAGCTGCAAAATCTAATAATGGCATCGTCATTAAAGTATTATAACTAGACTCTGAGATTGGACTACGATTTTGGGTGGTTAGGGTTTGTCGAAGCCGTGAGTGTCGTAGACGCTCCGGTCGTGTATCGAAGGCGGAACGACAAAAGGAAATTGCCTCGGAGCAGATCCGTAAAAAATTCACTTTGCCAGAGCTAGACGCGAGGGACCAATTGCATTGGCGTGCACGGAGAGGGAGCGGAGCACGTGTTGCGAATTTAATGCAACGACAGGCGCGACGATAAACAGCGAATTCGATTTCTTATCGCCGGATGCATATTCAAGAAGGCAAGTGAAAAAGAAAACACGCTCCCTATGACTGCGTGTCGGAGATACGAAAATATATTTTATTTTGGTTTCGCCGGTCTCTTCAATTAGTCGACTAATTTGAAACCTCGTCGTCTCTGCCATTCATCGAGAAGAAAATAGATCACATAGCGGACCTGAAATTTGCCACATAATTAAGCTTTTTCAAACCAGAAACTCTAATATATCATTCTGTCGCCACAGTGAGTGGAGCTTTAAACTTTCATCTCGCTCTTTGAACCGATAGAATTTTTCATTTCGCATTTTACTATTCTCGACGAATGTGTCAACATCAATCCAATATCGTGTTGAGTTTTATCCGCAGCCTCCAGTGGCGCCAGCAGGAAGTAAATCAACGCCATATTGGAGTAAGGTATAAAATAATGGCGTTTGTTCATAGTAAAAACAGAAACAAATAATATAGTAATTATCGGAATAGTATATTATGCAACACGTGCGGTAAACGGCATTTGAGTCAAGAGCGAGTTACTTAAATGGTATACCAAACGTTGGTTACGTTGGTTTTTTCATTTTTGTTAGTTTCATTTTTGCAAAACAATACGAATACATTCACTGACATGACCGTCAGAATTGACAAATGTCAAAATTCAAGCCGTGCGGTAAAATCTCCGAAAACATCGAATTGCTTTCAAACCCATCCGGTAATATCGCGGAAATGTCCGAAGTGGTTCGGGGAAACGAAACTGACGTGGTAAAGTGACGCTTCCCGCACGCTAGATCGGTGTGTAATTAGGTATTTTACAGACGGGAGTAGAAAAACAATATAACGTTTTAAAATTGTGTTTATTCCGTTGTTTATATGACATATCCAATAATACATCTCTCTGTCTAACGTACACAGTTAAAGAGGGACATAGGTTTAACCGCCACTAGTAAATATTTTATTTGTTTGTAAAATTTAGTAATCTGATAATCTGTTATTACATTTAATTTGTTAAATTCTGAGTTTTTCGTGAGGGTGGTGGAAAAAGTATAGTATGCGAGACATTTGGTAAACTCTTTATCTCACTCGTGAGTCAAATGCCGTTTACCGCACTGGTATAATATATTATTAACGATAATAATAAACTACGTGATGTGATAGAAAATTTCGCAAAACGGATGCATCAACAAAAAGGATTAGTTTCAGACTGGTTTATTTTGTACAAAAATACAATTTCTTTCTATTCAGCTACGTTACGTTTAAACATTAGAGGTCTCTAGGGAAAGAAGTTGTTTTCCATATTTCTTGTTTTGTTTTTGATGTTAGTCAGTTTTCTTATTTTCAATAATGTGTTTATAACAGACACAAAAGAGACTTGTATCAGCATAAATAGACAGGTTTAACTTTTTATTTGTTTTGAGGTTAGAATCAATTCAAAAATCTTCTTTTTATTATACCTCAAAATTTGAAAAAAGAATTAAAGCAAGTCCACAGTATATTCTAATTTAGAGCTTGCCTTAGTTTTGTGTTTGAGACAATATTAAAAATGTCAGGTAACTCAATATAAATTTTAAATATCATGGAAATACTTTTTAAAATTTTGTCTGAAATTATTTTGTAATGTTAACTTATTTGTTGTATAGAGAGAACGGTCGTCTGGAAATGTCAGGGGATTTGTTCTGTATTTGACCGAACGAACCCCGACGCGGATATAAAAAGGCAATCGTAAAGCCTTTTTCAGAAAATTCCGACTTTAAAAGGTAGGAAAAATAGAAGGAAAAGTTTGATTCGTTTCGCGTGTTTGGGAAACGCCTACTCAACGTCTTCCATCGAAAAGTTCCAAATCTTCCGTCCTTAAAGCGTCTTGTTTTTTTTTTATTATTTATTTTCCAGACGGTAATTTTACCGGACGTGTTAAGTTATGAAAAGGAAAACTTTCACCGGTAAACGGAAACTTTCGCGACTCGACTTTGAAGTATTTTGTTTTAGGCAAACAACGCTCGTTCTTCTTATTCTTGTATCGCGGTTTAAATTACATTCTCGAGCCCTTTTCTCGATTGCGTTTTCATGGCAAAACGTCGGCCTTTTGAAGTCGCTCCTTATTATTTTTCGGGTTCGTGAGAAACGGTGGCCGTCGTACCCTTTGAAGTTATGAACGCTTCTAAGAAATTATTTTGTTTTTAAATATCTTTATTTTCGAGGTCGATGAAATATGCAAATTACATGTTGTTCTTGGGATGCCCAGGAAATTAAATACAAATAGCAGAAAATATCGGGAACATTTTTAATGAAACAATAGTTCTAGCTGTGTACTCACGACGAAGTTATCTAAAACAACCTTCACTTCTTTCACAAAACGAGCAAAATCTGTTGTATTTAAGTCACTCAAATTCCGTTTACCACACTCGCTGTTGAATCTGTGACTGGCGTATGGTTCAAAGTTATTCAGTGATGGGGTGACTTTAGATCCAGAACCTGGTTCATTTCTCTTCTTCTTTCCATAACGTGGGCGCGTCAACTAAGGACATTCGCCTATTACCGACTTCCGGCTTAAAAGAAACATTAAATTTGACAACTATTTTAGGCTGTTTGGTATACTGAACAAATTGTTACGTTCATTTTAATATCAATTTCGATTAGTTTAGTTAGTTTCGGTTTAGTTAATTATTAACAGTTGACAAATTTAACAGAATCAGCTTAGAACAGTAACTGAAACCTAAAAATGAAAAAATTGTATAATATAGTATGAAGTTACCTGTTCTATGTATTGTAATCTAATGTTATTTATACTATGAGTGGACAACTCACATTCTGTGGTGAATGGTAACCAATGAATAAACGTAGGGAGGTGATTGTTTTTATGTTGCTGGGTACGGCTAAGAATTTGTAATCAGTTAATACACTTCGTGAATTAAGATGTTGACTTTCATTTAGGATTAGAAAACTCCTGAATATTAGAAAAATACAACGTGATTGGCTAGAAGCAGCCCCGCAGTGCAGCGCAAAGTGTTTTCTTCATGAATAATAAACATTGTCTCGCGAATTGCCGTCAGTTTCTAGTGTACCTCTTAATCAGTACGAAGAAGGAAACCGGGCGACGTTGTCAGCGAGTCATACGTAAAACTAGCGTCTCGTAATGTATTTCCATTCAACAAAAAATAAGTGGAAATATGCAACGAGTGTAGTAAACGGCGAAAACATCCAATTGCTCTCAAACAAATGTCCGAGGTGGCTCTGATCCGTGGGAAATAAAACAGACTTGGTAAAACGGCATTTTTCGCAAGCTTGATCGGTGTATAATTAGGTATTTTAAAGAAGTAGAAAAAATGATTTGGTTGAAGCTCCTTTTTAACATATATGCAAACAAAAGCCACGATTAAATGTTATCGCTGTGACTTAGGCTTACCTATTTTGCATGAGTATTCTGATATTATTCATATTATATTTATCTATATTTATATTTATGTTATGTTATTGAGATATTCTATGTAAAAATGAAAATCGATCACCTAACTAACCAAAACTTAGTAGAACTGTGTTAATCTCTCTAGATTTCCCCAACGAAACTTTTATACTTTTGGCAACTCTGGCGCGAAGAACGAGTGAAAATTTGCATGGCCCCGGAAAAATAATAGATTTAATGGAGACGGCGGAAGCCGGGCTCTTCGAATGATACGACCGTTTGTAGTTGATTACGACGGCAGCGGCAGGCTTCGCTTATTGTCGTTCTAGAGGCGGAAGAGAACAAACGAGGTTGACTAGTTCCCTCGTATATTTGTCGGTAGACGTTTTTTCGACTGGGAAACTCCATTTTCCGCGCCCGGAATTTAATAAGAAGAGAAAACCGTAAGGATTGAGTGATTTAGAGGTGCTTAGTTCAACGATTAAAGTCTCTTGCTATTAAACCGACAAAACAAGCAAAGGCGTGGCCGCCACAGAACACTGACTCAATCTTATTCCGGACTGATTGCTTTTCATAATCGAACAGTAGAGATAAATCTTTTCCTTCGTTTTTCGATAGCATCACAAGAGTGGATAATGAATAACATTGCTGCTTCTTCTAAAAGTGTAATTGTTTTTGTGTCTTACGTGTTTATCAATAAATCCAATACCAGACTTAAACGCCATCAAAAGCAAGGTTTCCTTAGAAAACTTCTTGCAATTGGAAAACGTGCTGTTTTAAATCGTCGAATTAACCAACTGATAATGCTTTTTATTCCAGAACCTATTATGAACTCTACGATGCAAAACGACAACTAATCTTGGGTGCAACAAAATACGTAGACGTGAGTAGTTTTCTTCATTTCTTTGGATTTATTACCTAAAGTGTTCGTTGTGTAGTTGGACAAATCATATCTAGATTAAAGTCGTGACGATTGGGTTGAGAGTTATAAAGTATTAGGCTGTAAGATTGGCCAATTTTTTTTCAGTGCGGCGATGCTGTGGTAATACCAAAAAATACACTGACTACCATATAAAATTTTGTTGTTGATTGTGATAAAATAATGAGTTTTGGATACGTGCAGATATCCTCAAAACAAAACTAAACTAAATCAATTGTTTACGTATTTTCAAATAATATTTAGCATATGGCAGTAAAAATTTCCCGGGAAATATAACCGTCGCGCGTTGTGTAATTATGGACGGGCCCCCACCTCTCGTCCTCCCCGAGGGCACCATTTTGTGTTTATTGTTTCGGATATTATCACGCACGATGAACAATATAATAAATAACGCTTTGTTTGTCGAATTAATTTCAGTGGAATGGACTTACGATATGGAGCGACCTCAAATTAAATATTTCGAATCCGTTTGTAGCGTAAAAAAGCTGTTTCGAAGCGGGTAGGCACACCTAAAGTGAGAACCATTTAATCCATAATGTCGATAAATTAATAAACTCGTTTTGCCGTACTAAGTTGTTGCATAAATAAAGATTTTTTTCCTCATATAAATCGAAATGTGTCCAATTTAAGTTTGTTTTGACGAGATAATTTTATTGGAACATGGATCAAATCGATATCCTCAATCAAAACTTTCTTTCGTTATTCTGTGGTTCCGTAATGGGCGAGTATCTTTAGTCCATTTGCCTAAGGTGATGAAGAAGATTAATTTGGTGGTCTGGTAAATGTTTAGCAAAATTGACCAAAATTAATCTTTAGGGTAGGTGGTTAGTGACAAATATTGATGGTAAAACTTTTGTAGTGTTTTGCTGCTTCATTGCTTTCCGGTACATTTTTTAAGAACTTGCTGCCTGTAATATTTGTGTGCGTGTGTGTTTGCGTGTAAATGTGAAAATAAGTTACAATTTTTTGCTTATCATATGGACTGTATCAAAAGTGTTACGAAAATGTATAATTTAAAAGTAGAAAACAAACAAAACTAATTTCTATACGTGATTGCTTCTGATTTGGTTTTAAAAATCCCTCGCCCTCCACATAAAATAAAATGGGTGGAAATAGGTTGCTGCAAAAAAAGCCCGTTTTCGACACTCTGAGCTCGAATTTCGTTTACATAAATTTCGAGGCCGCCTTTTTCGCGTCTGTTGATTGCTAATGTTTTTTCCGCCCGCCGATCAGGAGCGTTTTCGCATCAGTATGATCCCCTCCCGTCTTATTCGGTGTCACTTAAACCACGTACACGCCATTTTGTTTATCAAAGGTTGGCACTGTGTAAACCGAAATAAATAGTGTGCAGTGGAATCAAAGTGTGTCTCTTGAAGTTTCATCATTGTGAAGTTCATGTGAAATGCGAATTTCGTGTGATTTGCTTCTTGGAGACCGAGGTGAGCCCATCGGAATATATTGCGTTACGTTATATCGTCTCGAAAATCGAACGAATGTTTGCATTTCGCTCGATGCGACCGCTCTGTTTAATGGCGAACAAAAGCTCGGTTTCGAAGTGGGTCGAGACTTTGTTAACCAGCAGGTCGTTTTTTTTTTCTTCTCGGATACTCTGCGATGAATTTTCGGGGCCAACCGGTGCGTTAAAAATTAACGAGGGATTTGCTTTGGAGCGGCAGCAGAAGCACTCGACGCCCTATTTAAATTGAATTGCGGACGTTGTAGGATTTGTGTATCTGTGCGCGCGGCCCGGCCCTGGAACGTCGTATAATCTGCTCCTACGTTTGGAGCGCTTACTATTTAGAGGCGACTCGCGCGAGCGCGAGATAATCAAGTTGTTCAGTTTGACGAAGTGAATTGTGTTGTTGTAAATAAGCTCGCGCTCCCGGGGATGCTAATTTGTAGATACTGTTTTGACTCGTACTTTTTTCAATCGGTTTACTTTCGTCGGCGAACATTTTACGGGAAGTTTCTTTCAGGCGAAGTCGCCGCCGACGATGGCCGGTCAGCAAGAGGCGACCAATCACGTCGGACCTCACAACAAGCGGCCGGTGATTTTGATTTACCCCACGGGTGAGTAGTAAAGCGCGAACTGTAGTAATGACCGCGGGAGAGACCTGTTAATGTTTATAGCGATCACAATGGGAAAGACGTTACCGTTTCTTTAAAGTGCAAAAATCAAATATAAGTGACTATATATAACGTTTCCTATAACCCCACAGAGGCGAATGTAGGTCAAGTTTCGGTCAAAAATCAGAAATTAGCAGTCATTTTATTGTCAGTTACGTGTTTTGCAATAATTTTGGGGGTGGGGGGGTCCTTATTGGTAAACATATTATGTTACAAACCATACTAATACTTTTTTTTATTCAATGAATAAATCCTAAGAAACGTTGGATTAAAATTCCTGTGGTAATTTCCAACTATGCTTGAAATGTTTTTTAAAAAAAAATGAGTTACGATTACAGTTGTCGAATTTACCGGCCATTTTTTTTGTGTCAATTGACAGAAATAATTTTAAAAGACCATGAAATTTATATTTATTTATTAATATTGTTATATAGTGTGATTTATATATTCCTCGAATCACTAAGTATCGTTTTCGGATATTCTTTGAAGAGGGTAAATTGGGCATCACGAACTCAATAATTTATTATAAAATACACATCACTATTAAATAATGATAGATAATACTCTACAATTGCAAGATGTTATTTAAAAATTTTTTTAACTATTCAATTAAGAAATGGTCAATTGATCAATCCAACACTAATTACGAATTTTTGTCGTTTTTTTTGCACTTATTTTTTTCAACGATAATTAAAAAAAAAAACAGGATAAATTAAGAATAAAAAAAGTTTTTAAAAAATTAAACGTCGAATTTTGTTGGTAATTGGTAGTTTTTTTTTCACTTTTTTCATTTGTATTAGTGATGACATAATATTTTCACGATTTGATTGATACTTTTAATATATTATTTACTTAAATTGGTCAAGAAATAAAATTAAAGAAAGCCAGGAAAAAGTGGCGCAAAATAAAAAAAAGATTTATTTTGAAATAAGATTTTAAAGTTGTTAGGGGTTTATTTCGGTCGGCGGGTCGTGTGTTTTTCATTTTTGGATTGTAACCATTTTCCACAATTTGTGCACTATTTTCTGTCACTACTTCCGGTCCACTACGGTATCGATTGAAATAAAAGTGTAAAATTTTTGAAAATGCTTGTTATTATCATTATATTATTTAACCAATTTTTCGATTCGAATTATTGCTGCGGTTTTTTTTTTGGCCCAGTTTACTTGCGATTTGCCGGGTTTCTTCTACGGTTTAACGCGTTTGACGGGAAACGTTCGTGAAAAACGGAATTTTGCAGTGTCGCCCGAGACCGTGGTGATACCGATCATCTCGTGCATCTTCGGGTTTCCGCTGCTCGCGCTCCTCGTCATCTGCTGCCTGCGCAGACGTGCGAAACTGGCAAGGGAACAGGCGCGCAGACGTAACGTCGACTTCGAACACGGTACATTCTCTATAGTCAGGTTCAGCCAATTACACTATCTAGGTAACTAACGCTGGCCCCTTTCTCTGTTGCCTAATTTTCGTTTTCTCCTGTCGCCGCCTTTTTTCGTTTTCGCTTTTTTTTGTGACGATGCGTTTTCTTTTTTTTTTTTTTGCTTTTCATGTTTCAATTCGCTTCCTTGTAACACATAACACACCTTAACGTTAAGGAAGGTTTACATCCCGCGCGCCTCTTTCTCCACTGCCGTTAGTTGATTAAACAGAACGTTGAGAGGGAATCAGGGGTCGAGCAGATTCGATTCGGAGTGGGTATATAACGCCAACCGATTCGCTTATACAATGGAATTAGTTTATTAAGCACCCTCCTCCGTTCTCGATCTCGCAGACATCTTAACTGGGTTAGGATTCTCCGGTATCGTGCGAGGTTTACTCAAGGGATGGGGACGCTCCGGGACTATTGAGGCGCGCAGGGTAAACCTTGGCCGACAGTGCTCCGTTTTATTTGTAAGTGATTGTTTGTTTTGTAAATTAGGAAGATCCCGAGCAATTTCTTTAAGATCTGACCGAGCGATGAGCCGTGGTTTCCCGTCGCTGGAGTTGGACACAGTGGTCGAGGAGAGGTCCGATCCGGAACCGGAATTGACCGCCACCGAGATAATGTCGCCGGACGTGGATTGCGCCACGGACAGGTAGCAATCAATGAGAATGGATGTCTGCGCCGAAAGGTATATCATATTTATTTTTATTTATTTGTTATGGAGGTCGCGTGGAGCTTGTTAATATGGGATTTTCAGGCGAGGATTTTGGAAGAGAAATATTTGTGCGGAGCGACTGTATCACGCAGTACATCGTGACTGACGTGCGTAACCGGGTAGGATTTATTGTACGTGGCCGACGGCCCGGCCTCCTGCTGGTGGTCTATTGCGGCACGCGATCGGGTAGAAGAGCGTTTTTATTTTTTTCAAGTTGTAAATTTATTTTGTTTTCGATAATAATACGCATAACATAATATGTAAAGATCCACGAAAAGAGGACATGCAGAAAAATTTACTTGATATAGACGGTAAAGACAAATTCCCTAGATACAGCGGGTTAACGGGTAGAAAAATTCGCGTGATATAACGAGCCGACGTAAAGACAAATTCACCAGATACGGCGGGTTGGCGTGTAGGAAAATGCGCATGATATAGAGTTCTGACGTAATGACAAATTCGCTAGATACAGGGGATTGACGCGATGGGGGATGAAAATTCGGGCAATATAGGCACCCGATGCAGCGGGCGGTGGTGCAGGAAAATTCGCGTCATATAGAGGGTCGACGTAAGGACAAATTCACCCGATACAGCGGGTTGACGTCTGGGAAAAATTAGGTAATATAAAAGGCCGGCGTAAAGACAAATTCGCTCGATACCAGGGGCGGCGTGTAGGAAAACTGGGGTGATATAGGAGCCTGACGTAAAAACAAATTTACTAGATACGTAGAGACTGATATGTAGAAAAAAATACGTGATATAGAGCGTTGACGTAGGATAAACATCACTGAATCAGGATCGAAGTAAAAAAAGGATGTAAAAATTACACAACATTTTTGATTTTTTATTGCCAATACATTACAAATGAATGTTATAGGATTAACTGAAAGCATGTATTGCTTACCGCACCTGGAATTACAGGTCCCCACTTTGGAGCGCCCTCACCCATGTGCATACCTTCTCCAGCGGCGAAAATAGCTGACAAGAAGAGGTGGATCAGCCTCACCCTGATCCTGTAATCCCTCAAATGATCCCTTTACCCTTCATAAAGGGTCACTGAGGCGAACTTCTAAGGCAGTCAATGTTGAACGAAACTGACTACATTGGTTTATATCCCAATACTCTATGTTTCTTGGCCTGAAATAAATGTACACCCTATATAATAATTAAGAATGTATTATTTTTGTATAAAACTAGAATTCCATTATGAAACATAGTACTTAGATGATTAACCCTTTTAAATGTTTCAATTTTATCTAGAGATGGAAAATAAAGACATATCTTGCGGTTGCTATTGAATTTAACTCCCTCCTAAAGCTACACATGACTTACCGCGTCCTTTTTCCCTTATCGCTGGCTGATCGGGACACACGACTTTCTTGATTCCCACTTTTCTCCTTTCAGTGTGTCCCCTAATCACAAAAAATCATGTGAATTCGCAGAAATAACATTGAACAAGTAATGGTAGTGAAATAAAAAATAATTTGATTGATCACTTGTTTATTGTAACCAAAAATATGCGGGGAAACAATTAACAAAAAAGAATATTCAAAAAGTGTCAGCTACTCCAACAAAAACGGAATAACCAGGACACAGTTCTTGGCGTCTTTGACGCAATCCCACCTCCCGAACCGATATTCTCTACTAACTGCCACCAGGAGATATTGTCCATCTGAAGTGAAGGCAATCGAATTAACAAAACCCTCCACTTTAACTTTTAAAATCTCTTTATTCGATTTAAAACCATTATCCAATTTCCACATTCGCACGAATCCATCCTTTGATCCTGATGCGAATAAATCGGTATTCATCAAACCGCACACTGCTGTAATCCAATTGGCCTGGTGATTGCCTTCATTCTCTCCATGCGCCCTTTCAATACACTGCAGCGGTTTCTTCCGCAATATGCTCCATACACATATTTGGCCATCATCGCCGCCTGTAATAAAGTTTTCCTCGTTTATTAACCTCACATTGTCGATATTGCCTGTGTGTCCGTTATAAATAAGCTGAGTCTCTTCTGTGATTTTCCACACTCTTAGATCATGTCCACCAGATGTCACCACCCTGTCTCTATATAAAGTATCAATCGATGCCACCATGTCCTGATGCCCAAACAAACTTTCCACATAGGACATTTCATCCAAATTCCAAACCTTCACTGTTTTATCCTTGCTGCAAGAGTACAAAGTATGGGTTTCCTTTTTAAATGCCAGCCCCGTTACCCAGCTTTTATGTCCCATGAGTGTTTTGACGTGTTTGAAAGTGGCGGGATCCCAAATTTGAATATTTCCCGATTTGTCGCCCACAGTTAAAAACTTGCTGTCCGTAGATATTGCTAAACTTAAAATTTCACTAGAGTGGCCCACAACTTCACCTTCATTTCGCCTGGTAAATGGAATAAGTCCAACCTTCGCGCCATCCCTTAAGGAATATTTCACTACAATCCCGTCTTTACTACCAACAAACACGTATTTATCATCACTGGATAAACAAAAGCAGGTTAAGCTATTCCTCTGTTGACGGCATCTCAAAATCTTCACTCCACTATAATCGACACCCTTGTACTTGTCGGCGACGCTCAGCCGCAATTTTCCACTTTCCTTAAGATAGTCCTGCCTCAATCGCTTTGAAATGACATCGGGTTCAATTTCTTCCTGTTCTAACCTGGCTTTTTCTTCTTTCTCGATTTCTTGCAAATAAAGCTTAGCTAACCGCAGCTTTTTCTCTTGTGCGGTTTCATTCTCGTCTTCCGAGCTAGAAATAGCATCGTTCTCGTCATCCTTCGTCACCTCTTCATCTTCGCTACTTGTAACCTCTTCATTTTTGGGCCGCTTTTTGGTCACATTCGAATTGTTATCATTCTTGGATAGAAATTTACTTCGCTTAATGCCGTTCATACGTTTTCCCTTCGCGAGGAAAGGCATTATCTACCCAATAAAACTAACAAATCTCACGTGTGAAATTTGAACTTTTTAAAACCATTAATAAACCACAAACCGACGACCATAGAAAAGATTTTCTTCCACGATTTATCCCACGTTTGGCTATGGTTAATTCTTCTTCCTGCGATGCCTGACAAGCACGCTGGGAGAACCACAGAGCGTAAAAGGGCTTTTGGAATAATAATTCTACGGGCACTAATTATTTACGGTCTATGTTAAAAAAATAACCTAAAATTGTAAACTCAGACTAAAAAATGTTCGCTGTAGACGAAATCCTAATACGAAACGGTATAATATTCTTAATATGGATAGAATTTCTGTGGGAAACGTACTTGTCCATAAGACAGGTAACATTCAACATCTGAAATGGTCGGTAAAAAACCACGTCACTCTTTCAGATCGATAAAGCGGCGAAAACCAAGCAAGTGCCGAATGAATTGAAGGACATCATGAAAGAGGATGAGTTTTTGAAGGCGCGCGAGTATTCGTTGGCCAAACTTAAGTTTGGTTTCATTAGAGACTTTCAATCCGTAGTCGTCAACACCATAGTAGTCCACGAGGGCTCTGCAGCGGGGATATGGAATTTTTCCCAAATCATAAATCCCTTTGGCGACGAAGTGTCGACGAGCTGTCTATGGTTAATCATTCTGTCTTTCCTAGCGACCATGTTAGATCTTCCGTTGAATATTTATTACACATTCGTGTTAGAGGGTCAGTACGGTTTCAACAACCAAACAGCCTCATTTTTTGTGTGGGATAAAATCAAAACGTTCTTCGTCAGCCAAGCGCTGACCACCGTCGTTTCTTGCATAATTATAGTCGTCATCAAAAACGGGGGCGACTACTTTTTTGTCTGGCTGTGGGCCATCGTTTGCGTCATCTCGTTAATATTGTTAACGATTTATCCCGCCGTCATAGCGCCACTATTTGACAAATACACGCCCCTGCCCGAAGGCGAGCTGAGAACCGACATAGAAGCACTAGCTTTGAGCCTGAAATTTCCATTGACGCAGCTGTACGTCGTGGAGGGTTCCAAAAGATCTTCCCATAGTAATGCGTACTTCTATGGCCTGTTCAAATCCAAACGGATCGTGCTCTTCGACACTCTATTGGCCAAAGAAGACGGCAGCGGCTGTCAAAATGACGAAATCCTCGCGGTCCTCTCCCACGAACTCGGTCACTGGAGCAAAAACCACACCACCAAAAATCTAGTCATCATGCAAGTCAACCTGTTCCTTTTGTTCGCCGTTTTCAAGGTCATGTTCAAGTACCCGCTCCTCTACAGAGCGTTGGGTTTCTATCACGTGCATCCCGTCCTCGTCGGTTTGTTCATCGTCCTCCAGTACATCATGATGCCATACAACGCCGTCCTCTCCTTCTTTATGACTGTTTTGTCGAGGAGTTTCGAATTCCAAGCCGATGATTTCGCGGTACGCCTGGGCAAGGGCAAGGAGCTTGAGCGAGCCCTCCTCAAACTCAACAAAGACAACTTGGGATTCCCGGTCAACGATTACCTTTACTCCGCGTGGCACCACTCCCACCCCCCGTTACTGGAGCGCCTCTCCGCCATCCGCAACGCCGTAAGCAAAAAAGACTAAAGCTTTAGTATTTCCTGGGCGCGTCAGCCGCGGCCCCGCCCCCCCTCCAAATGTGTGGTTATATGTTTGGTGTTTGTATGTTTTTGTGTGGACGATTAAATAAAATATTAGAACAAGGAGAGGTTTGATCTTTGCATAAATAAAACTCCCACCTGGTGCCCAAAAAATTATTCTTTTTTACAGACATTATGTACAATTTTACGAAACGACCCCAAACGATATCATGCCATATATATAAAGGTGTTGATGTCGTCGTCGTCTCGCCTCATATATTTGTGCTCAATGAGCCACTCGAGTTGCTCCTTGATCATTTTTTTCGACGGCAAAAACATATTCTTCAGTATATCGACCAGTTCGGTCTGCAAGGCGGCGTTTGCTATCCGCTTGCGCATCTTCAAAATCTTTATTATAGCCTCCTGGGTCCTGAGTATTCTCAATTGCACGATTGATTGGTTGTCCTCGAGCTGCGAACGCTCCGTGCTCAACTGCAGCCTGCCCACTAGGTTTACCTAAAACGCATGCGCGTTAAAGGCCGTCACGGTCGCGGACCCACTACCTACTTTGCCCCGCTTTTGGGACTTTCCGTTTTTGATAAGCGCAAAATCCTGATTGATCCAAAATATGGTGTGCTCCCCAAAGTCTTTAGGAGCGGCCGCGGATGGCGAAAAATGCACCAGCTGCTTTTTAAGCTTGGGAAAGGCCACGAGCGACCACAATGTCCTACGCAATTCGCCGTCCGGCAGTTCCGTCGCCAATCTAAAAATGTCCCGCATTGAGGAGTAGGGGAGGGGATGAGGTGATAGACCAACCTAAGATTTTCATAGGTGATTTTGTCGTTGGGCCTTTGGTTCCACGCGAACAGCACCGCCATCTGGAACGTGGTGACGTCGAGATCGAACTTGCCGCCGTTCGTCGCGAACGTTATAGTACCGTTGCTCATATGATGGTACCACTGCAACTTTCGGCCGCTGTGTTTTTTCTTGTAAAATTCCTCGACTTCCGGTATGTAATCTTCTAGCTCGACGGGCAAGCTCACCGTCACCCGTTCCGAGCCGCGGGCCCACGCTCCCGCGTTCAATATTTTTATATTAATGGCGTCGTGTCGCGTGGTGGACGTTCTGAATTGGACGTTCAGGTCCTCGCTCACCTTAATGTCTTGGAACATGCGGGCGAGTTTGTTGACGTAATCGGCGGGCATGCCCACCTCGCGTAACCATTCCACCTGAAAGTGACCGCCCTCACTGCACCCGCATATAAAAATTTTGGTGCGCCACTTGCCATGTCTTCTTCTTTCTCGCTGTCAGCGCTAGCGTCCAAAATCAGTCTCCTGGTGAGGTGCGCCTTGTGGTACCTCATGAAAACGTCCTTGTTGGAAATGTACTTCAGGACCAGCAGGACGTCCCGCAACCTACAAAGCGCAAGCGTAACGTCGGCCAGCGGAATCCGCGCGAATATACCACCTAGTCTCGATCTCCTCGCTGGTAAGTTTTTTCGACAGGGGCGTGCGTCTGAGTAACATGTCGCAATAATTGGCCAACAATTCGGGACATTTGCTCTCTGGCGCGACCGCTTTCCCCCCGATATTCCTACCCGTACCCAGTTCTAACCTAAACACCGTGGTGTCGTTGACGACCGCCTTAAAAGCTTTATCTCGGGCCGTCAAAAACCGCGGATCGTCGGAAAACGCATCACGCACCAGCTCGCTGAAGTTTCGAAAAAGTTCGAGCAGCCGCTCCACATACTTTTCCGAGTCCTGTGTGATGACGTCGGCGGCCGCCATCATGTCGGCTAGACCCGCTTGCGTGATATGATTCTCCAATTCGCGGAGCATGGGTTGCACCCCTTCAGGGACGCGTTCTAACAGTCGGAACATTAACTGGAGGCGGTCCGTTTCACCCGCCCTTATAAGGGGTGCGCACTCGGCCAACAAAACAGGCAACGGGTTGCCGACCAGCACCTTGACGCAGCATTGAATCACTCCATTGCTGCCAGCTAAAATAGGACAACCTTCGCCTCTTCTTATTACTTAAACTTAACCCAATATATATGGCCGACATTTTGATTAAATTCGTCTGTGCGGCGTGTCTTCCAAAGTGCTTACCTTCCAAATAACGCTGCGCCCTAGATTCCTCCTCCCTAAGTTTTGCGTCAGCATACCTCATATAGGCTTGAACCCCGTTGCTGGCCAATTGCTCTGGCGCTTTCATACGATAAAATAAATCGGTGCTCTGTATGTAAGCGGCTTCAAAATTCTCGCGATAAATTTGCAACCGATCCTCGGCGTTCGAACACAAATTTACATACGACTCGCGCACCCCGATAACCAGCTGTGAATCGAACGCTTCGCCGTTTCGCTCGCTATGCACCAATTTCATAGCGCTGTCCTGCAGTCGGTGCTTAATATCGCTAAATATGCTCTCGTTCCAGCTGTCCAACATTAACTTTCTGACTATACTCTCGTCCGCTGGGCCCTTCTTCGCGTTATTACCTTGAACGTTCGACCCGCTGGACGTCGGTTTTCCTTGCAAACTGCTCTCCAATTGCCGGAAGGGCGTGGGCAGGTAATTGCACTGAGTAAAAAACTTTCGCCATTCCACTATGTAAGCTTTAAGCAAGGCTTCTTCCTGGCGCTGCGCCAGCACTCTCGCTTGCGCCTGTTTAATGAATTGCACTATGTCTTCGTGTAAGTGGTCCCTCAGTTTCGCCGGACCCTTCTCGTCCCACAAACAAACGAGATGGACGTCGTAAAATAGTTCCTGCCACTCGGCGGGGGTCACGGGCTCCTGTTTCAACAACTTTAAAACTATCGGACGCATGTACGGCCATTTGTCTTCAAATTTTAACTGGCCCTTTTCCTAAAAATAGGTCAGCCTGCTTCCGCGGTCCGATGCTTTTAACAAACACGACTTACCTTAAGCATTTTAAGGTTATATCAGGCGAAGGTATAAAGAAAAAACATAAAATCTGTTACTTTTGTCGAGCACCTACATAGTTTTTGTTCTAGAATTAATTAAACGAACCCACACGCCCATATTCTTTATTACTAGTGCTTATTTGACCCTATCGACATTTATACCCCAACAAAACACCCTACCCCGGGGTGGGCGCTATATGACAGGTCGCCAGCGGTAGCGACGTGGTTCGGGATTCGTCTGTATCCCAAAAAAACACAACCTAAAGAAATTTGCTACAAATCATCGAATTTGGGTAAAACGCAAATGCGCGTATTAAATGATGCGCTTTTTTCCCTTCGAATAGGGAATTTATCTTATCTCTTGAAGATCGAAACAATAAACAATTGAAAGAACTATGTTCTGTGGAAAGTACCCAACCAAAAAAGAAGACAAAAATTGTAAGTGACCAGCACTCGTAAAGAAGACCGATATTGACGAATCCAATTTACGGGGTTGGAAACTTCAGTACTTTAGAATATCTTCGCAAAAAAAGAAATAAACGGATTCGTCAAAATGGCATCGCAAAAACTGTCGATGGCGGTAAGATTGCTGGTGAAACTTATTTCAAACGTGTCGCGACGATATATCCCAGTGTTACATAACTGAGTACTAGGTTATGTCATTTCTTAGGTCAGAAGGTTCGGCACCAGTAACGTTACCTCTCAACTAGTGAAGCCCCCGGTACAAATTTTCGGCATCGAAGGGCGGTACGCCACCGCCCTTTACTCCGCCGCCAGCAAGCAAAAGACGCTGGAAGCGGTAGAAAAGGATATGATTAAACTGCAAGACTCGCTGAAAACTGATCCGAAATGGCGTGAGTTCATCGTCAATCCAACTCTAAAGAGGTAGACCTTGGGAAGAATGCAGAGAGACAAAAAAAAATACGCTTTCGATTTTAGGCAGCTGAAATCCGACGCTCTCAAGGCGGTAGCGAGCAAAGTCTCTTTGAAACCAGAGTCTGCAAATTTGCTTCAAGTTTTAGCTGAGAATGGGCGCCTCAAGAGCTTGGATGGTGTCATAAGCGCTTTCAAAACTATCATGGCAGCCCATAGAGGCGAAGTTATATGCGAAGTGACCACCGCCAAAGATTTGGACTCTGAGCAGAAGCAAAAGCTGCAGGGCGTTCTCAAAGGGTTCCTGAAATCAGGGCAGTCAATTGTGCTTACCACAAAAGTAGACCCGACCATTATTGGAGGAATGGTGGTTTCAATTGGAGACCGCTACGTGGACATGTCAGTCGCCACTAAAATTAAGAAATATTCCGAACTTATTAGCGCTCCCGTTTAAACGCAACTTCAATAAGAAATCTATTGTCTGTAAAGTATAATAAACTAGTTTACCAAGTAGAACCACTAATTATGTTTATTAGGCTCTGTCATATGGTCAATATAGTGGTCCTACCGGATGATGATGCGCATGCCTTTAAATTCCATCCACTAAACTGCACTTTGCTCCTCCATTTTATTTTTAAATAGTGATATTCACAGTTAACTGGTTACTTCGAGAAAATACTGAGGATATATGACCTATCTCGATGTTGTGTTATGGTCACTTGAAAAAAATAAGACCTGTACAAAAGTATTTATTAAAATAAGGTACTCGCTACATTGGAAGCATATACTTATTAATTGAAAATCTAAACATTTTTCGGCGCAAGGAAACAATTTTAAAAATAGTTCCCACCCTCCTAATGGGAATCGAACCCACCACAACCTAGCATAGATAATTCGATCTGGAAAATCAAAACAAAAAAAGTCACGGATAAAGAACTTTGGGAATCAAAACCTTCAAGATCAAGCAGAGCACAGTACCGGACGAGCGCGTAAACCAACCAAACAGCATAGAATAGTTTCCGTGGTCCGCGACTGTTTAACAACCTAAATGTGAGGTTAACGTCGTCAAAAGTTTTTTTCCTTTTAAAATTGAAAATGAACAAGCCCGAATTGGAGGGCACGGCCCACCTGTTAGATGAATTAGACAGTGAGGATGAATTTAGATCGCAATCGTGCGCGTTGACGGATCTTATATTGCAGAAAAGTTGATGGTGCTCCTCCGCGACGGCAGAACGTTAATCGGCTACCTGAGGAGTGTCGATCAGTTTGCCAACCTGGTGCTGCACCGTACGATCGAAAGGATACACGTGGGTAAAGAGTACGGTGATATTCCGAGAGGGGTATTTATAGTGCGGGGGGAAAACGTCGTCCTCCTGGGAGAAATCGTAAGTGGAGCGGGTGGCCCCCTAAAACCCATATTCGTGACGTTTCGATTACAGGATCCGGAGAGGGAAGACAGTCTGCCGCTTACCGAGGTGACCGTCGACGATATATTGGACGCGCAGCGCAAAGAGCAAGAGTTGAAGCTCGAAAAACAGAGACTGATCACAAAGGCTCTTAAGGAGAGGGGGCTTCAGATCACCGCCGATTTGACGCACGACGATTTATACTGAACCGAGCCGCCGCAAGGGTTAAGCCAATTAGTTTATAATAAAGCAAACATTTCTATTTTTTATTTAAAAAAAAATGATTAAATACTCTTTTATGGCAAAAATGATTTTCAATTTAACATTATCATCCCGGTGTCCCACCCGTAACTATAGAGTGCTTTAGAAGAGATGGGTTTATGAAGTATAGAGTTACAACAAAATGTTGTGGAATTTTTGCCTAAGGGTGGTTTGTGCTGCTAATATAAAATGAAAGATAGAAAGTACTCATAACTTTCATGGTGGGATATAAAACAGGTTATTACGTCAATAAAAAATTGGACCGTGAATACCCGCGACTAAACAAAAGAAAGACTCTCTTACTTATTTATAAAACCATGAATATTTTGTTCCAACAATTTGAAAATTACAACTCGGTGTTTTTGCACACCTGACATTTGCGTTTCATTACTGGCTTATAAGACGTATTCCAAAATAACACAATAATTATCTATTTTTCAAATCTATTATTGTTCACACTCCGAATTAATACTATATTCTAAGTCTCAGTTCGAACGTTTTGAAAAATCAATTAGTCCTTCGGCATTTAAAAAGACGTCTCAAACACGATCGGTTTCCCGTCCTCATCAAACTGTCTAGGTTTAAGCACCAGCTCTTTGCCGCAAGTTTCCCCGTCGTCCGGGTCATTGCCGTCCAACACGTAAACCAAGGAATCGCTCATTTTGCTGGCGGCAAAATTCGACGAATTGAAATCATCCGTGCACGTGGAAAAACTAGAATCTACGGGCGTCGACGACAACGTCATGATGTCCCTCGCACTCAAATACTCGCGAAACGTTTTCGTTAAAGAACTCGCGGATGTATCGGCGTCTTCGTCGAGGCGGGGGATTTTTTCGGGGGGCCCGCTCGATTTTTCGAGTTCGACGTTTTCTTCGACCGACTCCTGTATACCGTGGTGATGGTGGTGGTGCTGCTGCTGCTGCGGCCGCGCTAAACTAGTGATGTTCGTGCCCGACACCAAGAGGACCGGCTTCCTGCTCCGCGGCGTCATCATAGTTTCCTTCATAATAAGCACGTTTAATTTTTTAAAAAATTGGAAGGGGGGGGGGGGAATGCATGCAATGAATGACGGACCTGTCGAGACACATTTTCTCCTCCGTGAAAATAAAACAAACGAAAGTGTTTTTTTTTTCGTTTCATTTTTAAAATAGTCGTGAAATGTTTTACCAAACAACTTCAAACTACAAAATTGAGGCAAAACAACAACAAAAACAAAAGCGAAGCGTGCTAAAGAGTTATAAGAGATGTACTGACATACCTTCGAAAAAAGAAAATAACAAACACGGAGCGAAATTAATGGCAAGCTTCACAAAGATAAAACGTAAGGCTGAATGTTAAAATGGCAATCATTCTCATTCAATGGACGGAAAAATTTGGCCGCCATCGTATTATGGTATAGAAAACGATCTACAAATAATGCCAGGATGAGTACGAAGGCCTTTCAAATCTGTTGGATTAGTTTTGCAACTGCGATCTACAATTTATTCTCTTGAAACCGCCCAGACCATAGAACCTAACCAAAATACTAATTCATCAGTATTCCTATTCAAAAACATCAAATCGATCGACCGACCGTACCAAAACAAACCAAACTTGCTTTGCAGAATACGATTCATTTGAATGGTTTAAAAGTTAAATGCATGATTGAGATAGGCCACTCAAAAAGAATGGGCATTGTTATAATTATTATATAGTATTGAGTTGCGTCATCGATCGGTAGATTTGCTTGTGTTGAATTGAATATTAAGTGAATTATCTATTTCCACACAGGTATTTAATTTAAACAAATTAATGTATTACCAATACGAAGCACCTATTTTGATAAAAGGTAACATATTAGGAACAAAATTTGTTGTACTATTAGGCCTCCATATGTTAGTAGCTGCCAATATGAGTGGGAGAGAAAAAAGAAAGCTAGTCGTGATTGAAAAATCAACTAACCCGCGATGTTTTAAGAACATCAAGCGTTTGCCGGTCACTTACAAGGCAAACAAGTCTGCATGGATGACATCGCAAATTTTTGAAAAGGAGGTACGGAAATGGGATGTAGAATTAAAGGGGAGGAAAACATTACTTCTCTTAGATAACTGCCCTGCACATCCCGATATTTCAAATCTACGGAATATTGAATTGGCATTTCTTCCAGCCAAAACAACAAGTGTATTACAGCACCGATGGACCAGAGCGTAATAAAAAGTCCTAAGAGTCGATATAGAAAAAAATATTTTTATGAAAATGGTCGAGTCCGAATACAAATTTTCCATTAATATGCTAGATGCAGTCAACTTTATTAGTAAAGCTTGGAAAGAGGTGACAGAATGGAAACAGGACTTGCAAAAGCAGTTTCAAACAACAATTACGTTTACAAGTGAGGAGTTGCAAGATTTTATGGTGGTAGATCAGGATTTGCCTACAACTGCAGGCTTGACATAGGAAGCCATATTACAACAAGCAAGAAAGAGTGAGGAAGAGCACCAAGAGGAAGAAGAAGATGAAAAAGTTGATCTGGGACCACCACCAACCATTCAACAAGCCCTATGTTCAGTTAAGCTGCGAAATGGTCAAAAGAAAATGACTAATTATTTGAAACATTAAATGTAAAAGTAGATGTTAAAATATGTATATAAAATAATTAAATATTACAGAACACATCAGCGTTTTGTTATTTTTCAAGTGCCCTATAACAATTTATAGCGAAAACGCAATAAAAAAATCAGTTCCTTTAATTTCGCTATATAGAGTTTCGACTATATTATACTAAGTAAAACAGCAAACAGAAGACATAGACACAACAATAATTCAAATTCAAATGAAGCTGAATCGGTCGTTCCGACTGTTGGAATTGCCGCTTATGTTGGCAACAAAAAGTATTGAAATAAACGACCGATTGAAATGATTCGGTCCTTTTCGAAATCGGTCACTGATTCATTCGGTTCTCGTAAAATGGACACACAACACTAATCTGGGAGCTTACCCTTATCGAATAATCGCGGGATATTTCAAAAACAACAAATTCTATGGAGGAGGAGGACACTACGTAACCGACATTTCTATACCAAAACTACTTCGTCCTCCTACCTGCATGGCGCGGGGCATGCGCTGCGCCGACCTAGTTATCGGGGACATCGAGTCGCGGTCCTCGCCTTTGGGCGTGGCAAAGTCGTCGGGGGCGGGGCACGCGGGAGTGCTAGTCAAGTATCGCGGACCCGACGGCCGCGTGCCGTCGCTCACGTTGGGGTCGGATTTGCTCCGCCTCAGGGTCTCCCTCGTTGCGGCGCATTCGACGACTTCGTCCTCGACGCTAGAGTCGGGATTATGACAAAACAGACGCCGTCCGGACGGCGTCGTTTTACCGTGGTGGTGGGGGCTCTGAAAACGAGCGAAGGGGTGCACGAGACGTGCGAAGCGGCGGGCAGACACGCGCAGACGCAGGCACAAAAGCGGTACCGGAAGGAAGGGACACTTACGTGCAGCACCTCCTCGCTGGTAGACTTCTTCAGGTGGGCGGGGCCACGCCTTACGTTCCGCATCAGTTTCCGATGGAACATGTGCTTCTTGATCGAGTCGCCGATGCTCTTACTCTTCGGTGCGCCGACGCCGCTCCTGACCACCTGAAGGGGCGTGCCTTGTCCGTTCTCCTTGTTAAACTGCTTGATGAGTTTGCGCTTCTTCGACGACTCCGGCAACGACTGTATGTGGGCGTACAGCTGCGCGAGCGCCGTTTCCGTCGGGTTCTCTTCGTTCTCCTTCGCCGTCAGTTTGTTGTCGACGAATGTGAAGACCGTATGCGCCGCCCCTTTCGCCGATTCGTTCAGGGCGCCGGCGCGTTCGCGGTGCGCGCGCAAATCCAACATTAAGCGGGACGGCACCTCGAACACGGCCGGGAAATTTTTAATCATGAACGCTACGACGCCGAACAGCGTCGGCGAGTCTCTTAGCAGCGTCTCGGGCGCGAGTTTGCGCGGACAGAGAAGGTGCGGCGCGAATAGTTTCGCCAAATTCTCGGCCGACATACGGTTGTGCGTTTCGTGCGTCGCGACGCCGCGCAGCAAGTCGAGCACGTCGCGCAACAGCTCCCTGTTCTCTTTGGGCAACAATAGGAATAACAGTTGAACGGTCTCGAGAATTTTCGATTCGTGCGCGAGATCGGTGCCGATTTGACAGTAGAGGGGGTAATGTATGTCGGTCAGAAGCGGTTCGGGCAGTTCCGCGAGGTACGATTTTAACACGGACGCGCAATCGTGCACGCTAAAATTCGTGTTCGAAAAGTCGACGGTTTCGCCCAGCGCGAGGAGATTTTTGAGGTCGTTTTGCCGTTCCAACGAGCCGGTGCGTCGAAAGATTCCATCGCTCTTCAAATCTACAACAAAGAGACAGGACAGTTACAACGCGAAGAGTTCTGACAACATTTACACTGTTTAACGACCAGAAAGTTGTAGAATTGTCTCTAAATACTAAAATTTTCACATACAAGAGAAACAGCATACTGATTTTTCTTCGAACTACTACAAAAACATCCACCTGTTGTTGCCAGCGGTTATTCGTTAATAGGTTCCTTAATACCACAAATTTTTTATATGCGATTCTGTATTTATGGAACTAATGAAGGGTTAAATAATTATCTACCTATGGAAACATTAAATTGTGCAGAGAACAGGATTGGAATATGTTAAGTTTCCATCAATTTATTACGGATTACACAAAAACATATAAATTCATAGTTCAGTCAAAAGCAGACATATCCATAACTTCTTTATGTTTTTCGTCAAACACAATTTATAAGGACATGTCTGCTTCTGTATGAACAATCCTCAAATTATCAATTATTCTTATTTTATCTTACAAACCCAAAGGCACACGAGACTGCCCAATTTAACTAGATATTGTCTAAGCTAATAGACAGTAATTAAAAGAATATTCAAAATTTTATATACTGTTCTTCACATGTAGACTTAAGTTGAATAAGTCCCTATGTTTGTTGTTAAGAAATATACAGATATTATGAGTTCATCTAATAAGCGGAGAGCTTAAGAGTAGTTAAATCTGATTCTTTCTATATAAAAAGTTAGCCCAGTGCGCACTCAATAAAATTGGTGACAATTTTATAAAGAAAAACTACGTCTGAGCAATGGCTGCGTGTTTGATTATTTTCATAAGAAAAGTAGTGTCCGTCTCTATTACAACTAAAATTAAACTTTCTATAAGGTTTTTTTAGACACTCACTATCCAGTCGACACACTTGGGATAGATTTCTGAAGCCCCTCTTCACAGTACTTTTCAGAATCCAGTATGATGCCCAAACCTTTAACTTAAGTAACTCTCTTAAGTTTTATATTGTCTAATTTTAAGTCAATATTAAGAGGTTAGTTTTTTCCTGTAAACTGTATTATCTGGCAGTAATCAAGATTTTAAAAAATCTGTGATTTTTACAGTACATAGTAAATCTATCGAGATCATTCTCAAGTTGTCCGATTACTTTTAAGTCACCTGTGAATGAGGCTATTACTGAAAGTTGAAAACAGCTTCGAAAATCAAATATAAAAATATTGAAAAGTAAGAATTCCAAGGGACATAAGAGCAAGGCCTCCAATTACCTACTTCTGTGGCATCACCTGACTTCAGGATTGGTATAATTATTATTGATATATTATTATTATAATTATCTGCACTTAATAACATACTTTCTTCAAGCATCAAGTATTGTATTATCTGATCCATTTGCCGCGATTGAACCCCAGAGAGCTGAAGCCCTTCAGTGAGGTTGCGTTTCGACTTTTTCGCAAAGGGAACGTTCCACTTTTTCAATTTCACCTTCTCGTAGAAGCAGTCGCTTCTGAAACAAACTAACAAGCTGTAGACCCTAAATTGCATTCAGAGAGAGCCCTCAGACTTACTCTTCTGTAGTCATATGTAGTAAAAAAGACAAGTGCATCTTAACGAGCACGAAAAACTGCTCGTTGTGCTCTTTTTGAAACAACTCAACGAAAGTTTCGTCCTCACTTAACCGCTCAGGATACATTTCAAGAAATGGCAGTTTGCATGCTGCCACAAAAATGATATTCCCTTTAAAATAATCACACAACAAAAACGTCAAACACGCTGGCGAACATTGTTGGAACTCCCGTCGCCGTGAAAATTCAATTTATATCACATAATAATCACAGCACGTTGTAGAAAGCACGCGAAAACGCTTATTTACGTTAATTACCGGAAAACCGACATTTCGTTCGAAAATTATAAAAAAGCAATGGCGGTTTCTACAATGAGAACCTGTCCAAATGACAGTTCCGCAAACTAAATCGTTCGCCCGACGAACGATGGCGCGCCAACGTCCACGAAACCAATTTAAAATAATCGTGAAATCTTTAAATTAGAAAAGACTAAAAGGGAACGCGCCTACAAACTTTGAATGACCGTCATCAGAATTTGTTATCAAATCTAGCAGTTTTAGCGTCTCAACAAACCTAACATTAATAATAAAAACCTACCTTTCACGAAAAATTCCATTATTCCACTCACGGGCAGATGGCGCTTCGTACCAGTCATTTTTAATTGCACAAAATAAGAAACCAAACAAAATTTCAACAAGGTTCTATTACACGATTAAAGTTAAACCATCGTTCGACGTGTTTCACCGCGACCATGAGGTCACTTTTCCGTAGTCTTTCACGCTGAAACCAAGCTTCGCCAAACTTTCTCTGGCGCCGTCGCAAGCGTTCAAAAGTTCCCGATTTTTTTGCGCGATGCCGATTTGTCGGACACCGTGCCTGAAATTCACCAAAACATCTACAATGTCATCCTCTTTCCCACGTTCAGCGACACTTCGGGTCGACTCGTACGGCCATACACCGAAAGTGGTTAAGGTATCGCAAAAAACGTTCTTCAGCGCCACCAAGTAATGTAAATTACCCGTCACGGCGCCCGTTGCCGTCGTGTAAATCATCGAGTTGCACACTGACACGATTCTGTTCAACACTTCGATCGCCCTCGGCGTGTTAAAATCGTCGCGAAAACAATCGTCCACACTTGTAACCGATTCATTTAAAAGTTGCTGCAAAACGTCACAGTCCAGCGACGGTTTCACGAAACCCTTCTCGACGTCCGCGCAACTGCGCATAAAATTTTTGTACACTTTAAACAAGTTGGCCGCGTTGCCTATCCAATCGTCGCTGTATTCTATTGGACTTGAGTAGTGGGCTGAGGCGCACGCCAATCGGAAAACGTCGGGCGAGCAAGTTTTCAACATATCGCTCACCGACACGGTATTTTTGAGGCTCTTCGACATTTTCAGTGAATCTTTCAGGTGCAAATGGCCCGTGTGCATCCAATAATTGACCCAATGTGGCCTGTCAAACGAGGCGCACGATTGCGCCTCCTCGTTCTCGTGATGCGGAAACCGGAGATCCAATCCGCCCGCGTGAACGTCAATTTCGTTGCCGAACGCGTGGGACGCTAACGCGGAGCATTCCGCGTGCCACCCGGGTCGTCCAGCGCCCCACGGACTGTCCCAATGTGGCTCGCTCGGATCACAGCGTTTCCACAACGCGAAATCACTTGGGTTCCTTTTTAATTTGCTCCTCTCGCCGTCGTAATAGTTATCCGGGATATTCTGAAGCTTACCGTAACGGTACTGGTACTCGGAAAGGTTGAAATAAACCGAACCGTCCGCGGCCACATAAGCCCCATTAGAATTGACAAGAGATTTGATGAAATCAACTATGAGGTCCATATTTTTGGTGACCCTTAACACGACGTCTGGTTGTTTCACCTTCAATAAATCCAACGCTTCCCAAAATTCCTTCTCGTATTTCGCGGCGATCTCTTTCGCCTCCGTTTTGTCCTGCCGGGCACGCTTTATGATTTTCTCGTCGATGTCAGTTATGTTCATGACGCTTACTACGTTCAGTTTAAAATGGTTTCGCATTATGTTTCGTACAGTATCCAGTCTAGCGTAAGAGCTCGCATGTCCAACATGCGGCGAATCGTACACGGTGGGGCCGCAAGTGTACCACGTCACGGAGTCTTTATTCTTCACAACGAAAGGCTCTTGCCTTCTAGTCACACAGTTATAAATCGATATCCCGGTGGAAAACCCATCGGGCGCTTCCCAAGTATGCTTCAATCGTTTGCCGACTATTTCGCAAAAATTTTTAGTAAACATTGTATTTAGGTTATATGACCATGCAACCCGATATACGTCGGTGTAATTATGAGAATCGATCGAGTTTCTCGGTAGACGAGGATGCCGAACGTTTGACAGCGAACGAAGCGCAATTTTTGTATATTTTTTTGGAGACCCCGGAGCTTCGGGCCCTGTTTGTTCGTTTTTTCGTTTTCTATTTTGGGCCGTGCACGGGTCCATGTCCCTTTGTGTCGTCCGCGCGCAAGGAACGACCCAAAATTCGAACGTATAATTGAAAGACCAGTCGGTTCCAGCGGTGTTGTTTATTTTGTCGCCCGTTTGACAGCGGCCAAAATAAAACCGAAATGCGGAAAGATGCACGAAAACGCAGGCGAATTCGCTCGCGTTAGGACAGCGATGGTGTAGCCGTTTTTTTTTTACACGACATAATGGACGGTTACGACGACGGAGACTTCCATTCCACTTTGGAGCCGATGGTGATTATCGACGACCATGAAGAGGAAGAGAACGTGAGTTCACGCATATCGCTTTGCTTAAATAGGCGATAATTCACCCTACCGTTTCCTATTTTCGCCACGGTAACCTTCCGAATAAGTGAAAACGCTTTTTTTTCAGTTTTTCTCGAAATTACAATTGTGTAGAAAGAGTCGCGATTTTAAACACTGCCCCGAAATATCTCAGATGGACAAAATACGAAATAAACGTTGCCAAACGCGAAACGAGGTACGTTTTTGTTCTTCCCTCACACGATATATTCGTAGGCTTCTTTTGTGGTGTCGGCCTATTGTTTTGATGGGGTTAGATTATTTCAGCTGAGATATTTAGGATTTAAGTTGCTCGTTGTCGTTGTCCGCGAGTGTATAGACATATACACGTTGTAAATTGATTTCTTAGGCTTTTACCCGACACCAAACGCTAGACGCCCCTTTATCCCGGCCCGAGATCACCATATTCCCCGTCAAGAGGAAACCCAACGTCAAAATCAAACTCTTCCGGAAAGAATACTCGCCCAATAGAGACGAGGATTCCAACGGCAAAGTGCAGAGCACCAAGTCCCATCAGAGAACGCCGGTAAGCAAAATCACCCCAATACTTACTTAGGCAACCAACATTACTTTTTAAATGCACCTGATCCTTGGATTTATGCATTTGTTTATTAATTGCCCCCACCGTACACTACACCAGACATTATTTGTGTAAGAACTTTACTGCTTTGAGGGGGCTAGCGGATTTTTATTAGCGAATTCGATCAGCTTTTTTTCCGCATTTCGTCCAGGTAAGGTTGATAACGCAAGAGGAGGCGCGCAACACCGGGGACACGTACGCGAAACGTAGAAGCAGCCCTTTGGAAAAGTGCCCTGTGTGCAAGAAGTTTTTCAGGCGCATGAAAACGCACCTGCTGAAACACGAGATGCTGCGGCGCGGCGACACCGACGCCTTCGCCTGCTGCATCTGCGCCAAAGTGTTCAACAACCAAAACAACCTGCAGATCCACATGCGGACCCACACGGGTGACAAGCCGTACGTCTGCGAGGTGTGCGACAAGTCGTTTTCACAAAGTTGCAACCTGGTGAACCACGTGCGGATCCACACGGGCGAGAGGCCGTTCAAGTGTCCCCACTGCGACCGCGCCTTCACTCAATCCGGCAACCTCAACAATCACATACGTTTGCACACCGACGAGAAACCCTTCAAGTGCCATTTTTGCGACAAGGCGTTCGTGCAGAGCGGCAACCTCAGCTCCCACATCAGGAATAACCACCACCACAATCATAACCAGGGCCCCCAATAATATTGGGTACTCGAATATTAGTTTCTAGAAAAGATTTTTACAACGTAGATGCGCGGAAGAACTCTGTGCAAAAATAAATCGATCGGCCTTATTCAGTTTTGCCAAATATTGAAATGAAAAGTTTAGTATTAGTTCGATATTTCGAACATTTTCCGATAAGGGGCGCAATATATGATCTCCAGTTTACTTTGTATTATACTTGTACAGCGATGGCGTGAAGTTGAGTCTTAATTCCGCAAAAAGATAATTTGCCTTTACTTTTATCTACAGCTGCCCCCCCTCTCTTTTTTCACGAGAGGTGACTTTATAAAATATATTTGTGCGAGTACTCTAAAATCACATCTCTCGTAAATATATGATTGAAAATTATACTTTGAACGAATAAACAAAATGCAGTTGGATAAAATTGAAATTTAAGCATTTATGACATTCAGCATAATGTTCTTGAATCCGATCTGTTTTTTGTTAAAATTTAGGTTTGTTAGAAGGGATTGAGTGACAATTTCTTCAGTGAAACAATTTATACAGGATCCGTATCATCCCGTTTTCTTTTTCATATTATTTCATCAAAATATTTATTTTGGAGGCTATTTTATTATGTATATCTAGTATAGTTAATTAAAAAAAGTATTTTATTTACTTTAAGCATCTAACGCTTTTTGCGCCCTCTTTGTATAGATACTTAATTTACTGTAGCTATTTAGAAACGGAAGGACTGTCAACTCTATAGACTCTTAGCAACAAAAAGACTGTATTTTTTACGTGTTCTATTTTGTATTTGGTTTTATTTATTTTTTTTTGAGTGTGCAATATTAACCTTTGGTTTGATCTCTTAATCGTCTCGCAATGTTATAATACGTATAATACTCACATCGCGTGATACGACAGTGTTCTCTATTGAGAAAGTACCTACTATCCTACTAAATCGTCGGATTGTCCGAACTTTTTTTTTATTAATTCGCATCTTATTTATTGTAATCGATAATGACACGACTAATTGCTTATGAATGAGAATGTTCCTTTACTCTAGGTAAAAATGCATAAAAGATTTAGACGAGAGTATAAAAATGTGTAGATAGAAACAAAGCGTAATTATTGAAGATTTCCACGATGTATTTTGCATGGGTGCCATACTAAATAATAAAAAAAAAACTCTAAGAATAGCGCGGTTTGTTTCTTTTGTGTATCCACACACCCCTGTATATTATTTTGAAGCAAAATCATCGCTTTCGGCAGTGCAAATGAAAAGTGAAAGTGAAACAATAAAAATCTCTAAAAAATTTAAATGTGATAAAAAGTACAAAAAACACTGGAAAAAAGATTCCTGACCAACTATCAGATCCAGATTTAATAAACAAATCTTTCATTAACTCCATTCCAATTTCAAATTCAACGTCGCCAATGATCGACTACTATGAGAACTCTCCTTTTCCGCAAGATAAATTTCAGTTTTCTATAGCTTAAGATTGACAACCCGCAGTCGTTTAGCGACTTAAGGCCCATTTCCATTCTGCCAATATTATCCAAGGTTATCGAACGTGTCCTGAAAAGCCAAATAACAAATTATGTTGAAAAGGAGAAACTAATTGACAAAACACAAGCCGGTTTTAGGAGGGGGCGCAGTTGTGCTACAGCGCTTCTTAATGTGACATATGACATCATCAGAGTAATTGTGTTGGTTCTACTCAATTATTCTAAGGCTTTTGATACCATTAGTCACAATATTCTACTCACTATTCTTAAATACTTATTTTTTGGGGAGGCATCCGTAAATTTAATTAAAAACTACTTAACAGGGAGAAAGCAAAAGGTGGTCCTGAGCGGGGTCGAGTCTGCTTGCCTAGACATAAGAAGTGGAGTTCCTCAAGGCTCAATTTTAGCTCCTGTTCTGTTTATTATTTTCTCCTGTTCTAGGTTGCAGCTTGAGTGCCAAAATAACCACAGTGACCTTGAACGAATTGACAGAATTTCCAGAGATCACGGTTTGCTTTTAAACCCAAAAAATCTTCTGTAATGTTTTTTGGTAGCCCGGTGGATGTTAAGCGTCTTGATTCTGAAGTAATCATAAAAATAAACGATATTACTCTTCCTTTTCAAAACGAGGCAAAAAATTGATTTAAAAGGGTTGTATAGCTCAAGGCATATTCTAACTTGAAATATTAAAAAAACCTTATGCGATACTCTTGTTCTCTCCGTCTTTAATCACTGTGATGTCGTATATGGGCCTTGTTTGACAGCTAATTCGTCACAACGTATTGAAAAAATTCAAAAATACTGCTTGAGCCGCGGAAGACCTATCAGCTACAAGCTGAGGAAGCGGTTTGGACGAACACGAAGACGCGGCGCTTGATCCATCGCTGTTCTCTTTATTTCAAAATAGTTAAGACAAAATATCCGGAATACTTCTCCGAAAAAATAACTTTTAGAACTGACGTGAATAACTTAAATCTAAGATTTAAAGGGGTCATAGTTCCTCGCCATCGATCTGGTATATTTGAAAGATCTTTCAGTTACGACTTGGCTAAACTATATAAGGACCTGCCCCATTCCGTTCAGAATGTGACAATAAATTCTTTTCCAAATAAACTAAAAAAGTGGTTATGTTCTAGTATTTAAAGAGAAAAAGAAATGAAAAAATCAATGAGAAGTTACAGAGCGCAGGAAGAATCTAACCAATGTGCACTGCTAGAATTCTTTAAAAATTTGTGGTACTCACAGTACCTTAGCTTCGATTTTAGCTAATAGTTTTGTTATTTACAGAGGTAGGTTTAGGTTTTTTATTGTTATATAATTAAGTGGGTACTTAACGCAATTGTAAACATTAATTAAAACCATGGAGTGATGTTATGTGTAAGGATAAGTGTAGAAATCAGCAAGCAGATACGTCTGGGCGCTGCACTCTTGCCTTTTCTTGTAATTTTTCTTGTCGAAATTACCTGAATAAAGTATATTATTATTATTATTGTTATTATTATTATAAATCAAAAGTTTATATAGCAGATTTTCTACATCTTCCACATCGCGGTCTTTACCGTTCTCTATCTGGAACGTCTTCATCTCGAAGGTCAATATTATTTCCACTGGAGGTGCGGGGTTTTCTGCTTCTTCTTTTTTTTTTTTTTGGCTACCTATATTGTATATTAGTCGCCTCCACCTTTTTGGAAAGGTTTTAATCTGATGCAGTTGTTTATTGCTGGTTTTCCTTCGATGATTTTCTTTTATCCACCTGCAAGCATGAATTCGGTCTAGCTTATATTTAATTCTAACACCCAATTTGAGTAGTCTCCGTGAAGTTTCGGAAGTTTTTCTCTTCATCTTGGGTTATTTGATCATCTGGTCATTTGATGGATGTTTATAACAGATCTCCTATATTATGACACTTCGTTCTCTTTCGGGACTTCGTATAGATAATAATTTGCAAAAAAAAATCCTAAAATTAGCATCTTTAGCAACTTGCTACTGCTTTTGTCGAATTGAGTTTATTTTTCCGCGGGGCCGTATTAAATCGGCCGTCCTGTATATGATACGGGGCGGACGCGTGCGCCGCAATGTCCACGGTCCGAATTCGTGGATTCCGCCGCCGCCCCCGGTCGGTAAATCGCGCGCGATCAGTAGTAGCGGCGACAGCGATACGTGAGGACGGCCGTCGCGACGCGCGGCGACGATATGCGGCAACGTTGCACGCGGATGCTGCCGGCGTCCATCGTCGTCCCGCCCGAGTCATGGAGCTACCTAGGATCGCGTCCCAATCTTCCATATGCCCCCAGGCGATGCCGCCCGGTATCAGGCTGCTGACGCAGCCATGCGGCAGACCCAAGACGCCCGTCTCCAAGAGGTAGGACGAAAGAAGAATGATGACGATGATGATGAGATAACGCGCGAGAGAAAAAAAAAACGCCGTGCGTTCGAGAAAAAAATCTTTCTTCTCTTATTTCTCTCTCTCTCTCTCTCTGTCTCTATCTAAACGACTCGTAATGAATGTGAAATTACGCCACCGTTTTCATTCGAATATCTACGGGGTGTCTACTTATATTTGGCGTCCAATTTTTTTTTTAAAACGTGATCGAGTGATTAGTTTCCAAAAATTCATTGCTGGATCATAATATATTCTTTATACATATAGAATTGACCAGTCAGTTACCGAAGTAATTTAAAAAATGCAATGAGATTGATATTTATTTATATTGCGCGTTACGTCGCCATCGCATCGTTCTGAGAACCAAATAGAGTGGATATTTTTATTATCGTATTCGGGTATTCCTTGAAGAGGATTATATAGGTAAATCACAAACGCGTAATAATTTATTATAAAAATACGTATTATTATTAACACTCTACAATTAATATTTAAAACATTTCAATCAAATTTGACTAGTGGTTAATTGTCTGTCAATTGACTAGTCCCAAAACTAATAAACAGTCTCATAAATTTCAATAGAAGACAGTGTATCGTCATTGGAAAATATCTCTATTATTTTTTTTTTATAAAAAAATTTTTTTGAGGATTTTTTTTTTCGATATTGACATCACGTGAAATTATAATAATAATAATGGTGGCGCCTTGGTACTAAAAAATTATTTTAATATTATTAAAAAAAAATTATTAAAATACAAAACAGGACTATTTATTTGTTAAAAATAAATACTGAAATAAACCAAATCGTGTCTGTGAATCCTGGAAGCGGCATTGGTGGAACAACACCCTGGTGTTGAGAAGCGTATTTTTCTTAAAAAATGCCGTTTGTAATTATGAAAAGTTTAATATTTTTTAATTAGGACAATTAGGACATATATATATTTTTTTAATTGTAGCTTAGATCTTTTGAAATGGTGTTATAAAAAACAATTTTATTTAAATTTTAGTTTTACACGTGTAGACGTATAATATCTTTTATGTTATTAAAAGAAATATGGAATTTAATCTCAAACCAACAAGTTTATCAAATTACATGAGAAGTTTTATAATGTCAGGCACAGTGTGCAAAAATGGCGGAAAGTTATTTAAATGAGGTGGCCTCCAATAGAACATTTATGGGACCAAAGGGGAATGTAGCTTAGCTGCGTCGTTGGATGATTTAACAAATATTATCAGGGAAATATGGGCCAATATCTATCAAGCACATATTAAACGTCTGGTCTTTTTATTTGTTTACTTTTTATGAATTTGTTTCATTTTTTTTAATAAAATATAACTTATTATTTAATAAGTGGAATAAAGAAGTGAAAAAAATGCTGAGAAAAGATGGGGCTGTGACTGAGACGCCTAATCGTGTTGCCGGAAATTTTCAATTCAATTTAAATAAAATTGTTTTTTGTAACATCGTTGGTGACGACGTTGAAACTCTTTATAATGAAAAAAAAAAGCAGTCCCTTCAAGGCACTTGAAAAATAACAATACGCATATGTGTTCTGTAATATTTAAATATTTTATATACATATTTTAACATCTACCACATTTAATGTTTCAAATAATCGGTCATTTTCTTTTGAATTTTTTTAGTATGCCAATACGCATCTCGTACTTTGGCTTGTATTTTCACTATTTCTTCGAGAGGGGCATCTTTCCAATGATACATAAAAAATTCTCTTCCTCTGTCAAGTCTGCCGTTGAAGGCAAATTAATTATTATTATTAATTAAAATTTTCCCTTCCTCAGTTTTTTACTAGAACTGCCTGCCGCGTGAGCCTAAATGATTTTTTCTTTACGGTTCCAAATCGTGGATACAGTCGACGGTGTAAGTTCGTATCGACGTCCCACATCACTTTTCTTTTCTCCCCGTTCTATCTCCCGAATGTTCATCCGTTCGTTGTTTGACCCTGGAGTAGGATCATTCGCCTGACGTTTCGCCAAAATATCACTTGGCATCTTCAGAGGCTGCGCGTCCATATCACTCGCACGTGTCCGCACTTAAACTGAGGTGAAAATGGGCGGTGCGGCGCTTTTTATAATCGCGGTCCCCTCCGCCGTAAATTGTATCGCTGCGGAGTGGGGGACACGGTTGCCGCGACTAGCGGTGCTACCTCGCTATTGGTTCGATTTGATTGCGCCGCGGTGGTTGGCGCTTCCTCGCTATTGGTGGAAACAATAGGCTGTGCAATCACGCTGTTAGTGTGGTTTAGTACCACTTTCCAAACTGCAGGGAGGGTTGAGGCATCATCTCTGTTGTTTATGTTATCATGTTTTTGAATTTCAATCGCTTCCCTTATTGTTCTCTGTTTGAATGTTGTAATGTTTGCGATCTCCTTGCTTTCTCCAAAATTCATTCTGTGACCCGTCTGCAGGTGGTGCCGGTAGATTGCCGATGTCATTTGTTTGTTGCTTACAGCCAGTTTGTGTTCTTCGATTCTGGCTGATATTTTTCTGTTAGTTTGTCCTATGTAATATTTTCGACAGTCTCTACACGGGATTAGATAGACTCCTTCATTTTCTAGGTAAGAAGGGTCCTTTGGATTTCCTATTAGCTGACCCACTGTTTTGTATGGTTTCAGAATCCTTCCTACTTGATCAGTTACTCCTTTTACATATGGCAAAGTAGTTGAAGGTATGTCTTCCCTTTCCTGTTCTTTAATTGAGTCTCGCCGTGTCCTTGTGTTCGTCCTCTTGGCATTTCATATAGTAGACTCCGTATAGTTTTGTCTCGGAGTGTTCGTGTGATTTTTTCCATTTCTCGCTTGTTATGGATTTCGTCTGTGAGTCTCACCGATCTGCAGATCAGAGTATTGGCAACGGCCTGGATTTGACTAAGGTGATGGTGCGATTGTGCATTCAGGTACCTATCGGTGTGAGTAGGTTTGCGATATACTTGATGTTGCAGTTTTCTCCCGTCTGATCGTGTCAAAACGACGTCCAGAAATGGTAGTCCTTCTTTTCTATGGTGAACTCGGTTCTATCGTGTAAAGAATTCAAGTAAGATAGAAAATGATCTAGCTTAGCCTCTCCGTGGGATCATATGATAAAAATGTCGTCGACGTATCGGATCCAGAGCTTCGGCGTGAGTTGACTTTCTCGGATCGGTTGAGCTTCGAAATAGGCCATGAACAGGTTTCCTATTGCTGGCGAAAGTGATGACCCCATTGGGGCGCCATCTGTCTGTCTATAGAGCTAACCATCGTATCTAAAATACGTGTTCTTTAGGCAGTGCTCCACTAGCTGTATGACGTGTGATGGGATGTCTTCGTTCATTGTGATCAGGTCCAAAGCCTCGTCAATAGGTATACTCGGGTACAGAGATTTTACATCGAAGCTAGCCAAGATATCTTGTGGATCGATGTTGATTTCCTTTATCAGTTGTAAAAAGTGTTCGGAGTTCTTTACATAAGATGCCTTGGCTTCCACGATAGGTTGCAGTATGTTAGCTAGATACTTCTCCAACTTCTGTGTTGGGGAATTGAAGGCGCTTACGATTAGTCTCAGTGGTACGTCGTTCTCGTGGATTTTTGGTAAACCGTAAAGTTTGGGACACCTGCTTGACTTTTCTCGAGGTATAGGTTTCTTTTGCAGCTGCTCATCCTGGATAACTTGCTTGATCTTTGCTTTGGTGGTTTTTTCCAGATAAGTTGTTGGGTCCCTTGATACCTTTTTATAGCAGTCGTCTTCCAGTATCTGTTGCATCTTCCTTTCCTAGTCCTCTGTATTCATGACTACGGTGGCGTTCCCTTTGTCTGCTGGTTATTTCCACACGCAGCCTCTGAAGATGACAAGTGATATTTTGGCGAAAAGTCAGGCGAATGATCCATCCTACTCCAGGGTCAAAGAACGAACGGATGAACACCCGGATTACCACCAATACACATAGTTCCATCCGTAAAGGACTAAAACAAAACATATATATATATATATATATATATATATATATATATATATATATATATATATATATATCCAAATTTTAGTTTAGCGTTAATATTGCATTCAACGCAGGTTGCTCAGCACGTCCATTCAGCAACAGCAACAGCAGCAGCAGGAACCGCAGATCCCGACGCTGCCCTGCGCCCCCCAATACCGGCCGAGTCGTAGGCGCGAAGAAGCCCAGGTGCTCCAGAACCTGAGGCGCAAGTTTAACGCCGCCAAAATAGTGCAGGCCAACAGGCCGGAACCGGTCGAGGCAGCCGCGTCCACCGCTAACAACAACGTCACCCCGGAGGAGATCGACGACAGACCTAATTTGTTCCAAAAGGTAGCCGCTGCTTTTCCTTTTCAAACGATTTCGTATTTCCCGCGGTTACACTTTCGTGCTTAAAAATACAAGATATATTCGAGTAAAGTACCCTAGGTTCTAGTACAGTTCATGTTTTTTCTGCGATATTCAGGCGCTTTTCAAACATCGCTACGAAGTAAAGCAACTGACGCAACATATTGACATTGGGAGGCCCGGAGAGTCAGGAAATATTAAAAATCGCATTTTTAAGGCTCCACGAAAAAAGTCGTTTGTCTAAAACCGTTCGTGACATCGAAAAAAATTCTCGAATGAGAGCACACAAATTGTTAGTTTCCCTGAGTTTTATTCCAATTAAAGTTTGCGCAGCCCATACAGAGTTTAAAAAATACTTAAAAAATATAGTAGCTGGCCGAAATTGCCCTCCCCCCTCCTCCCTCCAATAAAAAAGGTTACAAATTTATTTGGGTTATTTTGAGTTCCCGAAAAAAAAATTTTTTCTCCGTTTTTTTACTACTAGAATTAAATAATTAGTCACTAATGAAAAACTTCAATAAAATTTTAAAAAGTTATTTTCTAGCAATCGCAGAACTAGAAACGCTGAGAAATTTGAAAAAGAAAAAATCCAAACGGTCACGTTGGCTTAGTTTTCGATAAAATCAAATATTGGTTTTTTTTTCATAAATCGATAATCCCTCGAGATAAGGATAAAGGGAACCGGAAATGAATCATGAATTTTACACAATAAAACCAGCCGTCAAAGATTCGAATCGTAACATTTATTTCGATATAATCTAACAGAAAAAAAAAGGAACATCAAAATTTGCGTGTACTTAAATATGTGGCGTTTTGCGAAAAAACACGAAATAAAAACACAATCGAAAGTCTCTCCGTGTCGCTCTCTCTCTCTCTCTCTCACCCTCACCAAAGAAAAAAGAAATCACGTTCGTTGATCAGGCACTCTCGATGAACGATTGGAAAATAAGCTCTTGTGCGCGCGTTATAACTCTTTGGCGGATTTTCTTTCGGGGGGGATGACCGGCCCCAAAAATGGCCCCGAACGCGTCTAAAGCGGGAATGGGGCTGGCTCTTCATTTTTGTTCTGGCGCTTTTTCCTCCGCCGCCGCCGGAGGTGGTGCGATAGTACCGTTTCCGGCCTTCTGCTCAGCGGCCCCCGACCTTTTCGGCGGCAGACGCAGCTTCAGCGGGTTCCTCAGCTTCCTCAATTGGTACTCGATCTTGTGAATCTCGTCCTTCAGATGATTGTAACGGTCGAGGTCGACGCCCAGCTTCTTTGCCTTCCCGTGCAACACCAGTAGGTGCTGTCGGTCCTTGATATCTGTCAGCACATACTCCTCCTTGGTGAGGACGAAATACGCGTAGCACGCCATTGCTGTACCGTACGTGACAAAGTAGGTGACCGGTTCCATGATATCCCACGAGTATTCCCACCACGTGAGCCGCGCCAGGATACCAAACTGGGCCGACATCAGGCCGAGCCCCGCCCACACGAGCCAATTGTTTTTCTTGTGCGCCACCAGTTCCAGTTCGAGACGTTTCTCTTCCAGCGGCTGTATCTCTTGCTGCAACGCCTCCATCTGCGCTAACAGGTCCTTCTCCTTGGTGATTTGGTGCTCGTCGACGTGGAGCGCCCGGTACAGGTTATTGACCATGTTCTTGATGTCGCTGAGACTCTGCACCTCCTCGCTGGTGGCGCGTTGCGGTTTCGGCGTGGTCACAGTGTAACACGTGTCGTTCACCACCAGCTTGAAATTGTCGTCGAGCAGGGTTTCGATTGTGTTGGAAGACGCTATGCGAGTACCGTCCATGGATCGACACACTGCTCTATCTATGCCGCGGTCCTCTTTCCTGAGCATTTCCAAAAACTCGCCGACCGTATTCGAGATGGGTTTCAACGTGAAGCTGCACCGTTCGCGGCGACTCGGCAACGGCACCGTTATCTTCGGCAAACCTTTGTGATATTCGAGGGTCACCTGCTGTTGCTGCTGCTGCTCCTCGGACTCCGAGTCGCTATCCGACGACGAGCTAGACGAACTAACGACCCTGACTGCGTCATTCTTTTCCGCGTTAATTAAATTTTTCGCCTCGGAATACGGCGCGATCCTAACCTGGAACGTTTTGTTCAGCAGCAGCAGCCCGCTGGCGACGGGGAAAAAGTCGTTTCTCACCAGTAGCCGGACACCGCACGCGAGCCTGGGCATCGCCATTTTATCGAGGCCGTGTCGTGTTTCTATTTTTCCACATTATCACCCAAAAAAAAACGAAGCGATCGCCGCCGGCAGGCGCCAGGTTTTATTTTCGTAACACCACCTGCGTCCTCGTCGCCGTTTTAAAAATAAACCGACGGGGCGCGAACCTTACGTCCTACACGCGCGATCGCGTCACATTTCGGTGTCGGAACGGCGGAAAAAAAACAGAAATTTTCACTGACTTGCGAAGCAAAAAAAAAAACGATTGTGATCTCTTCGGACGTACGGACGGCGATTCTGCTTGACGTCCGTCATGCACAGACCGCATCGCGTTTTTTTGACGCCGCGACAGCAGCGGCCGCGGTCGGGAACTAAATGCGCCGTGGGCGCGTTCCGGAATCGTCTCGAATGCGGATGTCCCGAGTGTTTGGGCGCATGGCCGCAACCGCGTTCCGTAACCGCATATTATGGATTTTCCCCCCCGGCCGAGTCGTGAGGGAAAAGCGCCCCGAAACTTATTCACAAATTTTTGAGCCCGCATCATATGGGCATATTTTTTACCAATGAATTTTAAACTCCCGGTCCTGGAGACAGTTTGTGCATCAAAAATAATAAATAAATGAGTTTACGAAAGTCTTTTATTAATTCAAAAAATATTATCGGAAAAAATGATTTCTTTTTCAATTTTCTCCAAACGTGCGATTTTCAAAAAAATTCAATATTGGAAATGATTTTTGATCCCCCCTTTTTTTGTGTAATTTATCTTCGATATTCGATTTCAAAGAAAGTCTTTAAATTTACAACAAACAGATATACTTCAAATTATAAGGGCTATATTTTGTTCATTCATTCATTCCCTGCATGTTTAAGCAATTTTGACCATTTCCTGGCATATAATTTTAGATGGAACCTACAGGGCGTTATGTGCGGGTTTTCTAGAAACACGGTTTATTGAATTTTTTTAAATAGCACAGCTCAATTTACTAATTCTAGGAAAGAAACTAACCCAATTTTGATTTCGAAGACAGTTTCGCACGAATAAATTTCGTAAAATCTCATTTTTGTTTAATTAGTAGTTTTCTTCTTGTTCGGCCATCCGCTTGAATTATAATAATCTAATAAAATCTAATAAAGTATGACCTTTTAAATTGTTGGAACTTATTAAATTGATTTTTGAGTTTCGAAAAAAGGCAAGATGGTTGAGAAGAAACTAAAGTTAAATGAAAAAGAGGTTTTACGAAGTTCGTTTTGTCTGTGCGCGCAACTTTCTTCGAAAGGACGGTTTCTTGCCTAGAATCTAAAAATGATTTGACGATAATATACAGGCGATGCCATTTAAATTAAGCAAGATGAAGCGACGTTTATATAGAAGCGGCAACAGGTATTAATTAAATAATTAATAAATTAATTAAATTGCCTCTTTGGATTGTATTTTTTTTTCAAAACTTTGCATCGAAGATTTATATGAAATTTCTATTGGTGATATATTTAATATCAAAAAATATATATTACTTTTTTTTACAACTACGCGGTGTTCTGGCATCCAATTTTCCATACTTGAAGAGTTATGATTAATTGAGTTGTAATGTTTCTTGCACGCTATTATCTATGTTCTTACGTAATGCTTGTTCACCTATATATTCGGGTCCCTTGGAGTGTAGTGCGAGGAAACTGCGTTTGAACATGCGAAACTATGCATGCACGAGATAAACGTGTACTAAACAAAATTAATTTTGTGAATAGTTTATTGTACTGGGTAAAATTTATATTAGCTTAGGGCGTCCAAAGACGTTATGAAAGTTTGTGTCAGTACGGATAAAGAATATTTTTGTTTTTGAACGAAATAGGCTGAATTATTTTGGTCGAATTTTGTTTTTAAAGGAAATTTCGATACGAGAAACACATTTTGATGTTTGTTAGTGTCAAATGGCTAAATCTTATGCAAAAATCTTTTTACTACGCATATAACTTGTGCGTGCATAAGGAAAATTGATAAATATCGATAAAAATGGATAAAATCCAATCTGTATATACTAATTATATTAATGCAATTTTCTTATATTTAGGGCAAATTTAGGTTATACATCTTGAAATACAAATTGTTTACTGGCTTGTTTTATAATAGTTTCTAATTTCCCTGGTTAAATTTCCTTGGCACGAATGGACGAGACATTTTTTCCACTGAGATGTTTCCTGCGTGATATTAAGTATTAATATGGTAATTTTATCGGCCAAATTTCTTGCAACTTGGTAGTAGACATGTTGCATATTTACAATTCTGGCTACCGGGCTTCAGAATGTTTTTCTTCTTCTCGTTCCTCTCCTAATCTTGTTAACAGCTGCTCTGAATAGTTGGTTTGATGTCATTCCAAATCATTCCCGTAGGTTTTTGAGCAAAGAGCTTCTCCTTCTGTCCTTGATCTTTAATTCTATAATGTCCTGTAGCCTCGCATATTTAGGTCTTCTGATTACGTGGCCAAAGCATTCCAATTTTCTTCTTTTCAGAGATTTGATCGTTTCCTCCTGTTTGTGGGTTTTCTGTAGCAGTTCTAAATTAGAAACCCTGTCAGTATTCGCCGATAATACCACCTTTCAGATGTTCAAAATGTGGCCTAACTTTGGAAGCAGCTCTATTATTTTAGACTGACAACAAAATAATATCTACCCAGTTGCATACATTATTATTAAGGTATTTTGCATGGGCCTTCTGAGACTTAAATGCCATCGGATTTTATAATCATTAATCAGTCTAACCGACTTTATTCGTATTCTCTTTGACAGATAAATTATTTTGATTTCATTTAAATTGACACCTCCTCGACTACGCCAAAAAGGCACGAACGTCACGTAGCCCCTCCCCAAAAACAATTTTTTTTTCGTGTAATACAGTACGACCAAAAATATAGTGCATTTATTGCTCTGACGTTTTAAGTATTTTACAGTACCTTAACCGGAGACCTTCGCAGGACCATGGTAAAACTCATCCATGTTTGTTCTGTATTAAGTAGGTCTTGCCTGAAATGGACCGTAAATGGGCCGCTTTAAATTTTATTAAGCATTGATGTTGCGGGGTATATTACGTACGCCGGAACGAAATCAAATGACATACATGCCGCTTTTTCGCCGCCCGCCCCAACCCTCGGAAAAGCTAGCATCTTGTATAATACGGCACGACAAAACGGCCAGAAGCAGAGGGGGCCCGTTTGCAATTTGTATAACGGCGTGCAAAATGTCAAGGGCGCGGGGGAACGGGCACCTTTGTATCGAGACGTGGTCCCCTCCCCTCTCGCCCCACTCGTGAGGGAACGAAGGAAACGAACACCGACGGATTATTAATGGCCGTTTGAAACGCCACGAAAACGAATAACGGGCGGAAACGGCCAATCGCTTTCCAAACTTATAAAAACGATTCGTTTAAGTTTAAAAAAATAATAAAATTAAACTTTGCTGAAGCTCCTGAACAAAATCCGATTCACGACAAAAATGATATTGAACCGTAAAACTTAGTAGTCTTCGATAGGTTAGTAAAGTATAGTTCGCCGAATGATATACGGAAGGGGCCATTTTTTTCAGAGAAATTTTCTTTGATTAAAGTGCTATATTAATTTATATTACTGTGCTTTTTATAAATATTCCTAAAACAGTGCCTACTTGAGGTAGCTCGATTTATTATCGATATTAAAAACACATTAGAAAGCTTAAACTGATTTCTAACATAATGACTGTAAAATATTTTCTTAAGAAAATAATACAAAATCTTATGTAGATTATTGATTTATAATGGAAGTTTTCCCATTTTCCTATTGGTTGATTTGTGGGGGTTGGTGCTGTCAGTTTCATGAAGCAGTATGTTCCTTCTTTCTTTACTACAAAACCATTAATAAGAGACAAGTTTTGATGGAATCAAGAAGGATTTCTGAAGTGAGAGAAATCCAAGAAATTTAGATGAGACCAGGTTTGATAGCTACGATACCGTCTAGAAAAGATACACGGAAACAGCAGGAAATGTTCGTTGGATATGCCATATTAAATGACGACAAAACATGACAGCGGATATCTTTGAACAATGGTTTTCTGAAAAATTGCTTCCCAATATGCCACCAAACAGTGTTGTGATGGACAACGGCAGCTACAAGCGGAAAAAAAATCCAATTCACCATCGACTAAAGAAGTGATTCAAATTTTTTTTGCTTTGAAAATTCCTACACAAAGAAGACGGGAACGTTTGATATGTATATATATATATATATATATATATATATATATATATATATATATATATATATATATATATATATATATATATATATATATATATATATATATATATATATATATATATATATATATATATATATATATATATATATATATATATATATATATATATATATATATATATATATATATATATATGTAACGTGGACAAATTGGCCATGAAACGGGGTCTTCCACTACAACACTGCAATTTTATTCCGATAGAACTGATATGGGAACCCAGGTGTTGTTTCTTCTTAAACCCAGTTTAAGAAGAAACAACAACAAAGGTAGGTCTGCGGTTAGACCTTCATAAAAATTTACCAAAGTTAAATACCAGATTATGTCCTAAAACGGTATATCTTCGGGCGAACTATACCTGCGATAACTGAAAAGAGGCCCGAGAGATGGATAAATAGTTGACGTACATGGGCTTTAGTGCTTAAAATTAGAAATATAGTTATTTTAAATCAGTTGTTGGCAAAATTCCTTCTTGATTGAAGGTTTTCTGAAAATGAGAAGTAATTTTTTTCAATGTTTCCTCGCGTCGAAAGCTCAACATCCGGCATTGCAAACACAGTTGATGTTGATGGAAGTCAACAATACGCCGACTGGTCACCAAAGAGGATAACAGGAATAAAAGAAACTGTAATAAATAAGGATGAAAAAACTGCCATCAGAAGAACAATACATTCGTTTTACTTACACCTACTTTGGACAAAATAATGTCTGAAATGAAAAAGGATGAAGACGATATTTCAGAAGAGTTAGACAATTTCGAAGGGAAAAAAGATGGTCCATTGGAATGAAAGCACCCCTGGAAAAAGGTAAAAGATTAATGATTACTCACATTGATAGCAAAAATGGGTTTGTCGGTAGTAACTAGATTTTCAATCAAAACCGACTCAAGCCATGACTGCTGATATTTTGAAGACTACGAACAACAAATGCTAGATTTTATTCCTCCTGGGTCTTTTTGATATCATTCATTCAATTACTTTAAAAAATAAGCAACATATGACAGAGCACAACAATAGAGTGATGATAAACATTAATGGGTAAAATATTCGGTTAAATTATAAAAACAGTTTTCTAGGAGGAACAACTTTTGTTACGATTTAAAAATTTTTCATTACTACTGTTTTTTTAGCTCTGGGGACAGTCTATTGTAGACTCCAATACCGGTGTTCGTAAAATATTTTTTTGAAAATTCTAGTCTATTTTTTTTATGGAGAAACAGTCTTTGTTACGTGTGTTATAGCCGTGGAAATCTCCGTTTTTTTGTAAGGTATTTTTATTTTTATATACCCATGAACAAACTTCTAATATGTCACGTTAAAGGCAGTATTTTACACTCCAGGAAGAGGGGCCTGCACGAACTATCCGGCGACACTCCAGCAATCTACTTTAGGACTATTTTTTGGGATTTGAAAACAGATGTCGCATGACTTGAATTTCCCCAAAAGGGAATACCATACCATATCTCGAATAGGTGTGAACATAGTAGAAATTGACCATGCACTTTCCAGTCAAAACAGTTTTTAAATTTTCTATTAGGAAACAATAACTATGTAGCTTTGAAGAAAGTAATTGGCATTGAGTTTCCTGCCTACGATTTGTTAACAACGATCTGAACCAGTTCAGAGCTATTCCACGAATTCCGTTTTATGCCATCCTATTCAAAAGAGTGCATAAAGTCAAACGACCTGCTAAGAACCCAAATATCCCAGCAGGGTGCTCTCCAGACTCAATATAGTGAATGAATGGATAGCTGTTTGGGTTGATCTACCTGTTCTGAAACCGTGTTGACATTCAGAACTTTCAGAGCTGTAGGAAAAGCTCCCTCTGTTAATGATGCATTTATCAGTGAGGTCAATGGACTCAGGATATAGTCGGCACATATTTTGAATATTACAAAAGTCGTTTTTTATTTTAGTTTTTATTAAATTCGATATTTCCTCTTGAGAGAATATACTTCCGGGGAAGCTTCCGATTAAATCTAGAAATGAATTTTTGTGCATGTTCGATGACTTCTTAATTTTGTCAACTATTTTATTATTTGTATGCCAAGTTATCCAGCCTGGTCATTGCAAATTTTCATTTTATTAGTCTCTCACGTTAAGAAAAATAGCATATCGTTAATCGCTACACAGCTTTTAAGATTTATTAAGCGCAAGGCACGACCTTCGCATAATTCGAAACACCATTTGAAAAGATTAATGGCCGCCGTTATCGGCCCAAAAATCCTCACGTAAATCTGGCGCGCCGGTTTCCGAATCGCATCAATCTTTGGCGTAAATTTTCACCCTTCCTGCTGACGTCATTGAGAGAGAGAATGGAAGAAAATTGCACCGTTCCGTTTCAGATACTGCTAAACCGGCCCGTCAGTATGATCCTCGACCTATCGGAGATCAGGACAGCCTGGCAGGACAGCGATTTCATCACCGACTGTTTGTGCTGGCACAACGTCTACAGGCAACGTCACAACTCTCCGCCGCTGACGATGTCTCCGGAGGTACGGCGTTTTACCACCGAAATATAAACGCGACAGAAAGGGCAGAGAAAGCAAGAGCAAAAAAAAACTTTTCATTGATAACGCGTATGAAGTTAAGGCTTCGATTAATTGCGATACACACTCCCAATTTTATGTTTTATTATTATTATTAGAATTATTTATTGTGTATTAAAAAAAGCAAAAGGAAATTCTCAAGTTTCGGGATGTCAGCTCCTAGTTTTAACTATCTAATCCTTACAGTAGTATCCGATGTACGTCCCTATCGTAGTTTTCAGGTTTTCTATGTTTATGCTTAAGAGGGAATCAGCTGTGCGTTTCGTAGGATATTCTATTAATGTCTTCGAATGAACTAGTTCTGGAAGTCATAGCGTAGATTGCATTTCTTGCCGATTAACGAGAAATAGTAAACATCGATTGTGGTCCTATGGGTGAAGAAATAAGACTTTTTCAGCAACAAAGATAAGAGGTGTTTTTTTTCGATGTATAGAACTTTAAGTTGCAATAAAACAACGATGGATTATTCGATTGACATGAATTTTATTTATCCGAAAGATAATCTTGTGGCATTACATTTTAAATATGATTTCTGGCATATGACCGCCACGGCTGGCGCGGATGTAGCCCAATCTGGACGTCCAATTTTCATGACTTTACATAGCCCCAGAGAAAATCACAAGATCTTGGAGGCCAATTCGCAGATCCAAAACGTGAAATTAGGCGGTCACCAAACGTGTCTTTAAATAAATCGATTGCGGCACGAACTGTGTGACATGTTGCACCGTCTTGTGGAAACCACATCTCCTGGACATCATGGTTATTCAATTCAGGAATGAAAGAGTTAGTAATCATAGCTCTATACCAATCACCATTGACTGTAACGTTCTGGCCATCATCGTTTTTGAAGAAGTACGGACCAATGATTCCACCAGCCCATAAAGCGCAACAGTCAGTTTTTCTGGATGTAACGGTGTTTCGACATACACTTGAGGATTAGCTTCGCTCCAAATGCGGCAGTTTTGTTTGTTGACGTAGCCATTTACAAGAAGTGCGCTTCATCGCTAAAGAAAATTCGCTTATGAAAATCGGTAACAACGGCAATCTCGTTTTGGGCCCATTCGACGAATCTACGCCTTATTTGATCATCGTTTGGCTTCAATTCTTGCACGAATTGGATTTTGTAAGCACGTAAACCAAGATCTTTCCCCAAAATGTTCCATAAAGTGGGTGGACACAAATCCAATTCCTGTGCTCGATGGCGGATGGACTCATTCGGGTCTTCTCAAATGCTATGCTCTACAGCAGCAATAGCTTCTTCTGTACGCACCGTACGGCGCCTCTGGGGATCCGAGTTATCAATAAGAGTAAACGTGGTGCGAAAACGTTCCATGGATAATCGAATTAACTGCTCTGATGGCCGATTTTGTCGACGATAAAATGGGCGTAGTACGCGATACGTATTCCGCACAGAACCATTATTTTCGAAATAAAATTGCACTATTTGCAAGCGTTGTTCAGGCGTGAGTCTATTCATGATGAATTGCCAAACCAAACAGAATAAATCACTTGACAGCTGTTAAATCGGTCGCCATCTTGAACAGTAATGCTAACTTAAAGTTCTATACATCGAAAAAAAACACCCAGTACATGTTCCATGAACCTAAGTCTACAGTCAAATATAACACCAAGATTTTTATTACAATTCACAATTTTCAAACGTTCACCATCAATAAATACATTTGGGATACTTGTACAATGTTAGGTTTAGGAGAAAAGAACTACACTGTATTTTTTACCATTAAGTTGAAGATTATGCCTAAAAATAATTTATGCAAATCCAAATTGATAATAATTGAAGCAATATCAAATAACGCAGAATTTGAAGACGAAGTGGAGATGATAGTCGAACTACCTCAGCAAATAAAAAAACGCTTCCATTTGTAGTAGGAGCAGCAATAAAAACAAGTGACATGGAACGTAATAAATTGTTACTTTGTTCTAATTTTTTTATGTACTGGTCGAAGTAGCAAGGCATTACTTTTAACATGAAGGACCTTGAAATCCTCTTGCAACACGGTGTAAAAACAGTGGTTTGTGAAAAATGTGACAACACTGTAGAGTTCCTTATTATTCAATGTTAGGTTAGGTTTACACTGCATTTTTTGGCATTGAGTTGAACGCATTACGAAACGAACTGTCGATTTGTTGGCAGTTGTGCCACTTAGCGCAGACGTGGGCCAATCATCTCGCACACACCAACAAGTTTTACTATCGCAACGACAGGGACATCGGACAGAACCTGTTCTGTAGGGCTACGAACGTCATAGTGACGGACGTGTCGGGCCAGGAGGTCACCACGTATTGGTACGCCGCGGTCAAGCAGTACGACTTCGGTAACGAACCCGACCGGCTAAAGGCCAACGTGAACGCTGGTGAGACATCGATAAAAAATTACAAATTCGAAAACTGTCGAAAAAACGCACCTTCAAATTTTATTTTCAACTGTCGAGGTATGAGACGCTAGGCAATCAGGTACAACTAAAAAAAAAACTGAAAAAAAAACAGTGGAAATTCCCGTCAAATAATATCGAGAGAACTCTAATTAAAAAAAAATCTGTACAGTGTGTCTATTTTGCGTTGATATTGCAACTTAAGAATCTTAGGCACAGTTACTATTTTAGTTACTTTGTTTTTGAGATACAGAGAAAAAAAAACTTATCCATTCCAGTTACCACCAACCACCAATATATATTATTTTAATTAAATATTAATTATAAATAAAATTATTATAAAAAAAAACAACTACAGAACACAAAAAGGTTAAACATTTTCCCATAAATTGTATATTTCAATATGTCACGAAATAGGGGAATAACGTGAAATATTCTTTTTTAAAATAGATTGCAAAATTTTGCAAAAGCAAACCAACAAGTGTAAATAGTTATACATTCTTTTTTTTTTAATATTCCTTTATGCCTTTTTAGAAATCATATAAAAAGCTCAATCAAAATTTTAAAAAATATACATGGTAAAAAGTGAAAAAAAAATACACACCGATCTAACGTGCGGGATGCGTCACTTTACCACGTCAGTTTCGTTTCCCACGGATTCGAGCCGCTTCGGACATTTCCGGGATTTTACCGCACGGGTTTGGGAGCAATCGGATGTTTTCAGAGATATTTCCCACTCCTTGAATTTTGAATGTATTCGCGTTGTTTTGCGAAAATGTGAAAAAAACTAACGGTCGTAGAAAAAGTCGTTTATTAAACAGTCGCTCGGCTAGTGTCGTTTACAACACTTGTTGCATAATATACTAATTATACCGAGTATTCCATTAAAAAAACTCTGAATACGATACTGGATTCTACGTAAAAAGATATCTAAACCCCAGCAGACACAATTCAATTTCTACATGTATGTGTGCATTTTTAATAGATAAACATTTTTTGATGGTTGACACGATGAAATTTTTTTCGTTCTAAATGGCCTTGATTATTTTGGTGGAATTTTGGTTTTGAAGGTTGTTTTTTAAATTTTGATAGTTTATTCAAAATTGTTTTTACCACTCATATAACAACTTCCGGATATAACGAAAATCCATCATTCTAATACTAAAAAGAAAGAAATTTTATTTGTTTATATATTCTCTAAAACTAATTTATGCGCAATTCTCTTACATTTAGGATAAATATTGAAATGCAGTTTTTTTTTAACGAATTGTTTGTTGGCTCGTTATTTCTTAATTTTTCTGGTTAAATTTTACAACAGCCGCAGTTTTTTAAACAAGATTTTGTTACAGAGGTCAAACCTATACGTTTATGAAAACGAACGCTTAGCGCTGGTTTACATACACAAGGTCTGGAAATAATAGCTTTTATGCCAAATTTCTTGCAGTTTGGTAGTAAACACGTTGCAAAATTTACATGAAAAACTACATGTAGGAATTGAATCATGACTATCCGACCTAAGATACAGGGCGTTGATACAAAGGGCAACTGAAATGCACAATTTTCTGTTTCTCCCTGTATCTCGAACGAAGCCAGTTATAAATGTTTTCGGGATACCCCGCAATAATAACAAAAAATGGTCACGCTGTACTTACGGTAGGATTACTAAATTTATCCCCTTTAACCTCAAAAACAAATACAAGGAGGTGAATTTTTTTTCGCTCTTTCAAGGCCACTTCACGCAGCTCGTGTGGCGCAGAAGCAGCTACCTCGGAGTGGGCAAAGCGCGCTCGAGGTCGGGCAAGATCGTGGTTGTGGCTCATTACGCGCCGGCCGGGAATGTACCCGGAGCATACCTTCAAAACGTTTTCCCTCCATGCGAGGAGCTTCCCCGGTAACTAGGCGAGAGTGTTATACCGATTACATAACAAAAAAAGCCGTTATACGTTTCAGGGTACCCGCCCCGCGGCGGTATATCGCGTCGGGGAGCAGCACGGCCAGCGAGTCGAGCAGGAGTACTACCGCCAGTACCTAGACGACTTTTATAGGGTAAATTTTGTTACATAGAACGCCTAGACGCAGCAAAGGAAAGGGGAATTGTTCAAAAATCGATTTTGAGGATTCGTACGATACACCAACGGGGGTTCGCAAACAAGCCGCGAGCTAGAGATGAAGAGCTAGCCGTTATTGTTGACTACTTTATGGAGCTTCCGGCCGTTTAACTTTACACTTGGCTTAAAATTATAATACTCGTAATGTTAATTGAAACGGCTTAAAACAGTCATCGAGCAATCATCCAACAATCGGCATACCAATACAATCAGTCCCTATACGTAATCATCATATTTTTGTACCCGATTTACCACCGGCAAAACTTGTAAACCGTCGCGACGCACATTAACGTCAAACAATCAATTTCGTCCATTAGGAAGTAAATACTGGACAGAACCGTGTCGCGCTGGCTTTATTAACACTGAAGACTGATATTTTTAGTTCCACAGACACACCACACCGCTAATTTCCCGGATTTTCCGACCCTTTACGACATAAATTTTGCAATTTCCATATTCCTTGCCCTATAGTTAGAGCCACTTCACGTAGTCCCAATCAAAAAATGTTCCCTACTTAAGAGCACGCTATAGGTAACTTTAGAAAGCACTACTAATTGTTTCTAGAGAACTTAAACTCAACATTATATAAATAAATCTAACGCTAGTAACTGAAGTAACGATTTAAAAATTGTTTTCTTATAATGATTGAGTGATATTCGGCTGTGTTTTAACGACATATATACGTAAAAATTTTGTGTTTTGCCGGCATAGTATTGAAATATGTCCAAGCTAATCGCCATATGTGTGTGTGAAGAAAACGTCGGCGCTTTTTATTAGTTCACCGTCGATGTGCAATACTATCAGCATGTAACGTTTGTTATTCAATAAAAAAATCCGTTTTACGAAGCAGTAGCGTAATTCAAATCGTGTGCGGCGAGCATCGAATCTATGGTCTGTGTCTCTCGTCGAACAACCAATTTCTGTTCCATCATCGCCAATCGATAATAACCGATTTGTGTGGGACGCGTTTGTCAAACAATGTCATTTGATTTTAACCCGCAAAATGGCTTCCAAAAAGTGTCTTACAAAAGAAAAAGCAGACTGAAACCGAAAACAGAGATCGCGGCGCAAAACGAACTCGATCCATTTTTCGATAAGTTGGCAAATGTGAGGTAGGTGTTTGAAATATTATTAGGGCCGCGTTCGATAGTGACGACACTTTACTTTCAGACGCGTAATCCAAGCGAAAGAAGAACTAGTGACAACGGACTTCTTCGAATCGGTAACTGCGTCGTTAAGGGAAGGCCTGCAAACTCTTGACGGTAAAAAATTCGACGAGATCATATGTCTGGGACTGGGACGCGTGTCGCAACTTCTAGTGTCGCGTTATCAGTTGGCATTACTATTGTGCCTGAGAGAACTCTACGGGGTGCAAGTGCGCGCGTCCGATCCCATTTTTAATGAACATGATAAAATTTTACTGGATTATTTTGACGTTTCGGTTGTGGACGAGAATCTAGAGGGGAAATATCGCGCCGCCAGTGGTTCAGTTACCCTGTTTTATCTACCGCATTGCTCGAGACAATTGACGAACAACCTTTTGTGGTCTAACTGGGGATTGAACTTGAACTCGTGCGCGATCATCGCCAACAGTTTTAACCAAATTGTGGAGAGTCGTGTCGGCAGATGGGAAGTGAACGAGTCAGCGGGTTACATCGCTCGAATATGCCCGTATGTTTTAGAGTTGGCCGTCATCAACAGTTTCAAATATTACGAGGTGTTTAACGATACTGCCGTCCACTTTTTCCCGTGGAACAGGCTCAAGCTTATTTCTGAGGATTTCTGGGAACGGAACCCGGAACCTGCTTACGACCTCACCGACTTAGAGTTTATAACCAAAGAGTTGCCTAATAAAGTGATTTTATTCTAACACTAGTTGGTCCGCTCGCGATTTATTCTCCGCTTCCCGTTTTTTCCTCTCGTTATTGGCCGCCGCCTGTCTTTGGTAAAGCTGCGTCTGCTTGATTGCAGCGTGTAGACAAAAGAACAGGTGCAGGGATTGGATTTTGTTTTTGCCTACCGGGATGTCGAAGTAGCCGCACACGGTGTCCACGTACTCGCCCAACAGCATGTCCGCGCGCGGTTTAGGGAAGCCAACCTCTTTGAGGCGCTTCTCGACGTCCTCGGGCCACTCTTGCATCAAATCGTCCAGGTCGGGCATGGGCCTGTAACACAGAGAGCGCTCGTCCCACCTAAGACCGCGTAAAGGGGGCGTGAGTTCCCTTACTGAGAGTATCTGACAATTGGAGACGATTTGCTTCTGTGCAAATGCGATATGTCTTTGATCCATTTTTCAATCACTTTAGAGTTCTTTTCAGTGTTGTCGATTTTTTTCACCACCTACAATTCAAGATTACCGAATCCGTTGCTTACTAGGTGCGGGTGCGCTGCTCACAAGTGCTTTAGGGGGTGCTGTTTTTATTATATTACTTGGCAACTAATTTGTGTTCTGAGAACGGTGGCTAGGGTGCCAGGAAGAGCTCACAAAAATTGCCAGTATAGGAGTTACATATTGTTCCCAATCACAAATGACCACACACTCTAAATTTCTGTAATTTTTGTCGCACTCTTGCTTTTCAATATGCAAGCAACCGAATAAAAACGAAAATGAATCAACTAATTTCATTTTTTAAACGTGAATGAAATTTACACGCAAGAAATACAAAAATATTGACACCACAATGAAAAAGTGGGCACACCATTGCACCTGGTAGAATAAGATAAATTTAACAGCAGATTGAGGTATTTCTTTGGCCAGCATTTGATTTTTTTTTCATGAACATTTCCTTTTTTTCATAACAATTGCACAAATATCCACGAGGCATGCAAAAAAAAATCTGATTTCTCACCACATCTTCATTGTTGTCGCTAACTGTCAAAACGTCGGCGTCGGCGGCGGCCCTGAGCTGCAACTGAAGCAGAGCGGGGTCACTCTGATTCGCGGCGGGTTCGTCGAGAACGAGCAATCCCAGCTGGAGCCCGTTTTCGTCGTACACGTCCCCCGACAATGTAGTTTCTGGAGGGATAATTTTCAGGAACGCGTCAATATCGCCTACGGCGGGCAAAAATTCCGGCACAAACGGTTTAAACTTGTATTCGATGTTCAAATGTTGTGGAGTGTACCTGCGGCCCATTAATTATGTCACGCAGCCATATTTATTATTCCCACTTACTTTACGATGTATTGAAAGACGGCTCGAACATCGTCATCCACAATCAAGTCGTCGTACATCTTGGGATCGTACTGTCCCGGCAGCGTCTTGCGCACACTGCCGTCTTCGCTCTCTTCGCTATCGCTCGAGTTCAAGCTCTTACGTCCTTTGGGCAGCGCCGTTTTCTTCGACGGCCCCGCGCTCGGCACTCGTTGACGCGGTAACGCCTCCGGCTTTCTAGTGCTCTGAAATTTTGTTTTTCCGCAGACCCGCACACTACATAACAAATATGGTCGTTACTTTCTGACTCCAATCATCCGATTCATGACCCGTTTTAAGCGCGTACTGTTCCGGTCCCTTTGGACCGGCACTTTCATCGTCGTCGTCCTGCTAACGAGAATTAAATAAAAAATAACTAGTTAACTCGCTCTCACTTACATCAATTATCGAAAACGAACGTTGAATAATGTTCTCCCCGGACGACATTTTGTTAAATCCGTAAACTCCCGGTTTTTAAGCGGGCTGTGGACGACGTCGGTCGGCGGTTTCCTAGCAACGGCATTGTAAAAAAATTCGAAATTTCTAAATGACCAACTCTTATTTGCGCCTAGAGATGTCAGTTCCATCAGTATTTACGTAAACTCGGTATTCTATGGTAACGTATGATGGAAAATGAAACAAGGATTTCAATTCTGTGATCTATGCGGGTAACCTCACAATGGGGCGAAAACAAAGTTCGACTGCATCGAGATGTGGTTCTTATCGTTAATTTGTTACTTGGCGCTAATGGCGCAGGTGATTTTCATCACGATATCGATAGGTATTTACCGTTTGAAGTGAATTGTTACGAGAGCATAACATCCGGTGCTTTTTCAGCCGCGGGACTGTACTACTTAGCCGAATTGGTAGAAGAATACACGAGCTACGCGAAAAAGGTGATTTGGTGGATGAACGCGGTAATTTTACGAGCTCTTCGCGGCATCTTTCGACCTAATTTGTGTTTTTGTAGAGCGTCACTGTGTTATATGTACTTTTATGGTTGCTGGAGAGTTTTCCGCATACTTTAATCATATGCGGCATCCTCGCTCAAATCGCACATTTCGTGATATTATCAAGCTTCCCGGTCGTGGCGGTGGCCTCACCGGCACTAATACTCAGTGTGATATTAGTTTTCGTTAACCATTACTTAGCATTTAGTTATTTTGCATCAACATACCACCCATTCTCTGAGGTAAGGGTGCCAAATAGCAGAGTTTTCGGTAATTGATGTTGAGTTTGTAGGTTATAGCGTACTTTACATTGTACCTGTGGCTGGTGCCGTTTGCTTTATTCGTTTCATTATCAGCGAACGACAACGTATTACCGACGATCGCGGAAAGAACAGGTAAATACGTCTCTGTTAAGTAAGGTCTCCTGATTTAAGAGTGTTATTTGTAGACGCCGACGTCGTTTCGAATTATTTATCAAAACGAAGCAAAAAATACGGTCTGTTGACCTTCTTCAACTACGCCAAAGAATCCCTGTTGCCTATAAGGGTGAAAAAAGGCTTCTAAAGGCCCTAATTATCAGCAACATCAATGCTTCACATTTTTGTGTTTACTTATGTGAATCACCATATTTTTCATTGATTTGGTCCAGATATGTAAAAACATTTACCTTTTGCGGTATACTGGGTGTCTCTCATACCCCAGCATTTTGTAATACATTCTTCAGATTAAGATTTACCAACTTTTTAGCTTAAACATTTAGCTCTAATGGTAGAAACTTTTATTGTAAATAGCTTCCTGCAGATCACTCTTGATGTCAGTATTCAACTTAAAATTTTCTGCCCCACAAAACATTCTATACTCCTCTTTTTAAAAAGTTTTCTTCCTAGAAAATTTTTTGATTAAAAAAAGATCTTCCGAAGGCACCATTTGGAAAACAAATGCTAACTTGTAGTCATATCTTTGAACTATCTTGCTACCAGTTTTGTTTGAAAGAGAACAAGCATGAAGGTCTTTTAGGCTAAAACATATATATTTGGAAATTAAAAAAAAAAGGTAGCAACCATCCAACTTTTTCATCTTCATCTTCCTCATAGCCTTTTAATTGGCCTGTAAAAACAACTAATCAAGAATAAAAATTTATTTAGTTAATCAAGATCTGTTTTTCTCCTCTTACATAAAAAATAACAACTAATTCATTTAAAATCGGGAGGGAGGAGCGATTCGAGCTCGCCCACGGTCACGCCCTCATCGCCTCGGCCTAAACACCGGGTCGTATAGTTTCCTGATGATTTTCTTCACGCAAAACAGATCGCTGTGCTCGAGATGGGTCGTCAGATAATTGAGGATCGTGTCGTTCAAATAAGTTCGGAACGCGGAGGCGAAATTCGGACCCACCTCGATGTTCTCGAGAAACTTGTACATCGACTTCAGCGCGCATATCACAGATAATTTCGTTTTAAGCAGCATCATCGGCGAGTCGTACCGCAGCAGCGCGTTCAGCAGTACCGTCGTCACCGTCAGCGTCTGCTCCTCGAGGAATATCGACTTGTCCTCGTACGACAGGCCCTCGGGCAGCGACCAGAGCATTTTGATCAGTATCCGGGAGCACACGTCGATCAAGGGCGTGTTTTCCGCGTACTGGTTCAGTCCGCCCCTTTCGAATATCTGAAACGTACGCGTGGTGCCGTCAACTACCTGTCAAATTTTACGAGTCGATTTGTTTACCTCGAACGCTTCGTTGGACGGGTCGGGGAAGTAGCGACACGCCCACGAAAAAATCAAACATACGGCTTTGTCCTGAGGTAGCAGGACTGTCGCGAGGTAGATGAGGTCCTCCTTCGCCTTTTCCGGTACGACCGGCCACCGTTGCCCCGAACTGCGGAGAATCACAACTTAAGCTCCGCCCACGCGCCCGCAATACCCCCCCCCCCTTACATCGTTTGGTTCATGGAATTGTTGATTTTAATCCTGACTTTGAGCGCGTTCTCGTAGTTGCTCATCGAATTTCTCACCTCAAGCTCGTCGTCCTCCAGCAGCACCATCACCATGTTGAGGGCGGTGCAGAGCAGGTCGCCTAGAACGCGAACGGCGCGCATAGGCGGATGTTGATAAAATCTCGGTCAAAAATCCAGCGCCAATAATTAGAATAAAAAAAATTGGTGAAATGTGAAAAAAGCTAGATATTGAATAAATAACCAAAATTTGTTACTTTTATTTGAATCCATAGCGTAATCTCTAGTGGACCGTTAAGTCCTTTCATTAGTTAGTTTAATAACCCAAAATACTGTAAAAGTTAGTGTTGGGATTGCTCAATTGACCACTTTTTAAGTGACTAGTCAAATACGATTAAAATGTTTTATTTTTTAATTTTATTTATTTTTTAATGTTATATTATTTATTAAAAATATGTATTTGTACCAGAAATAATCCTCTTCAAGGAATACCTTGATTCGGGGAATCCCAATAAAAATATCCACTCCATTTAGTTCTCAGAACGGCGCGAGGGCGACTTAACGCACAATAATATAAATAAATATAAATTTATTTCATTGCATTTTAAAAATTAATTCGGTCAATTGGCATAAAAAAAATTGATAGGTAAATCCTTTCGAATTATAATGAAAACAGTAATTTAAAATTACTATCGAAAAAAGATTATTTTAGGAAAAACTTAATCCATAAATAAATCTGACTAATAAACTCAAAACCAGCAGATAGGGTCTGCAAAATTGTTTGGATTTATACCAGTTCTTCAACAAACAAACAAGGTCTGCAAAAATATCAGATTTTAGAAAAAGAGTGAAACAAAAGCTGTGAAATTAATAAATATTGTTGAAAAGAAGGAAAAAATAAGTACAAAAAAGTTGCCGAAAACAATTTGGATTTTGTTACAGGTTTTGTTGAAAAATATTTCAAGAATCATTCTTCCTTCGTTGAAAACAGTCATTCGTTCGGAAAAGAAAAGTTATTTTATGTTTCAAGTAAAAAGCAAAAAAAAAAAATAGTCCGCCCTAAAAACATTGAATATTACCAAAACGCAAAATACCCAAATCCCCGAGAATTGTAATGACGTAGAAAAAATAAATCAATGTTCATTGTGTTCAAAAACTTCCAGTTGACGATAACTTAGTAAGCTTCTATAATAATTGTTTAACGGATACGGTACGTTCTACTCTTTCTTTCTCGGAAATCTCAGAAATTGACGTTGTTAACATAACTTCAAGTGTCAAAACTACGTCCACTGGATTAGATAATACTAATATTTTAACAATCAAATTGTGTGTACATTTTCTCCTGCCTTATATTACTCATGTCATAAACTTTTGTTAAAAAAACTCTGTTTTCCCAGCAGAGTGGAAAAAAGCTAGGGTAAATGCTTGAAAAAGCGATAGAATTACAATTTCAAAACAATGTAAAGCAAAATCACATTCTCCCTTCTACTCAATCTGGATTTAGGATTTAGGAGCTCCACAGCTCTGGCAACAATTGCTGATGATATACTATCGGCTACAGATAAAAATAAACTAACAACTCTTATTATGTTACATTATAGTAAGGCATTTGACACTCTCAATCATAGTATTTTCAATTCAATATTGAACTATGTAGGACTGACGTAGAATGCACGCATTTTGATAGCAAATTATCTCGACGATAGATCACAGGTTGTGAGTTACATTTTACAACCGGTGTACCTCAAGGTTCTTTCCTAGGCCCCCTTTTTTCAGTCTATGTGACGTAGAATGCACGCATTTTCATAGTAAATTATCTCATAGATCTGCATAGATCACATGTTGTGATTTATGCAGGAAAAACTTTTCTTTCATTAAACATTACAGCTGGTGTATCTCAAGGTTCTATTCTAGGCCCCCTCCTTTTTTCAATCTATTTGTCGGACTTCCCTTCTATTTTTCAATCATGCACCCAACATTATTACGCTGATGACACGCACCTTTACCTGTCGCTTAGTCCCGATGAAAGCATTCAAAAACACTGCCTCAAACTCAATCCAAATAAATCGGCTGTTATGATATTTGGCAGGAAGATTGAGATAAAAGATTTTGAAAATACGCACAAACTTGATATTTTAATACAGGGTGAGCCAGTTAAATTCTATGAAACTTTTAAAAATATAGGGCTGACCTTAGATCAAGATATGCAATTCACAAAACATGTAAGTTGTTGCCTCCAGAAAGGTTATATGAACTTAAAACCGATATATCAATACAGAAATGTCCTAACCAGAGGCGTAAAATCAATGCTGTGTGACTCGCTGGTCATAGAAAGAATGTTGCTTTGAACTGAAATATTTTTGAAACTATTCTGAATAAACCGGTAACTTGGGTAGGATATAATAGCCAGATAACCTTTTAAAATCGGCTCCTCGTTGCAGTACAGGATGTAGTTCCTGCAAAGGAACTCGCAGACGGCAAGCCTGCGGTGCACCGTGGCGGCGGGTGACGCCGACTTTGACAGTACTTCGATGAGCTTGTCGTAGCACAACAGATTGTAATCGACCTCCGCCATGAAGGTGCTCACAGTGCTGATCGCGGCGCTAATTAGCTCTTCGTTATCACAGTCGCAGTAGGCGAGCAACGTGTTCAGGGTTTCCTGCTTGCTCAACCGCAGAAACCTGATCGCGCACGGATAAAAGTCGAGCAGCAGGAACAGCAGCACCTTGTCGTCGTTACGGACGTAGTGCTCGATCTTCAGCTCCTCCATCAGGAACGGTTTTAGGTAAGGGTGGATCTGGCGCAGGATTTTCTCGCCCGACGATCGCTGAAACGTCGATATTAAACCGGTGACCTCGGCAGGAATTTCTACGTCTTCCGTGCGAAATAGCGGGTGTTCCTTGAAGTCCGGATCGATGGCCGCCTGAAATACAACGTCTCGCACTGGGTTATTAACAATATAAAGCTGATAGGAAATGAAAAAATCAAGTGCGCTCCAGATTTTTAAAAACGAGCTCCCGCCTTTTTTCTATTATGCTCCTGCGGACCACTATGCCATTTTTTTGTCTTGGCATCGTGTAAAAAGGGGCCTTCAAAAATGCACTCAACCTAACTTCAGCCATGTTAAACTTTTTAAATTTTACTAGTAACAGCGCTTCCCAGGTATATTTTTTCAAATATCTGGCGCACCCGGTATGATATACGAAAACTAAAAATGAGAAAATTGTTGCTCTCACTATGGCTTACATCACTGCCCCAACTATATTGTCACTTTTTTACGTCTTTTCATTTGGGACTAATAATTTACCCTCGCAAAAATGTTCATGGACTTTTTTGCCTATACCCGACACACTCTGTACATTTCCTGATTAAAGATTTTATCTGAACCCAAAATAATCCAAAAAAATGTTCAAAATTGAAAAAAAAACTACTACGGGTTTTACAGGATATATGTGAAAGTAGACTTTCACCTCCGTGCCAAACTTCAAGTCCTTAACTGCAAATTTTGGACGTATTTTATACAATTTACCATGGAACGGTATATTTTGCACATCCTGTATGATATGTTAAAACCTTATAAACAAAAGTTGTAACCATGAAATGAAAGAGACCGCCAATTTTTCAAAATTTCTAAACAGTTCGAAAGGTACCTATCGCCTTAAACCCTACATGCACAAAAAAAATGATCTTCAAAAAAAATTGAGAAACTTTTTACAGACGTTCGAAATTTACTAAAACTTCTGAAGCAACCAGCAAAGTTATATAATTCTGCCTGCCTCAAATTCCGACCAAATTATAATTTACAAAAACAAAATAAATTTCTTAATGAAATATATGTAATTGTAAATTATAACATTATATGTTATTATTGCTTACTTACTAGTTATAACATCGTTTATATGTATAGTTTTTTCTCTTAGAGGTCCGAACTTTTTATTTTAATTGAAAAAATACACTTTTTAAGTTTTTGAGATGCTGACAATTTTAAACATTAAATATTATGTGCATACAATATGCCGTATCTGTGTTGAACAAACAATATGGCGGCTGATAATTTGTCAATTCGTTTAAATGCAGCATTTTTATGGCAGTATTTTAGTCAAAATATCCCTAGACCTCGTTAAATGTTCCGGGAAAACGAGTTAACTGGGCGGAGAACACTTCTTGGAAATAAAATGAGACAGACAATACTTAAAAACTTCCGTGTGTCAAATTTCAAAAATATTGTAAAATTGAAAATTTTAATTTAAAACCTTCGGAGTAGGATCGTTTTACCTGAAGCGTTTGATTGAGAGAGATGAGAAAGTGGAGACAGAAACGTTTCATGTAGGGGTCGTGGCCGTAGAGGTACGACATGATCTCGTTGGTCATCGTCGAGTACGTCACGTCAGTCTCCTCCAGCTTGTTGATGACGATATAGTAGGTGAGAACGAAACGGGTGGCGGCGAACTTGTTTCGCCACGTTTCCGGCAGCGCGTTCCGCTTGATTTGCCGCGACAGGCCCAGCAGGATCCTCTTCAGCCAGTGGACGTCGGCGAAATCGGGATTCCTGCAACGCGACACGTGCGGGTGGCGCCAAAGTCGCGAGATTCGGGCGTCGAACTCACTCTAACAGGAACCGCGCGACCACCTCGGTGTACAGGTTGACCGTCATGTGACTAAACTTTCGTCCCGCTTGGTCCCAGAGATGGACGCTTCGGGAAAGGTAGTCTCCTAACGGGAAATCGACCGCCGAAACGGCCTGACTCTTGAGTATGTGCCAGACCTGCAAAAGGATGCCGTGACATTCGTTGTCGGTAACGTCCGCCTCCTGCAACCGGCCGAAACACTTCGAGAAATGCTCGAGCACGCGGACGTAGTCGACTAGAGAAAGGGACGCTTTCGCCGCCAAATCTCTCGTCCGGTACACGGGATTCGACAGGCAAACGTTGACGTACGGAAAATACTGATCCATCTGCGCCAAAAAAAGAAAACATAGTTCCCCCTATGCTTTGTCGTTGTCGTCCCGCTCACCTGAACGCGGTTATCTTCGAAATTCGACCCGTAGAGGCGCGCGAGTATCATCAAGACGGGATGTAGGACGAGGCTGCTCCTGTTACGGCATTCCTGCGCCAACGTGTCGAGCAGGAAGCCGTACAGCTCGGGATACCTGAGGAAAAAGACGCGCAGCGTCAATTTGTTCTTGATGCACAGGTCTTCCGAGTCAGCGGTCCGCTGCACCCCGAACATCCGCGTCATCAGCGTCGCGTAGAGCAGCGTCGACGAGTTCCTAATCTGAAAAATAAAGGGACGGAGTGCGTCGCGTGCTAACAAGGCCGATTTGAAGGACTCACGGCCCAATCATCGCTCTTGTAGCCGGTAATGGCGAGGATAACGCCTCTGGCAACGTACGAAGCGACCAGCTCGCCGAGCTTGCTGTGTCGGTAGATGGCGCGCAACACGTTCATGCAGTGCATGCGCGTTTCGTTCGAGCACGTCTCGTAGTCTTCCGCGCGCGCGAGCAACGTCTCCATCGCGTCGTGAAAGTAAGACGGATCCGGCTCGTTGGTCAAAATCGACAGGATCAAAAACGGCAAACCTGCAAATCTACCGGTCATCGAACTAGCGAAAATTATCGATTGCGAAATACGCGTGGCAAGGGTTGATGAGAAAATACCGAACGACACAAGAGGACTATAAAATTATTGTCTAGGAAGGATCTACCTAGCATACCTGGGGATACCGCCCCCTTTCAGGTGGTGAGAAACGCGATATTCAGTAGTAAAGACAATAATTCACAAGCTCCTATAGATGAGAACGGAAAGGACAATAAAAACGTACTAAAGAAAATAGGAAAAGAAAAGAACGTGATTAAAGCACTACATCCAATTCTTTAATAACAAAACAAAAAAAAAACAAAATCTGTATTGACGTATGAATCAGAAGTGTGGGTTCCAGGGAAAAACATTACTCCGAATCTTTTTTCAACCGAAATGATATACTGGAGATGTTCCCGGTTAACCTTACTTGAACATGTAAGAAATGAGACCATCAGATAAAGAGTGCACGTCGAAAATACTATAATGGACAACAAAAATGCCAAACAATCCAAATTGTATGGACACCTGCACCGAATGAGAGAAGAAAGGGTACCATTAAAGGTCTGGAACTGGACACAAAGCACAAAGAAATAAACGCGCAAGGCCGCGGAAAAACGGATTACAAATATTCGAACCGAAATGGAAGTAAGAGGGTCTCAGCGAAGGAGACTGGAATGACGGGAGATGCGAGAAGCGGCGCAATGTTGCAAACAACTCGCCATGATGAAAAACGTTAAGAGAGAGAGGCAGAGAGGGAGACAGAGGCTTCTATAAATTACCAAAGAATCTTTTGGACGAACAGAGAACAGGGAATCAATCACTTAATTTTGCAGTACAAGATTTTTTGTATTTTCTGCATAAAATCATCAAAATTCTTTTTCAAGGTAAACTTTTGGCAAAAATTTAATCTACTAACGTTAAAATTGCAACGTGATAATAATTTTGCTTTTCTTCTAACTTGAGCAAATGAAGTATTAAACATTAAACAAAGCAGAGGAGCGAATAACCATTCACTGTACCGACGCGAACCAATCGTCCCAACCAACATTTTTTGTTCCGATTACCTATTTTGTAAAAGCTAAGAACCTATCAATTGTTTGCCGAAAGTTTTCGTTACTTTTATAAAGTCTATTACAAAATGAACGGTGACTAAATGTTAGTTCCATATAAAACTTTTATACACCATTTATTTGTAAGAGTTTGTTATAACATTTATAAACCATAAATAAGTTTTTATTTAAATCGCTGATATTAAACCTACCTAAAAATATTACATATTACAAACGCCATTATAAATTTTACCATATTTATATACACACAGTGTATATAACACACCAAACAAAATCATTTCCCTATAATATATACTATTTCGTATTTGTTAAATATTATAACATCTGAAAAACTCAAAAAAAATATTCAGCAATTTTTTGAAAAATGCGATATGCTTTCTTTTTCATCTAAAAAACTTAATTTTCATACTTTTAAGTACTATTAAACTCTGTTGAAATTTTTATAACATTCCCCTAGCTGTCTTGTATTGCGCTTGTAATAAAACGTAATTTTCGATATTTATACTTACATTTTTGTAAGTTATCAAAAAGGTATTTATACAAAACTTTCATAAGCGGTGTAAAACAAAAAATTACCGGAAAACCAATTAAAAACTATTCCACCTTTTCAGTTGTAAATATTTAGATAAAATTTAGCGTTAAACTAAAAATGATCTGGTCAATTCCTTTTGCATTTTCTTTACTACTACCGTATTTCAATTTTTTCTTGGCCTGCGACATCTTTAAGAAAGCAATTATTAAACATTAAACAGTAAACCTCACATAAAACGGCATCCTACATGAAAAACTGGGCCATAAGTGATATATGACATGATTTAGGTTTCATAGTAAAAAACAAACAAGAGTAAACAAGGTTTTGAGGAACCTGAAGTAAACAACACTAAATAAAATAGTGCAGATGCAATATTACAAAAACTTAAAGTAACTTGGATCTCTTACAAGAGTTACAACCCAAATGGGTTTCTTAGAAAACTATAAAAACTGTGCTAATGTATCTTTATAAACCCCCTATAAAATATCGGTTTAAAAAACGAACCTGCGCTACGTCGAGTAGGGCATAGACCGTCCGACTGCGTCTTGCCGGTGCACAGGTCGAGAGCTTCATGCAGCCACTTCTTGGGCAGACAGCTGATCGTCTTACGGCTGGACCGCCAGAAACTCTCGCAAACGACGCTGAAACCGACGTACCCCTGCTCGAACACGCCCCGATGCTTGCTCTGCACAAAGACGTCGACGAAAAACTCGCCGATCTTCGTCAGTTTCTCGTCGACGACGAGGGTGGCGTCTTCCTCCCCGACTCGACGCTCGGCATTGACGGTTTGCTTGGCGATTTCGGCGAGCAGCAACGTGATCTCTTTGACGGTGCGCCAAGCGTACACCAGGATCATTTGGGCACGCGAAGACTCGTCCGTCTCGCACACGTCGTCGCCATTTTCTGGTAGGTAACCCTCCGGCGAAGGGTTACACACCACCGGCATGATTTTCGTTTGGATATCGAAACACGTGACGATTAGGTGATCGAATATTCCCGCGTACGTCTCGTGGTGTTGTTCGCTGAAACATGCGTCGGACCTAGGGGCGGGGCCACAACTCGCGCGGAACCTTATAATGAAATTAGCCCGGCAAAAGGCTACCAACGAATGACTTTATCTACGGGAAAGACTAAGGATGGAGAAACGGCCTAGAGATCCCTTTTTCTTAAATACTGTGAACTCCGGTTATAAAGTACCCCCTAGGGATCAGAAAATGAGTAAGAGGAATTGTGCTATAAAAAAAAACACAAAAAAATTATGTAGGTACCTACATATTTTTATTTTATATAAAAATAGAAAACTAATAAACACTAACATAGTTACTAAAAAACGAAAGAAACTAAACTACCTAAACTAAAAATTTATCTGTCTATATAAACTTTACAACATACAAATTTCCTTTCAATAAAAAAAATCGTTATTTTTGTTTGTTTTTTCTTTCAGTAAAAATTTCATATTCTTTATGTGCTTCTCAACCTTCCAGGACACTTGCATAATATCATCAGTTACATTATCAGTAGATTGTAAAAAATTGTAACAATTTTAGCGCCTTCAGAATAACTTGGTAGTTCGTCCTGTTAAACATCATCGTCGCTTTAGTTAATAGAGCTTTGAGGATCATTTGGCTGTAAAACTTCAGTAATATCATTATCGGTCAATAACTCCATTGTTATTAAATTATCATCAACAGTTGGGAAGTTATTCAGCTTGTTGGTTAGGTCTTGACCATTATTGCAGAACCAATTACTTAGGGGAAACTTCCAATTATCGTAGTCAATATTTTTGCACTTCTCGAACCACTAAATCAGAGGTAAGTCATCGTCTGAATCAAATTCACCCTCCGATTTTATCAGACCAGAATGACGAAAGCAGTTTGAAATAGTGGTTGAAGTAATTTTATGGAGTCTAGGAGAGTGATGTTGAAAGGTTCCTTATTTTCAAGTGACTGGATCAAACGATACAAAAAATATCTACGGTAATATGTCTTAAGGCATTTTATTATGCCCTGATCCATTGGTTGGACGACTGAGGTGCTATTTAGAGGCAAAAACCTTAATTTTATATTTGAAAGGATTAAATTTTTTGGATGAGCTGCACAATTGTCAACCAGAAGCAATGTTTTCCTATTCTGAAGTTTTAGTTTTTCTTTCAAATAATTATGAAAAATTGCTGAAGTCACCCACGCTCGCTGGTTTGACGTATAAATGACAGGTAGATTGTTCACATTTTTGATGCATCTCGGTAGTTCATATTTACCAATAATAAGAAGTTTGCATTTTTCACTTGCTGTCGTATTTGCACAAATCGAAACGGTGTACCTCAACGCCTACTGCTTCCTGCCCAAACACTTTTCTCCTGTAACTTTAAGCGTATGATGTGGAGTCATCTTGTATAATAGCGCAGTCTAAGTCTCAGAGCTGTAATTATGTATAATACTGAATCACTTATCCTCTAACCGGTTCAGGACAGCTTGTTTGTTAACATCTCCTGGGTCACCAGAAATTTTTCCGACTAAAATCCTCCCTGGTTAATTCTTCGGCTTTCGATTTCAGAACTGGACCACTTATTGTAATATTTTCGGAACTTCGAACTTCATACCATCGTAAAAGAGCTTTATCTACATCTGACCGTACAGGATTGCTATTTTTTTTAATCCTATGCGATTTACTTGCTTTCTTGATCTTTTCGCGATTACTTCAAATTGTAGATATTGTTGCTTTTGCCAATTTCTTTTGTGTAGCAATTTTCGCGTTACCGATGCCACTCTCAATACTTCTGATATCCTCTATCTTTTCTGTTACAGTTAAAGACTTGCGCCGATCCGCCATTTTAACCGAAAACTCAAAAAACCGTGCTAACACTAGCGCATAAAAAATTATAAAAGGAGTTGTAAAGCTGTAAATTTCTCTCTCATTTAGTTATAAAGAGAAAGATAGTTTTATTTCCATTGGATATTGTCAATATAATACAAATAACAAAATAATTAAATAATTAATAATAACAATAATTTTAGATAAATAAATACATAGACAATAACAAACAAAGAATACGTATTAAAAGGAATCACAAGAAAGAGAATCCTAAATATTGTAATAGAAGAGGCGTAGTAATTTGTTCGTTTGACTAGCTATCTCCTTCAGTTCGATAGGCAATTTATTATAAATTTTTACATTCAAAGCAAAGCAAGTATGTAAGAGACGACGAGAAAGAAACCTGATGGCGGAGCCTCCATATAACAAAGCGATAAACAGAAAGTTTTTTTAGAATGTAATCCACCTGTTCGAACCGTGAGAGTCTCGAATCTACATAAACTCTGAGTAATTTGACAATTTTCTGTTGGATTGTGCTTTCATTGAAGAGTACTAAAATTATATACTATATTACTATATTATATACATGGTGACTCAGAGTAAATTTCCCTTTTAACGGAATAAAAAGTGTTGGCATAATTTTAATAATAAATTTTGAAAGTACAGAAATGCGGATTTTATTTTTTAAACACAATGTTGTCCAAATGTCGACCATCCCTTAGATAACACTCCTCCAATGATGCTCTTAAATGTTGAAAGACCCGCTGACACATTTCAATAGGAATGTCGGCAATAGCCTCTCGAATGTTGCGTCTTAACTGCTCCGTAGTGGCTGGTGGATCAGTGTAGACGATACTCTTCAAATATCCCCACAAAAAAAAATAAAAAATCTAGGGGCGTAAGATCGGGCGATCTTGGAGGAAAAGAGGTGTCCCCAAATTTTGAAATAACAGTTCCTGGAAACAATTCACGTACAGCGTCCATTGATACCGCTGCTGTGTGTGGCGTCGCCCCATCTTGTTGAAACCAGGTCAAATTGGGGTTATAGCCAGGAAAGTTTTGAAGAGCTGGAGTCAAAAATTGGTGGAGCATTTCAGTGTACCTTTGACTTGTTACCGTTACAGAGCGACCATGGGCAACTTCAAAAAAGTAGGGCCCAATTATTCCAGTAGCTGACATGGCACACCAAACTGTTACCTTCTTGGAATGCAATTGTTTTTCATGCTTTTCTTTGGGGTTGTCGGGGCTCCAAAAGCGACAGTTTTGTTTGTTAACATACCCCTCCAGATGGAAGTGAGCCTCATCACTGAATAAAATGTTGTCCAATCCTCCTTCGTTCCAAAACATATTCATCATTGCCTCACAATAATTTTTTCGTAATTCGTAGTCTGTGGGCTTTAGAAACTGCACCAATTGAATTTTGTAGGGATGGAACCGTAAGTCTTTGCTTAAAATCCGTTGCACACTTGAGCGATGAATATTCAGGGCCTGGCCATGTTTTCGAATTGAGCGCCTCGGATGTTCAGTCGCAGCACGTCGCACAATCTCAATATTCTCTGGCGTTCTGATGGACCTCTGTTGACCGGTACGCTTCTGATTTGCCACTGTACCACTTTGTCTGTACAAGGCGCGTTTAAATAGTGAAATTTACTCTGAGTCACCCTGTACTATACATAAATATTAAGCCCCGTGTTGAAAACGCGTTCCTCTTAGTCTTACTTTCATTTAATACCAATTTGTTAATTTCTGTATAATGTTTCATTTGCTCAACAACTGTCTCGATTGCAATGCTAAGGTGTTCAGACGATGTTGCAAAACGGGTAGCAACTGCATCATCCGCAAAAGGGGAAAGTAAGTATGGGGGAAAAATGAAAACACATCATTAATAAACACTATGAACAATACAGGACCGAGTAAACTTCCACCGCAATTCAATGACATAGTCGGAGACGTATTCAAATCCTAAGGTATCTCGCAATTTGACCAACCGCGTGCGATCCCCAAGAAAATACCCTAACCCATTTAAAGCCATATGAACAAAGATTGTCCACTAAAATATCAACATCGGCCAAGTGAAATTTTAAAAAATTGTTTTGTCAACCTTTTCGCAGATAACACTTTGCTATCAATTTCGGAGAAAAATTACTTAGAATTAAGAATACTTAATCACTGGTTGTACATAAATAAATTGAAGTTAAATTTAAATAAATCAGCATAGATGGTATTTAGGAGTAAACAAAATTGTAATGCATTTTTGGACAATAATTTCAAGATTTATATTGATAGTAGGTTAATAGGCAATGTTTCACAAATGAAGTGTGAAGTATAAATTTCTCCCAACATGTAGATTATATTTCTAAAAAAATTGGAAAAGAGATTGATTTCTTGAGTCGACTTTCGCAGACGCCTCGTTTTTAATGCGATTTTCGGCCCTCACTTTTGGTATTGTAATTCAATTTTGATTTCTTGTAGAAACTGTAATGTTCATAGAATACAAGTGCTACAAAATAAATCCATGCGAGCTATTCTGGGTTGTACACGTTACACGTCACGAGTAATGCTTGGGTCTTTAGGGTGGTTGTCGGTGTCTAAGAGTCTTGTTTTGCTGATTATAAAATAAAAAATAAATTACTTCCGTCCCACTTACAAGATTATTTAATTCAAAGGTCGCATAAACATTCTTACTGGTAAAAATGATTTTGATATTTAGTTTGTTAAAATTCTATAAATGCAAAAAAGCCTCTTTAGTGATGGGCTTCGATTGTTCAATGCTCTGCCGACAGACACCAACAATTTACCGAATGTAAAAAGCTTCCAAAAAATGGCAAAAGATTCTTATATTAATATTAATATTAGTGCGAATTAGCTTTTGCTTTTATATAAATGTAATTTACTACGATGCATTGCTTGCGTCAATTACAAACGTAGTTTTAGTAATGTTTGTGGGTAATAGCATGTATGTTAATGATAATAAACCATTTCAACCATAAATGCCCTTTGCAGATCTAACAAAACGAATGCCGTTCTTCTAACTTGTCAAGAATATGTTCATATAAAGAAAAAAAATTTCAAAGTCTGGAAGATTTTTTAAAAAACAGAAGTACATCATATAATGTTTCTACTCCCGTCTGTAAAATACCTAATTACCCACCGATCTAGCATGCGGGAAGCGTCACTTTACTACGTCAGTTTCTTTTCCCACGGATCCGAGATACTTCGGACATTTCCGGGATTTTACCGCGAGCAATCGGATGTTTTCGCGCGCTTTGAATTTTGACGTTTGTCAATTCTGACGGTCATGTCATTGAATGTATTCGTGTTGTTTTGCGAAAATGTACCCAAAAACTAACGGTCGTAGAAAAAGTATAGTATGCAACACATTTCGTAAACTTTTTAACTCACTTGTTGCATAAATACTATTTGAAACAATTGTTGCACCCGATCCATGCAAAAAGGAATAATTAATGAGATATGTCATCCGTTCTACAATACCACCGTTTGTGTAGAATTTACTTTTGTGGCGTCTAATTGCGCAGAATGGCGTTAGTTTTAAATTAATGTCGGACTTACTCGACGCTCCTGCTCTCCAGCAGGTGCCTGATGCTCAAAATGAGACCGTAAATGGACGACTTCGACACGTCGCCGCCGTCGATTTTCAAATCGGACGCGTGATTCATCAGTTTCCGCGTGACGACGACGATCATGTCGAGAATGGGATCCGTCGACTTGCGACCCTCCTTGCTCTCGTCGCAGTGCACAATGGTGTAAAAGTACGGCGAGTAGGCGCATATTTCGAATAGGTAAGCGGCGGACAACGTCTTACTCGGCTTCACCTCGAGCGCCATCTCGAAACACCGCTGCATGTACTTGTATGTGAAGTTTACGTTCTGCGACAATAACGGTTATCAAGAAAAAACGTACGCGCGTAAACTAACCAAAACTGTCAAATAGGGTAGGACGGCCCAAATGCTACTAATTCTAACAAAAACTACTACGGACCAACAAGAAGGAACAAATCTAAAAAAAAATCAATTTAGAAAGTTAACTTTTTAATGAAAGTGAAGAACCCGAAAAAAGTAAAAAAAAAACAGATATCTTTTTATAAAAAAAGGAATAGACTTATTATTCAATTAAAGAACATCTGCAAATAAGATTTAGGATTTTTTAAAATTTTCGTTTGAGTTTTGTCAATCCCATTGAATATCTGACAGTGACGCCTAGCGGGATGTTAGGAATGAGATTTGATTGAAGCAAGAGAGAAGTAAACATTGTGGCAAATTGCTTGAAAACAGTAAAACCGGTCGATACTGACGCAACCTGACACCGAAGAGTATACAGTAGGTCAAAAAAGTGTTCGTACACATAGTATTTTTTCAGTTTTTCTTTTAGTTTTTTCTTTCACTTTCATTTAATGAGAAACATATTTCAAGTAAATATCGGCAATCTTATTAAGAGTTATTAAAATAAAATAAAAATCATTTTGGACACTTTATTTAAACGATAAAAAATAAGGCAGTTTTAGAAGCAAGAAACTATGTCAAATAAGTCTCCGTATACTACTATTTCTTATGATAAATTGAAAAGTGTCTTAAAGTCTAATATTTTGTACAATAATGACATTACGTCTTTTCGGAAGGCTTAAAACAAGCTTTCTTGTAACTTCCGCAGATATGTTTTCCCACTCTTCTCTTATCCTATTTTCGAGGTCTTCTCTACTCGTAACTTGCAGTTTTTTCACTCGTCGCTTTAATTCTTCCGATAGGTGTGGTTAACATCCGGAGATTGTGGTGGTGTATGAAGTAGTTGGCGGACATTATGGATCATCCAGTGACGTACAAGCGTAGCAGTGTGTTTAGAATCGTTATCCTGTCGGAATAAATAACGCGCCTCAAGGTTAAGTTCTTCAACACTTTGGTTTAAATTATTCCTTAGGACGTTCAAATAGCCATGTTGGTACATGATTCCGTGAATAATAGCTAAACACAATAAAACATTTTCAATATTCGGAGCTGAATTTTTTTCCTCCAAACTTTATCCCGACCGTTTGACCCAAAAAGATTAATTTTTGTTTTGTCACTAAAGATAACATTTTCCCAAAACTCCTTGGTTGTGTAAATGCGTTCTCGGGCAAATTCCAACCGTTTTTTTCGATTTTTTTCCGAAATTAATGGTTTCCTTCTGGCAACGCGGCCGTTATAACCTGCCCGATGCAAGCAGTTTCTAATCGTTCGAGGGCCAACATTCTTTGACAACTCTTCCCTGACTTCCTCAGCAAGTTTTGGAGCGCTTAATTTTAATTGTTTTCACAACGGAAGACTCTTCTCGCGCAATTAACTTCCTCGGACGACCAGAGCGTTGGATTTGTATTGATTTACTACATGCTGTACGGTTGAATGTGATTTTTTAATTATTTTACCAATATTTTTAGCGCTCATTTTGATCTTAATTCAAAACCACTGACTTAAAAGTGACTTGATAAAATATTGATAATTAACGGTTCTACTTGCAGTTCTGAATAGTGATTTATTAAAGTGCATGGAGACTTATTTGACATAGTTTCTTGCTTCTAAAACTAATAATAATAAAAAAAATACTATGTGAGCGATCCTACCCCGCAACGCATTTCATATAGCAAACGTACCGTGAAACCCAGATAATGAGGCGGTAGCGATTTCAATAGCGCGACGATCATTTTCTTGTTGGATTCGTATGTATCGAACAGTATATTGTGGCTGTTCTTCACGTCGTCTTCCGACCAGCACTTTTTCCATTCGTCAGGCGCCAAAACGGTCCGTATGACCAAGAGCAGTTCGAGACTGGAGGCGCGCCGCGGATAATTCGAATCGTACGACAGATTCCCGATCAGTATCTTTGTCAAATTGCAAATAAAACAGCGGTACGACTTTTTCAGCTCCTGATATAGGTTCAGGAAGCGTACGGTGGCGTTATCTGCCGGGTTCTTCGCTAACGATTTGTCCTTTTCGACCGCCAACCTATAAGACTCTAAACAGCGGTTCAGATGAGCTATGTTCCGGAGTATTACCTTGTAGCCGGCATCGAAACGCGCGAGAACTTTTTTGTAGTACGCTACAATCTGTTTGCGCACGTTCGGCGTTTGCGCCGTAATGTTGTACCTGATGTAGTTGATTAAAAAGATAAACTCCCAGTCTAGGTAGAGTTCGGTCGTTTTAAGGCTCTCCGCCACGCAACCGAGCACCAGAAGCCTAATCTAGGAACCAGATACCCCTTTTTTACCAATTCGCCATCCCTTACGATCAGGTCTTTACCTCTTCATCCTGGTGGATCATAAACATCTCCATCTTCTGTTTGTCGATCAGGCCCCGCCAGTACAAGTTGGTTTCTTTGTCGACGCTCAGTTCGATGCCGTTTTTCCTGGCGTAATGCAAACAGTGCAGCAGGATCGTCGATTCCTGCGTCGAGCCGACGTACTCGTTGGGGAAGCTGTTAAATTACAAGACTGCAGGTCACATCGCTTACAACTGTCTCACATCCAAAGGAGACGTCAAAACACATATATTGTAATTGAAAATAACTGTTCTAAAAGGAAGAAATACGGCAACTATTAACGTCGCTTTCGTCCCCTTTGGATGTTAGGTCACTGCGCTAGCCTTACATAATCCTCAATATGGCAGGTTGCAGTTTAAAAGCGGCGTTGACGATTTTCTGGCAGAAACCGTGACATTCCTTGCCTGACTTGAGCAGCTCCATCGCGGGAAACACCCATTTCGCCCATGACTCCTTCGTCCCAGAATCGAAACTCCCCTCCACCAATGCCACATACGTTTTGCATACTTGCTCGTTAACCGACATTTCATCGACAAAACTCAAGAGTACTTCCGGCAAATTTTCAAACTTGGTCAACAGATAATCGCAGCCGTAGTGTTTGCCCAAGTATTCGTAGGCGAAAAATTTCACAGTACTCGAATCCGGGATTTCGCCCATCTTGTCCAACAGTAACTCGGTCAATTCGTCGTTGCCCGATTCGCGATGGTGGGCAGCCAAAACGACCAGGTCCTCGAAGAATTGTTTCGCGTAAGTACGGACGGTGTCCACAAAATGATCGGCGTGGGACCACACGAAGAAAAGGCCCTCGACGTATAAAGGCTTCAAGACTTCGAGTGGAATTTTCTTTAAATGTTTCACGATGTGGCATAACGCCCGTCCAGTTTCGATTATTACCGATGAATAACCCGCATTGCTAGAATAATAAAGAAGGTTAGTGCTCTCTGGACTCGCAAGAAGGGGGCAACACCAATAGGTCATATATTTAGCAGGGTGGAGGGTTTAAAATTTATTAGAATTGATACAAAAGCAAGACAGGTGTCGCCCCTTCACATGTGATGTGTTTAGCAAAGTGTGTTACCTCTTGGCAGTTTCCAAGATGCCCTCACATAACACGCAAATGAGAGATTTGTCATCAACTTTTTCAGAAATTAATTTATCCTCTGGCAAGACATTTAAAATAGAGGAATAAATTATTATTAAATAATCGTTGGGTATGCTCTTGCCATCTAAACTGTTGACTGACAAATTGAACTGAGACCCATTTTTACTTATCTGAAAAATGGTGACTGATTTGCGCGCGGTTTAGTTGAAAGTTTGTGGCTTACCAGCTGCGAGACGCTCATGTTGTCTCCCTCCAAAACACTAAACGAATACACAAAAATCAAACACACTTTCATCCTCAAGTCGAATCCGATCTTCTCATTAAACAACAAAATATATGAATACATCAACAAGGACTGGAGATACTGCTCTTTAATTTCTTCAAGAAATGAGACATTTTTAACAAAAATGGGGAGTATTTGCTTCAAAACTGCATTCATTAAGACATTCAATTCTTCAATTTCAGGTAAAATATCTTGTTTAATCTGACTACAAATAAATTGATGGTCCAAAGGTTATTTCCATAAACATTATTAATTTACCTGGCATATATAGCAAAACTATCAAATAAAGAAATATAAAGGGGAAATAGAGGACGAAAATTTTCATCAAAATTGTAAACCGGCGACGTTTGAACTACAGAAACAAAATGTAAAAATTCATTGCACTCTTTCAGATTGCATGTTTTCGTGTCTCGAATTTTATCGAGTATCGCCTGTGAAGTATCTCTAATGATCTCATTGACCAAATCTGACTTGATAATGACATCCTGGAGATACTTTTTCAGTTGCTTCTTGCCGTTAAACAATGTAAATAATTCCAGCAGCATATTTCTGGCTTCATTCCGTTGAATGTCTTCCTGTTTAGAGTTGCTGTAAGCCTTAACCTACAAAATGCAAAAATAAAAACGATGATCGGGACGCCTAAAAACGTGCGCCGCCAACTGACTATTTCTTTGATGAGTTTTTTGATTTCGATTTCGTTGGTGTTTGCACCGAGTTCCCCCAAAATTTTCCGCAAACTTTCGGTAGTCGGCTCAGTGCTGTATCCCTGTTGAAATTCTAAAGGCAATAATTTCACTCCGTCGTTACTGTCGTTCTCCGTATTCATCCTCACGATGCTAATAGAAAATGTGTATGTAATTTACAACAAAAAATATAAAATCGACCACGGTTTTCATGTTCACTCCATGCTTTTCGCTAAAAAAACTCCGTCCGATGTCAAACTCGCCGACAACCGTCAAATCGGATGACAGCAACGTTTGAACTACCATGTTTTTTGCGACGTTTTGGCAATTTGAACTACGAAGCGCATGGAGATAATTAATGTTAACGAACCTCTTGTCATTTTAATTGCGATAATGAACAAGTTAATTTTAATTAATATTGAGACATGATTAGGCAACAATTCAGATAAATGCTATGCTAACAGCAATGACATTTTAAAAGTCAGAAACTCTAACCTCGATTGGCGAAACTCAGCACGGTGAACAAATTCTTCCAAATTTAAGCGAAAATAACTACAATCAAAACTGAAAATGGGGTCCAAAGTGAACTCATTAGGCAAAAAATTAGTCGAACAACTCAAATCCAAAGAATTTCGAGATTATTTGATGAGGTAAGTTTAAAAATGTAATGCATTAAATCAAACCCTATCAATCAATTCCAGCACTCATTTCTGGGGTCCTGTTGCAAACTGGGGTATCCCGCTAGCGGCACTGGCCGACATAAATAAAGATCCGAAATTTATAAGTGGCAAAATGACGACAGGTGAATAGGACATCAGATTATGTAACTAGAGTAACTGTGTTGATGTTATAGCGCTGATATTGTATTCGGCGATGTTCATGAGATTTGCCTGGAAAGTGCAGCCTCGTAACATGCTGCTCTTTGCGTGCCATTTCACAAACGAGGGAGCGCAATTAGTGCAGTTCTCCAGATTTGCCAATTACCATTATTTTTCAAAGGATGAACAAGAGACTTCAGACGAGAAAAAGGTAGCAACTGCGTAAAATCTTTGCATTGTTTGTCTATTAGGGTCGTTCTCCAGAGATATTATAGCAGGGTTATTGGTGCGAGAACTTTGTGGGGCACACAAATGAATTTATGGCTTAAAAAATAAAAAAACTGTGTTTACCATGTCATATAAATTTGTAGTGTAGCATTTTAGAAACGGAGGGTAATTTTCAAATATAGGGTTCGTACATTTTGCACAGTGTAACAGCAGTATAATTTTGTTATACTTTTTACATTCTGTTTTTTGCTGTTTGTTACTGTTTTACATTTTTACAAAACCTTGATTATTTTTATAGTCTAACAGTCGTAGGTGGCATTTGTAGGCCCCATATAGGTTTCATCAGATTATTATTATGGTCTAGCAGAAATTAAAAATATTGTACAAAGTTGATAGGTTCTTATATCTACCTCGGATAAAAAAGTGAGACCAAGTTTTCAGTTACATTGATTTTATATGTTAATTTGAAATTGCTTTGGTTATGTTCCTGTTACTTGATCATTGCCAATATACCCATTAAGGGTGATTGAACAAATAGTAGTGTAAAGGTTAGTTGTAAAGTATGAGACTTAGTATGTTATACATTTGCTCAAAATATACAAATAGATCTTGCGGGTCACTTTCTCGATAACAGAATTCTCTCGACGATGAGATATATTCTGTGCCTCTTGTACATATAATTTTTTAAATCTTATGGGTAGACCGTAGGTGATATTATACACGTTCGTGTTTATAATTGTAAATAAAGATTATTTTTCTGTTAAACTATTAGTTTGATTTATTAGACGGCGCAGCGATTGCGAGGTATGAGCGATGAAGGGGAATAAACGATTTGAATATATACTGCGTTACTGTGGAATTACATTTTTATTATTCGGTCTAGTCGCTGTGAGCATTTTGATACAATATGTTACAGATTGTTTTGCGACCAGTTAATATTAAACCTTAACAGTACTTAACAGCATTTTTTATTTAAATTTAACAAATAACATATCAATGGAGATGATTATTTTTTTTCTCCCGACGTGCACTTGTCAATACCGCCTTAGTACTGACGAAAATCGCGGGAAAGAAAGTGACAAGCTGGGGCTTAGTAATTAAAAAAACAAAAGATAATGCTGAGATTGTCGATTTTTTGGGGGGTTGCGGGTTTCGACGAGTGCACGTCACAAAACGTTCTTCCCCGTCACGGGGAACGATACATATCAGGCCGTACATTTTCATTATTTGCAAAATTCTATAAGTTATGTATAACAACAAACACACGTTTCGACCCTACCTTGACCCAGGACGATCATCGTCGCAGCGCACGATCCCCGTCCCGGTTCAATTTAATTTCGGGTATATCTAAATTTTTTTGGGAGTGGTGAATGGTGGTGGGGGCGACCGTCGCGGAACCCCTTCAGACATACTATTAACGCGAGATGAAAAACGCCGACCTACGGAGTGGGGATATAATAATATGAATCCGACAAATCACACAAACGGGCGAAAGGGAGTGGCACGTCACCATTAACGTGTCAAGCGGGAGGGAACGGGATGGGTAGGAGTCTCAATCGGCTGTCAACATCGCGCACCTTATAATTTAGTTTACAATGTACCCGTATGTTTGAGCAATTTATCGGCGGGATTGCGTGGCGTAGGGAGGCGAAGGGGCGAGGCTCTCCTCCCCCTCCCACGCGTCCAATTTCCCGCGCGAAAATTTTTCGGAAGCGTCAAAAACGGCAATGGAACGCGGGTAGGGGACGAGGTGGGCGGGCGGGCAAGGGTGGCCGTGCAAAACGCGACAGCCGATTTTTGGACGAAAAATCGACTAAAGCTTTTACTTTTTAACAACGGGGGGGTGGGGGGACGTTCCGAATGTCGAGGAAAGCTCCGACGACGCGGTAAAAAACGAAATAGCGTAAAACTGACCAATTTTGACACACGTATGGGTGTGGGGGGGGGGGGGGGGGGGGTGGAAAACCCCGAACACTTATTTATGTCTTGTGCTGACATCTATTGACAACAAAACATAGTGTGGTAGGTTAGGAAACTATATTAAAAGTTAACAAATTAATAACGAAACTTAATATTTTATTGAAAATTAGCAACCAGGTCTTATGTAACCATTTGTATAATTTTTTTAAATAGCATAATTTTTTATAAATTTTCGGGCAATGGCGAACAGTTAGAGGCAGAGAATATGCTGTGTGCAATAAATGCTGTTCAAAATTGTATTGGGCCAAGAGTTTCTGCACGACGCTACCTGTAACAATCCTTTACGAAAGAGTTACAAAACGAAGATACTACAAGCCACAACATTCTCTGAAGAAGAAGAGCACAAGATTTCTCACCATTTGTCACGATTATCCCAAATGTTTACGGTTTTACGTTAATTCAATTGAGAGGTGCTGCTTTTTCATGTTCGGAATTGTCATCTATCCCTCACAAATTTAATCGGGATAAGAAGGGAGCGGGTAAAGACTGGATTTATGCATTTATGAATAGGCATCCCGAACTCAGCTTTAGACAACCAGAACCAGAAATATTAATAGAATTCAAGCCTTTATTTATTATACACTACACTACCGATAACAGACCGCCTCGAATTATTGAGAAAAAAATGGCAAAAGCAAATTTGGGCTATAACTAGTGGGGAAAGAGTAAAAAATGCCTCCACACACGTCCCATCGTATTCAGCACCTGGATTTGTGACTTATTTTTAAAATCGAGGCCATACGAAAGGATTTTGATAAGTGATGTTAACGGTATATTTACCAAAGCTAAAGGGTTTTGAGGAGACTTGGATTTTTCCTATTAATCCTGGTGTATTTCGTAAGGAAAACTTTTATTAGTTATACCTTTGCCAAAAAAGGACCCTGAAAATTCAAATAACTCAAAACAACAAAGACCACGCTCGATCCTTACGTCTACGCCTTTGAAATCGGTATTGGAAGAGAAACTAAAGAAGAAGGTCATAAAAGAAGAAAAGAGGTAAAAAATACACAAAAAAGATAAGTGGTGAAGATGAAGACCATATAAATGAGAAAAACCTATGTGACGATGACGAATTAGATGATATGGGTTTAGAAAACATGGAGCATGTGGAGGTTGAATGGCGTTTTGCAGTGGCGTCGCAACACCAAAAGACTACATTCGTGATTTCTGTTCATATTAAAATAAGGTTTTGTTACATTTTGTTTCTGTTTGGCATTACCCCATATCTGTACAAGTTTACCCACAAAGTTTGGGTAACGGCGACTTCATAGTATATTTTTGATAAATTCTTTTCACTTATTTTTTTAAACCTGCCATTCCAATTACTAAAATATACTTTAAAAACATTTCTGATCGTACTACCAAAGTTACTATTTTTTTTAAGTGTTCGCAGTTACCCCCCGCTCCCCTAAACACTTCATCAAGAAATGAAACCCGCTCTGATAAACAACCATAAGATTGTGCCACCCTGTGGCTTAAATTTTTATTTACAAAACTTCCTGCGTCGGTTGTTGTTGAATCGAACTTGCGGACGTTTCGCCAATTATCCTGTTGGCTCTGTTTTAGTTAAGCTATGAAGAAGCTAACCGGATGATCGGCGAAACGTCGCATGTTCGACTCAACATCAACTGACGCATGACGAATCCAGAAGGGTTGTAAATAGTATTATAGTAGCCTGTGGGAGTTTCTTTGAAAAATTGGTTTTTAAATTATTAATTTTAAACTATATTGTCGTCGATATTCCTAATTATAAATTTAAAAGCTTTAGAACTGGACGTTGATGTTCATACCACAACCTTCCTGTCACATAAATATAATTTGTACAAGAATAGGTTAGCATTAAACTCCGAACGTTTTTTTTGTTGAGCCTGGATTTCCCGAAGAAGCGTATTATAAACAATACTTTAGCATTATTTAAGGTAATAATAAATTAATAACAGCGATACGAATTATTGGATACCTGTACGTATTGAAAATAGTGACACGCGTGGTCGGAGAATTCGTCGTCGCGTAAATTAGCCTATGTAAAAATTTAATCTAAATAACAACACGTGACGTTGTTCGATACTATACAGGGTGCAAAATTTCGCTACCGTCCGACAAGGTGAAGCGACGAGCTTGTAAATGGCCGCTTGTCGCGTCACGTGGTTCGTAAAATACTAAAAGTTTCAACGTCTCTCAAATAAACTACGTCAAATCAACCGGCAAAGCTAACGACTCGAGAGTGGTACTAAGGGCGGGGAAGGGGGACGAGGAGATCCGGCACCGGACTCCCCTCCCCCCGGAAAACGTCGGATACCCGTCAAGATTCGGGACTGGGCAAAGGCGACTAAACACAATCGATGAGGTTCGACGCAAGCATGATTTTTTGTTTCTCACTTAGTCACTCGTTTAAACGAATACCCTGTTTTTGTAGTGTTGTTTTATTATTTTCCCCCGATTGTTATTTCGAACGAAGCCTCGACCTCCTGACCAGAATAAACACAACAATTGTCGGGAAGACGATTACGATTTTACATTTTTTTAGCTAGCTTTTACGACTATGTATTTATTTGGTGTCCGTTTCATTGTTTACAAAAATAAAGCGCCTTCGAACGGATAATCAAGAAATGAGCGTCGCAACCGGAAAAGTTGTGTACGAACTATACCTAAACGGTTCTCAAACTCAACGGCGAAGCCGCACAGTGGTCATTTGTTTGTTTAAGTGAAAATTACGCTGTAATATGAACTAACACGGCTTAGCCACGAAAGCACTGGAAATATTAGTACAAGTTATGGACAACTCGGCGTTTAATTTTTTGGTATTATGTTTGGTGTTGCTCTTTTCTAATTGGGATTTCGTTAATATTTAACATAAAGTTATTTAAAAAATATGCCACGTAAGTAAAAGTAATTCAAAGTACCATTGTACCATTTTATAAAATTTTATAAAATTTTATAAAACGCTGAAAATTTTAATAAAGATATTTGTGGTGCAGATATTTTTTTCTTACAATGCTCGCTAATTATGAATTTGAGTTCCAAGCCAAACATTGTCTAACAATACTTTTTTAGGAACCACGTCGATAATTAAAACCGATATGACATTCGTGATTCGGATATTCTAATCGGTAATTGTACAATAGAACGTAATTTTTTTTTTAGACAATTGTTACCTAGTTAGGGTTGCGTGTTTTTTGGAGAGATAGCTATTAAAAATATTTTACTAAAAATGCAATGGATACCATTATTATTAGAATTTAATTAAATTAAAAAAAATACATTCGCGTTTAACGTCCACAAATGTTTAAGCTGTTTATTTGCGTAATATACTTTTTAATAATAGGTATCAAATATTTATAAACATTGAAACACTTGAAATAGGACTTAACTTCCACAAAATTCAGTTATTACCTAAGATTCCTTGTATAAATGACCATAAATGACCTCTGTGCGCCGATAGGGCCCACGGAATTAAATCAACGCTAATTATCCATAAAAATCCGATATTCGCTCATTATCAAACACGTATTGTTATTATTACTATTATTAATATTTATATTTTTAATATTACAACTTTCAATCGCTGTGTTTTTTCTATGGTAAACATTAATTTACACGTATATTTTGACATGTAGTTTTCTCTCTAGACTTCCTAGACACTCCCGGCATCGCGCGATATCGATAAACATTCGAAATAAAGGTCCCAAACTTAGCGGCAACGCGAGAGATATTAGTTTCACTATATATATTTTTTAAGTCCTTTTTTCAGTCACCTGTCACTAATAATAAATATCGTATATTAGTATAAATATAACAACGCGAAGGGGACTCGCCGAGACTCCTCCGACATTTCCTTAATACTCGCGATACACGAATCACTACGCATATTTGTTTTTTTTTATGTCATTAAGCTGAGTTTATTATTTTAAAACACGGCAGTATTTTTTTTTATTCAATCAACGTCCGACCAGCGACGACGCAATACATAGGAAGAGTGATTACAATTCGTTGTAAAACAATTTTTTTTTACTCGTGTCGCGTCCTATATCTCTTAGGGACGTCGACAGCGCCGGGTAAGGGCCGTCCCGTCTACAATAATCCCTCGGAAAACATTGTGCGAAGTGCGTGTCTACCTATTATTGCATATTTCGTCGGGTGAGTTTTTAAAAATCAAAAAGCACCATCGACGTACAAAAATTATACATAATCTTATTAGTAATGCGGTTGTCTTGACGCTACTGTTCGTATCCACCGGACACATGCACACTCCCGGAATAGAGTTATGTAGAGTGGGGCGGAGCGTTTTAAACACACAAGTCGAGGTAACGTTTCTGTCATTCCGCGGCCACCTAAGTAGTGAGTATTGAGGCGTTCTGGACCGGGATCACTACCGATCCCCGTTTTCTTGGTTGCTTTCTGAGTAAGAGAGGTTTAAAAAAGAAGAAGAGGAGTTCAACACAAGAGAGTCTCAACCCTATGCCCGAGAGGAGTGCGATCGCTAGTGTTTAGTGACCACCCTTCATAAAAAGAAACTCAATAGACTTTAAAAACCCCAAATCTCTTATTAAACTGTACTATGCACTTGTTCATAGTAAACTTTCGTTCGCTTCAGTCATTTGGAATCCTAATTACAACATCCACAGCAGATTTTAAAGATATCTTGCATATAAAACGAACACTGACGTTGAAAACCACATTAGATCAAAATTTCAAATTCTAACTATCCAAAACAAAAGAACGCAAACAGACCTGTTAACACTCCACAAAATTTTAAACGATCAAGTTGACTCTCCTTACCTCTTATCAAAGATTAACCTAGGCAGAACGCAAGAGATAGGGCTCTATTTGATGTCGACCACAACGGAACCAACATAGGACTGAACTCTCCGATCACATGATTACAAAATATAATTAATTTTCTTAACTGCTTTCTTGGTGTCGATAAAAAAAACTGATCCAGCACGTCCCAATACTCACCACCGACCCAACTGACGACATTACGTCATGTAATTTGATTGTCCTCTATGGAAAAACGGTCAACTTAAGATAAACCGACGCGGTTACCGGGAATGCTAACGCCTGGGATCCGATTCGCCTGATAAGCCTGTAATTCGATTTTTTATGCGATAAGCGTCGAAAATTAATAACGATCGAAATCAATATTGAGAAAATTAAGAATTAAGAAAATAAAATAATAAAAGCGGTGCTGAGAAGAAAAATATCGATTTCAACACTGTATACCGATCCAGGCGAATCGAACAAACTCAAAAATCCCTGACAAAAACGACCACCGGTCGTAATTCAAAATGGCGAACGCGAAAACGCGGTCTTTCAAAATTCTACCCTGTCTATATCGAAACGTGGCCGTCAGTCGGGTCAGGGGGCGGTGCGGCGATGGCGGCGGCGGCGGGTGGGGTGGGGGGCCGCTTCAAACGCGGCCGAACAACGACTCCAGCTGCGTCTCGCCCGCCAACGGATAACGATAGCGTCTCGTCGCAACGAACAACCACCGCAGAGCCCAACGTTTCGCCATCGACGGCAACAGCCGTCATCAGACACTGTCTACGGAGGCGAACCGTTCGCCCAGCTCGTCGCAGAAGTGGTGCGGCATTTGCTGCTGACGCGACGTCCCCGGGATCGCGACCTGCAAATCGCCCATAGCACCCGCTAACTGACATTTTGGTTTTATATTGATATCGGTTACGTTTCGATTAACTGAACTTGCCCGCTGTAAATTTTTGACTTTAAACATGCTATTTGGAAGACAATTTAATATGCTTTAGTATGAGTTGAAATTTCTCAAGAGTGCTGATCTTTTATATGAGTATTTGGATAACGCTTCATTGTGTTAGCTTGATGCATACTACACCGCAAAGCGCCGCTTTAATCGAAAGTGGACACGCGCAGCAGTTCGGAGAGTATGCCAACGGTATGAGGGGACTGGATCCTTTGCTAAGCGTCCTGGAACACCCAGAAGGCGTATTACAACGGCTCGTAATGACCGCTTTAATGTGTCACCAATACTAAAAAATCGTCACCTTAATGCGGTTCAAGTGCAAGAATGGCTATTAGTCAGTGGACAGTGAGAAGAAGACTGAAGGAAAATAACATGACCCCAAAAACAACTGCAGTTGATCCAAAACTTACTCCAGTTCATCGACAAGCACGCCTATGCTGTTCTGTTCTCAGATAAGACCAGAATATGCCTTTCTGGTAGTTACGTGTACCAAAGACCAGGAGAGCCATTTGCAGAATGCTGTAATGAAGAGCGGAGCCCTTATGGTGCTAGATACATCGAGGATATTTCATCAGTTAAAGTGGTACCATATGTCGATTACATTAGAGAAGAATTGCATAAAAATGCATGACAATGCTAGGCACACCGCAAGATTACATTATAGAAGTCGGTTTTCGAGTTACCTCAATCCGATCGAACATTTATGGCATGAGCTAAAACGGAGAATTCGAGCTATACTTCGTACCCCAACTTCGATATCAGAGCTTATTGTTGCAGTAGGGGAAAGTGGCGTAACATTCCACAAAAAAACAATCAAAATTGATTCGATATATTCCAGTAAGATATGTTATTAGGGAACCATTAATAAATAAGTGTTGAATTCGTAATTGTCAATAATCCTATTTATTTTTAGTAATAGTGCAGTTATTTTACCATGCTAAACCTAAAAATCAGAAATAAATTTTAATTGAATTTAAACTGGCATTAAAGCATATTTTTTCAAACACCATATTTTTTATTTGATCAGTGGCTTCTAAAAAAATGAAATTCAAGTCAAAAATTCAAAACGGGTCGATTTCTATGCGCGCAAGTTTATTTTATAAAACCTGAGACTCTATCACTTGTGCCCGAAGCAGGCGACTATCAGATAATATAGTGACCCCCTGGAGGCAATTAAAATGCAAAGACTATTGCTTTAAATTCTTCTTTTTCTACGAAGGCGTTTGTTTTGTTTTTTTTTTCAGTTGTTTATTTAATTTTAACGCAAACTAAATATGGCCTTTTAAAATTGTGAAAACGAAAGACGTTAAGATTTATGACGGTTTTGCCGTGTAAGGTATAAAACCCCCGGAGGAAAAGTGTTATATTAAGGTTTCTAAGAAGGCTATAAAATCTTTTTCGAAAACCTTACGTAACCAACACAAAAGTTTTATAAATAAAGTAACGGAAACGGTTTGGATGCAATCTTATAAAACTAGTTTCGGAATTTATTAAAACCGTTATAAAAACTAAAGTTCATAAAAATACCCGTTACCTTATAACAAAACTTTAATTCGCAAAAAAAATGTTACGAAGGCTACCTGTTATGTTTCGGTATTTTCTTAAACTAGTACTGCCATCTGGCGACTAACGCTTTTATAGGGAAGTTGACATTTTGAGGTTAGGTTTTGGTGAGTGTTGTTTGTGTATTTTGTGATAAATTAAAAAAAATGTGACGGCTAAAAATGAACATAATTCGATTTCTCGAACTTTTTGAGCATTAAAAGGCTTGATTTGATGAGCCTTCCACCATATAGTCCTGATTAATTAATTAATTAAGATGAAGAAGAAGCGATTGATGCGTTTAAAAAGCATGTTTTGGAGGTGCCCGACTCGATGTTGGAAAGTGCTTTGATGATTGTTTTACCGAATGCATTGATCATCAGGGCGAATATTTTGAGAAACAATAAAAGTAATAAAAAGTTTTTTATTACAAATTCCGAAATATAAAAGGTAGCCCTCGTAGTAGGAGTCGCACCACACTTACCGGGATGTGGATGCTGCGTCGTATCGCCCGTTGTCGTTCCAGGCGCCGGCGCCGTTTCCGGTGACACGTCGCGCACAGAATCACCAGGATAAGCAGGACGACGCCGACCATCACGAGCCACGAGAAACGGAACGGATTCTGGGGCTCCTCCTCCGGCAGGCCTACGAAAATCGGTCACATATCCGGAGAGGATGGACGCTCCGATACGCGTTTCCGTTTAAGAGGGCGGGGATCGAGTCGGACGGTAACGGAATCAACGTAAAATAATCAATCCGCGCCCCTTTACAAACACCGACTCGAAGAGAGAGCGAGAGAGAGGGCAGTGCGGGATATTGGAGGTTTAATTTTAGGGAAACGACAGCCACGGCAGCAACCGCTTCGCCGCCAGCGGCGCCACGCCCAGCCAGCAGAGGATAGCTTCGAAACCATGAGACGGTCGTGGGGACGGTGCCGCCGCCGCCGCCGCCGCCGCCGCCGCGGTCTCGTCGAGCGCCCGCGACGTCGGGCCACCTGCACACACAGACAAGAGAGAATTGCGCGGGCGCCCTCGTCCGCGGGGGCTCGAATAAACGAAAAGAACAAAAACCGAAACAAAAGCGGAAAGGCGTACGTCACTCACAATCCCTCTCGTCGGAGTCGTCCTCGAGGCCGCAATTCGGGACGTCGTTGCACTTGAGGTGGTACGGGATACAGTAGAGGGAACGCTCGCACTGGAACTCGTCGCAGCTGGGGCCCGACATCACCTCCGTCCACACGGCCTTGAAGCCGGTGTATCCGACCGCCTTGTCCGCCGTGATGAAACTACGTACGCACCGTTAGCAAAATTAACGTAGGTTGTTTAAAGGCGCCTACAGACAGGCGCAAATGTATTAAAGCCCGAACGGGCGCACAGACTTCTGTTTCAGTGTTGTTCGCGATTTTAGTTTTGTCGACCATGCCGAGCGAAGATCATGAGTTATATTTAATAGCATTGGGGTGCGTTTGCGTTACCCAGCTGACAATATCGTGTCGTATTGGTAATTATTCGTCATCGACTCGAAGACCTATTATCGACGTCGCCAAGACGTGGAATTATATACGTTCCGTAGGCGTCATTAGTAGGACGTATATGTAACGTACCTAATCCTAAATGTATAAAATATATATTTATTTTTCAAGTAAATTAGATCTCTCTGATATGTAACACTGATTTTTATTTTGTTTATAATTGTTATTCATCGATTTTAAAATTAACTCTTAAAATCTGGTAATATTTATGTGGCGAGTTATTTATTTCTTTTTTATTTTTAGTTTCAAATCTTTATAAATGTACTGAAAACTAGAAAATTAATAAATTATCTGTTAAATTTAACCGCCATGTGCCGCGCTTGCGCGAAAACTAACCAACGATCGAACGGAAACAGCAAACAAGGGCACGCGGTGGGCGCCACTTACATTATCGAAGTGTAGTTTCCGTATATATGCGAGTATTTTGCAGTATCTTATTTGTTGGTTGTAACAAAAACGGCATATCAGTTAATTACAAGGTTAATTTAGAAAACATATTCTTTATTAATGATGCAGAAATGGCTTTCATAGGAGTCGAGTTTGAGTAAGATGACGACGGTGGCGGCTTATCTATAGTCCATTGCAGTTGTTAACTCTTACAAAATCTAACTGTTATTGGCCACCCACCAAAACACAAGGCCCATTTGAAGAACTGTTAAAAAAGGCAAATGTTTTTTGAGTCAACAAGACAAACTAGTTATTTTTGAATATTACATAATTGAATTATCTGTAGATGAAAATATAAAACATTTCTTAAGATTAAAGTAAACAATTTTTTTATGTTTTAGGTCTTAATGTAGGCTTCGCCATATAGGTCAGCAAGGTTAACGCCATCCCCTTCATCTGTTCAGTCCATTACTAATCATGTATCATCTTTTGTGCAAGCAGCAGTAAACAAGGGAATAAAAGCTTCAGATGATAATAAAATCTACTGAATTAGCAGACACTTACAGGTCTATAAATCACTCTTCTAAGATCACTCATTACATTAAAGAGCAAAATAAATATTGGGAATTTTTCAATTCTGACTTGTGCTGTTGTAATATTTATATCTTCTATTCATAAATTTGGTACAGAATTGGCTCACAATGCTCATAATTTATTGAAGAATTTTGTAAAACATCGTCATCATCTTTTAAAGAGGACTTTTGTTGTGCGGAAAGCGTTTTCTGAATTCAGTTGATTTGTATATAGGTGTTCTTGGTAATTTATATCAACAATTACAATGTAAATGTATTATTCTTTCTTTGCAAGATGAGAGCGGTCATTGTGTGTTTCCAGTATTACATTCGTTCGAGCAATTTTTTTAAATTTATATTTATTTAAAAAATCAATAAAATTTTCATTACATATTCGTCTTTTTTTGGAATAACTTGGAACTTAATTATTTTCAGTCACAAAAAATCTTGAAGTTGTGGTGGAGCTTCCCCCGTTATTTCCTTGAGAATTGATCTCAAAACCCTGAGGTTGAAATGATATACTCGGTAAGAAATCAGTTTGCATTTCATGTATTCTGCCTGTATTATAGCCGCGACACCGACAAAAGCCTTTCAATATAGAAAAGTGTGTCTACCCACAGTCTGAACAGATCTGAATTCAAGCAAGGACAGAAAACATGTCTTAATACATGTGCGACTGTCTGTAGGCCCCTTAAGAGATCGTCGCCGCTCCAACACTCACCTGAGCCGCATCTGATTCGAGGCAGACACGAACTCCCATTTTTCGGTGGGCGACTTTTCGCCACACAATTCCTTGGCGGGTGCGATGATGTCTTCCCACAGTCTCAGGACCGCCGCCGGACACCCTCGACCTTGGAACAATCGAACGTCAGTAGGTGAACAATGACGGTTCGTTCAGTAGCAATGACCGATATTCGCTAATAACATTAATAAGTATTTGTCTCTTAAGCGAATTAGTAACCCTCCGGTACTCGGAATCACTTTGAGAAAAAAACTTTTTGTCGACAGTAAAAAGTTTATGTTATATCTAGAAGACTCGCAAAACCAAAACTACTCTTGGCAAAAAAAGGCATTTGATACTTTTATCAATTATTCTAACATTGATTGTAAGCAATTTAACCTCCACTAGAGTGGCTGAAAATATTATTGATGAAATTTTTGATCCACCCTCGACTTTGATTACGGATGATATGGTAATAAATCCAATCCTGTGTTTAAAAAACTCAACAAGTCAGGACGTTTTTAATATTAGTAGTAGGATAATAAAAAATTCTAAGGGCAGTTTAGTGCCTTTATTGTCACATTTATTCAACGGTCCTTTAACAACTGCCACATTTCCAGATCAGTTTAAATGCGTAAAAGTCATTAATAAAAAAAAGTAAAAGGTTGGATTTAGACAAATCGACCTATTTCTATCGTCTCTATTTTTGGGAATTTTTTCCTAAAAGAATTATTATTAGATTATTTATTAAGTCTATTGAACTGAGGTGGCTTTTACTTGATGAAAATTCATTTATCAAAATAAATAAGTACTAAAAGTTCAGATTTTTACGAAATTATATTTAATATATCTAGCTATCGATCTCCCGGAATATATTTCAAAAACCAATAAGTTTCTTAAACCAGAACTTTTCCAATGTATCAAACACGATCCTACCGAGTTATATCGAAGACAAATCAAAAAAGACAAATATTTTTTAACATTTATGAATCCACAACCGCCGACATTATTTTCCTTTAGTTAAATTACATAAACAAGATATACCGATTAGACCAGTCATGTCTTATGTATGTATGTAATGTAATATTTTAAAGTTTCGCACAGATTTTAAACCAATATTTGCAATAAATAATTCTTTTGAATTAATCAGCAAAATCAAAGATATCAAAATCCCTTCTAACGCAACACTTTTTAGTAGATTTCACCCTAACTCGGAAACAAGTTAACCCATTGATTTATTAGATTGCTTAATAGTATACCAAAATTATTTTGAATTTAATGGACAGATTTATATCTCTAAGGAAGGTTTGATTGCGGGAACCCACTTAGTCCTTTGTTAGCCAAGATTTTTATGGATAATTTGGAAAAAAAGTAAAAGTTTGCACTGAACAACGGCTACAATCCGTCCATTATAGATAAAATTATAAGTAAAAAATAAATCCAGACAACAGTAAACTCTATTTATCCGATTAAAACAATTACATACATAGGAGAACCTAGTGAAAAAGTTTCAAAACATTTTTAAACATGTGGTTTAAAAATAGCTTTCTGAACTAACAAAACATTAGGAAAATTTTTAAAAAACAATAAAACGAAATGTCCGAAATCTCAAAAATCAGGTGTCTACAGGTTGAAATGCGGAGCTTGTCCTAAAATTTATATTGGACAAACAGGTAGATCCTTCAAGAAACGCATTAACGAACATAAAAGAGATTTTAAAAACAATAGTCTAGATTTTAATTGTGCTACACACTTAAACACAGAAAAACACATTTTTGACGACAAATTTGATATTTTACATACAGCCACAAAAAGTAAAAAATTAAATTTATTGGAAGCCATGGAGATTAACAAAATGAGACATTCAAATGTATTGTTAAGGATCGGTTAACAATACCTCTCCTTTATTGAACCTAAATTCTCACAATAACATTAATTAAGGTTTTATGGTTATTTTTCGGTATATATAGCACCAGATAGTTTGTAAATATTACAGCGAAACAATTATAATGTAAAAATATATAATTTCGGGAAAATCTGAACTTTTAGTTCTTATTTATTTTTATTAAGTACATCCTTTTTTCCGAGGAACAGTGGGGATTCCTGCCTGGAAAATGTAGTGTCAGAGATCGTTAATGGCCTGACGACCATGTAAAACTTGTCTCTTTACGATATTATTAACAATTATTGACTTGTCTCAATCTAAATCTAATACATGGAGTCCCTCAAGGGTCTGTCCTAGGGCCACTTTCCTTCAATATTTACAAAACCATTTCCCCTTTGCATTAGTCCCATCAAATGTTCATTTTTCGCTGGCGATACGACAACAATCTGCAGGAACGCAACTTTAACCAGATTAGATGAACTAATTTATGGGGCTCGGCTGAAGACTGCAGTCTTGGTTTTTGTGGTGTATTTGGCAACACCGCGGGCCGACCAAAAAGCAGTCTCAGCCGATGTGTCTAAGACGCAACAACGTTTTCACGTGCGGTACCGTGGTCATATAAAGAACCTTTATATTTATGATATTAAAGTGGAAGTAATTAACTTTACTGTTTTCTTTCGAAAACCCAGTCTGCCGCCGACATATCAGTTTACGTATAACAATTTATTTTTAAACAATCATATAAGGCAAGCACTTTTAATTTCAACCAATGCATCTCTTACTATGGATGATCGCGTCACTCTCCTCTGGACGATAATCTTAATGTTTTATGTAACCAATTATCAATGCACTTCGTGCTTAGAAGGTTGTACCGACGTTCCACGAAAATTTGCATTGTTCCATTCCAAAATATATTATGCGGTTACGCTTTGGGGAAATTCTAACCAAGCAATGAGTTTTTAGACGTCAAAAAAGTTGCCTTTTTTACCTTAATTAGCGAGAATCGTGTCGACCTTATTTTTCGAGCCTTCAAATGCCAGTATCTTCAATATTCATATATTGTAGCCTTAATGAAATCCACACCTCGTTATCATTTAAATAAAACTAAAAATAACTCTTCAAATCTACCATTTTACAATGCTCTCCCAACAAATATTCCAGCCATAAAATATATTAGGCAGTGCTAATTGGAAATCTGGCAATATTGTTTTCGATATTGTTTTTGTTTTGGCATTCGCAAGTCGCTAATCGGCGTAACCGCGAAGAAATTAGAAATTATTATTGAATGATAGAGAGATTATTCGTTTTGTTGGTTTTTGGCGTGATGTCTAATGAAAAGTAAACGTGTCGGAGTGTGAGTGCAGTGCTGATGTGATTTGCATTAAGAAATTGAAGACCTTGGCATCGTTCGGCAGCAAAAATTTTATTGAAAAACAAAAAGTTATAGAAGTGGACAACAGCAAAAAAAAAAACAACCAGGTATTTTAATGTTAAGTTTTACGAGAACTATAAGTGGCTTTGCGGTTGTATTCAAAGAGTTTTTAAAAACAAATCGCCGTTTTGAATTAATCTATAAATAATAAATTTATTTTGAGTTTAAAGTTAAAATATGTTAAGTAAATTTTATAATATACATAATAATGTATGTATGTAATACATGCGTTTCTTTTGAGTTTTTCGTTTTTTTTGGTTCTGTTGCCTACTATACGCCCTATTTTTGATGTCCTTTATAGGAAAACATAAATAGGGCGTGGCACCCCGAAAATTTTTCGGCTGCGCCGCTATTTTTTTTCCTCTTGCCTACCCTGCAATATATTGCACTGCACGCCACTGATCTCCATCAGAAAATGCACATTGCCGCTTAAAAATGTATTGAATCCTTTCTAATACATTATTTTTTCGCTTCAACATGTATAAATGATCCCATTTACCTCGGTGAGCAAAAATGTCTCGGGGAACCGAAATCCGAATTAGAATCAATGAAAACTGATCGGAAACCGTTCTGGGGTGAACATTTTTACCGGTCTTTCCACAAATATAAAGGAGCAATTTAATAATCTGTCAGATCTACATTTTAAGAGAGCATCCTGTGACAGTGTGTCAGATAGAAACTTATGATTGGTTCTAAATATACACAAGCAAAAACGAAGAGCATGAGCTCACTCACCGACCGGTTCGCCTTCGATGGCGAACTTTTGGAATATCAAAAGGATCTTGTATTGCGGTCGCACGCCGATGTACCAGTTGCAGCTTTTCGACGCCTGGTTCAGTTTCGGGGCGTCGTAATTCTTCGGAAAGTTCGGGCTGCTGATGGTGCCGCTGTCGGAACTACTCACGTTAGCTGCAAGTATTTTTTTGCCATAAATATAAAAATTCCGAAAGTTCTTTTCATTAAAAAAAAACGGAATAAAAAATAAGCCCTACATGTCCCTTCGGTAAATATAACGGAAATATTACTTTATATTTATTTATTTATTTTTATAATTTATTCATTTTTATAATTTATTTATTTATTTATTTATTTATTTATTTATATATATAAAAATGTATGCAATTTTTTTTGTATTAATCAATTATAACGACTTCTTTATAGTTCAAAATTAATTAAAATATCAACATTCATATATTAATCTATTAACTACCTTATTCAGCCAAGGCCTACATATATATTTTGTGTTTATGTATTCCGGAAATCTTGCTTTAATTTCAATCCTCGCCTGAGGGAAAAATTAAAGCCCACCAAAATAATCGAACATATAGCTATTCCTAATTTATAGTCGGATAATACTTTGGTAGTCAAAATTTTGCATGTTATCTAAAATTGTCAAAACTTTTTCCAGTGACGACGGGTCGTATAGTTCTCCAAACCATATACCGTTGCCACAACCTTTTATGGTTTTGACTTCGGAAAGGGTTTTAAAGACCCGCCTGTCGTAAAGCCGAAAGGACCATTCTTTTCAGCACGTGTACCACAAGCCAAGGCCGTATTTAAGACGTTTAGTATTTTAAGAGTAGCATTTGTGTGCCCGAAGTACGGAAATACAATTCTGGAACGTAATTATGGAATTGCGAATCTATTTATTGAGTTCTACAGTGGGGTAGGCCTGCGGTTAGACCTTCATAAAAATTTACCAAAGTTAAATTCCGGATTACGTCGTAAAAACGGTATATCGTTGGGAGAACTTTACCTCCGCAATCCCCGAAGATCGATTTGGCGGTCTCGAAGCTGTACCGCGCCTTGAAACCGCTCGAGACGTGCGCCTCGTCCGAATGCAGGATGACTTTGAGCCCGATCGCGCCTCGATTCGACTCGATCGGTCCCGGGGCAGACAGGTGACAGTACCGGCCTATGATCGTCTCGGTATCGTCGCGATACAAATTGTACACCTCCAACCAATCCTCCTGACACGACGTCAACCTACAACGCAGGAACGATTAGTCGGGTACCGGATTCGGTGTATTCTCCGATCCTACCCGTAGGAACCGGACGTAGAGTTGACATTGTCCGCCCTAATTTTGAAGTTGTCGAAGACCAGCGTCACCTGCTCGTTGTCGGTCGCCAAAAACGTGTACGTGCAATTCGTATAACTCGGATAATTGGTCGGGTACCTGGGCGAGTTAAATTCACCCTTCTTCCGGGACGTGCTCCGGTACGTGAACGAACATGTGCCGTCCGGTGCCGCGGTGCCCGGAATGCGATACTCTAGAAACAACCGAAACAAATAATAATGCCTTTATTGCATTTTGAAGATTTGGATCGCGCAATGTTGCCATGGTTCCAACAGCAACGTCTTAAAAATGTACCACTCTCTGGACCTATCGTAAAACTAAAAGCAGAAAAGTTTGCTGAACAGTTTGGCATATCGATTTCAAGGCTTCGGAAGGATGGTTGGCAAAGTTCAAACAGAGACATGGTATAAATTATGGACAGATAAGCCGTGATGTCGACAGAAACTTCACTAACGATTGGCTGGAGAAGACATGGCCAAAACTAGCAGAAAAGTACCCTGCTGATGACATTTTTAATGCTTACGAAACTGGTATTTTTTACAAAATGGCGCCAAATAAAACTCTTAAATTTCGAAGCGAAAAGTGTGTGGCTGGGTAACTGCCAGTATGAGTGGGACAGAAAAAAGAAAGCTAGTCGTGATTGGAAAATAGACTAACCTGTGATGTTTTAAGAACATCAAGCATTTGCCGGTCGCTTACAAGGCAAACAAGTCTGCATGGATGACATCGCAAATTTTTGAAGAGGAGGAGGAAAATATTACTTCTCTTCGATAACTGCCTTGCACATCTTTATATTCCAAATCTACGGAATATTGAATTGGCATTTCTCCCAACCAAAACACCAAGTGTATTACAACCGGTGGGCCAGAGCGTACTAAAAAGTCTTAAGAGTCGATACAGGAAAAACATTTTAATGGAAATGATCGAGTCCGAAGACAAATTTTCCATTAATATGCTAGATGCAGTCAACTTTATTAGTAAAGCTTGGAAAGATGTGACAGCAGAAGCAATTCAGCAGAATGCGAACAGGACTTGGAAGAACATCAGCCACTAAGCGAGTGAATGAAGCGGTTTCAAGCAACAATTACGTTTACAAGTAAGGAGTTGCAAGATTTTATGGTAATAGATCAGGATTTGCCTACAACAGTAGACTTGACAGAGGAAGCCATATTAGAACAAGCAAGAAAGGGTGAGAAAGAGCACCAGGAGAAAGAAGAAGAGGAAGAAGTTGATGGACCACCACCAAAAACTAGCTTATCTTTTAAACATATGGAAGGGGCTGGAAGACTTTAAAATCTTGTACATTAACACAGCGAGCAGGTACTCAAATAAATTGTCTATTCTCAACCACTGCATCAATTTAAGTTTAGGGAAAACGTGGTCATATTTTCTTAAGCCATACACAAACCTACAACCGGCGCCGGCGATCAATGGGTGTTAAACATGAGTAAAACAACACGTGGCAATATGACAGTGCAGTTTCTAAAGCGATATTCGATATTCTTATAATTCACAAAAAATTAGTAATACATTTGTGATTGAAGTCCACGACTAAATTACACACACTGGCATTTAGTTGTAGGTTATTTCGAGCCCAATGAACCGACATTTTATGAAAATATTACTGAAGAAAATTGACTCTACGAGTGATTTCTAGTCCAAGCAAATTGTCCCTGAGGTACACAAGAACTTCAACGTTTCGAAAGACATATGACACAAAATGGTCCTGTTGCAAGGTATCAAAAACCTGAGATTAAATTTATTAGATAGAGCATATAAGCATATAATATTTAAATTGAATAACGATTCTTTAAATTTCGTTAATACTTGCCAAACCACGGATACGTTTTTTATATTCAATATAACATTCCGTTTACCCGTTTCGAAGGTGTAGTTTGCCTTGAAGCCGCGGCCCATCAAGTCTCCCGAGCTGAACACCATTAATAATCGCGGCCCGTCCGAGACCATAGTCGCCGGTACCGCCTCGGTTCCGCAGAGCTCGTAGTCGTATTTGTCGTACGCCTCCATCGTCTCCTGACCCTTTAGATATATCTTCAGGTAACCGTCCGAGCAGCTGGGGACCAACAACGGAAATGACTCACGACGGTCGGATTTGGTTAAGACATGGCAATAATCCAGATAGCACACAATATCCCCGATATATCCGGTCAATGAGGATGATATTCTTAGGATATACGTTAGCATATATACCAAGGATATATGTAAAATACATAGATAGATTGCGGATTTACTGTACATGATATACCACAGATATCTTCTAAATAGATGGCCTGAGGATATCCCCTTGCGCCATAATGGGAACATTAGAATAGAAATAAGGAAAAAAAGTGAAAAAAATTCCAGCTAGTTTTGTTCAAAACTGTGGATTTCTCTTAAACTTAATTCTATCATGGATAATGGAAAACTTAAACTGTTAAATTTTGAATGGAGTAGGAAAATACTTAGTTTTTTTAAGATTTCTCGTGTTTGATAAAGTGATTAAGACTTTCGTGGCCAGCGTTTGAACTGTAAGTGTTTTTGTTCGGATTTAATGGCCGTCGTCGAGTGGAATTTCTTCCTGACGTTTCGGTAGCAGATTGCATCCAACATCGGAGATGGAAGCACCTCAGAAGAAGCTAGCCGCTCGTGCTAGCGAAACGTCAGGAAGAAATTCCACTCAACGACGGCCATTAAGCCCGAACAAAAACACTTAACAGTTTTTTCGACATTTTATTTGCCAAGCCCTGAAAAAAACCGGAATCAAACCGTTAAAATTAACATGTTTTTATTATTTTTGGATACGAATAATAACAAAATATAATAAAAAAAATTATAAAAATACCACTGAAAACACGGATTCTTGTAAGTAAAAAAATTACAAAAACGTAAAAATAATATATTTTTTTGTAAGATCCCATTTAAAAACACTTCTCGGCTGGAACCAATGACGCAACTACTCGCGGTCGTGCCCTGCCGGTCTCGCTCGACTGTCGTCGGCTTCTCGTCCGTCTCGTCATCCGCCATATTTTCAGCCTTGTTTTTGTTGGCGCTTTACGGTATAGAGCGAATATTTTGTGTGCTGTGCTTCCTAATTTCAGTGCTTGCATTTCAGTTAGTTTTTTTGTGGTATTATTACTGAAGAACTAATAATTCATGAAAATAAACCTTTATGGTAAAATATAACATAAAATTTGATAAATTCTAAGCTTAACGATGTATTCTTATTTAGGCTACCAACATCATCCCTTGGTTTTTTATTATTTTGCTAGGTCAATGAGATAGCAAGATCAGGCGGCGGCAGCGAGCCCTGTTGATTTCAAATCGACATGCAATGAAATTTAATTGATTGGGCATGAAGAAAAAGGAGAAATTTCCAAAATTAAAACTGGTCAGTAGGTATTATGTTTTTTAGAAATAAATAGGACGTAAATATAATAATAAATAAAGTATAAGAAACGTAATTTAATAAAAGATATATTATGGGGCAACTGACTTTGTCACCTTTTAGATTACATATCTCTTTGATTCTAGACTTCTTTTCGTATCTTATCGTTTAGTTTTTGAAAACAAAAATAAAAACCACTTTCTCTTCATGATTTTTGAGCGGTCAATATTAGGCATACAAAACTAAACTAATTTTTTATTTAAGTAAGCAATGTCAGAGAAAATCCCTCAGAAGAAAATTTTTGGTTATACAATTTCAAAAAATGCATAAATTATTTTATTTTCAGAGAAGTATAATCACCCTACAAAAATAAAATATTCATTTTAGGAATCACCGTGCATAAAGTACGATTTTTACATTAAAATGATTGTCGAGTTAATTTATGAAAAAGTTTTTCGTATTTTTTAAGGTTTGTTTTCATGGTGAGGGTAGGTACACCATCATGAGCAAATAAATTACAGATACATAAAACCTGCCTTTCTAGAAATTAAAATATTTTCAGATGCGTATAATATGGCATAACATATCACAAACATCAAAAGAATGTGAGAATTCAATAGCTTGGCTGAAAAGAGCTACTTTCACCAAAGAAGAACTGCCAACCTGTCAAATATTAGTTATTTTGTTAGTATCTTAGGCTATATTTAAGATACTTTAGATTAGGTCATTCTATATTTTTGCTATATTATATACCTACACTTTTTCATATCTACAATAGAAAAAATCAGATGTGTATAAAATGTGTTTTATTAATGGTATCAATCTGCAGTCCTTCACTTTTCACCATTAAAGATTAAATAATTATTGGAAAAAGTGGTGTCTTCGCCAACCATATCCAATAAGTAAGGTCCACTGGTATATCTATATAAGATCCCATATCGTCTCAGTCGGATATATTAACGATACCTCAACTAATATAACTGGATATCCTATTGGATATACTGTAGCGTTCCACTTAGTAACATCGTATATCCTTGAGACGTCTTAAGGATGTCCCTTAGCTGAAACAATATCTCCCTAGAATATATGTCCCGTCAGATATTCCGAGGACGTTTTACGGACGGCCTTGTGCTATTTGCGAACCTTAGGTCTAATTTTAAAATGGCGAAATTGATTTAAATTAGAATGGTAACGGCGTGGTAGAAAAGTGAGGAAATTTTTCATTAGAAAAAAGCCGTGTTACTTTCCGATTGGGGATTGTTGTCTTTCTCTTACTCACTCATTACTTTATTTAAGCATATATTCTTACTTGCATAATCTCACCCAATACGATTTGGAATCAAACAATATTTTATTTAAATACAAATTTGTATAAAATATAATAACTTCTTAAAAAACTTTTAAATAGATATACTTACAAATTAAAAATATTTAATTCGCTTCTAACGGTTTTTAAAAAATTACTGATCAGAAAATACAAACGATTTATTATTACAGATATCTATGTACGGCTGATTTCATAGAAAACTGGTACGACTCTTAAAGCACTTTTTTTCAAAGTTTTGACCAATGCATATTATAGGCCACCATGTCGTTGTCATCTACACTTCAGAGTTAAATGCAAGAAGTGTAACCAAGTCAGAAGATGGATGGTTTTTTGTCATTAATAAAAGGTCAAGACAAGAAAAAGCTTTTGAAAGGAAAAGGGGATCTGGCAGATGAACAATTAGTTCAGTTCAAGAAGATCAGGTCGAGGAACGCAAGAATTCTGGAGCATCTCGAGTGCCGTACTGCAGCAAAGAAGATCGTTGTCTAGTCTCTTAACTATCAAGCGCAAGAACAGCAGTTTTCCGATAGAGTCGTATTTTCCGAAGTAAAGATCTTCCAGTTTTCCAAAAAGCAGTAATCAAGCAGCGTTTTAAAACTGCATTTGTCGAGGTACAGAGCTGCAATTTCAATGTAAATGTATGGCGATGGATTTTATCCTGAGGAATGGAAGTGGTATGGCGGATTGAAGGAAGATTTGTTGATCAAAATTATGGTGAAATATTGCAGAACAGTGTCGAACAGCTTTACCCAATCAAAATATTAAATTCCTTCCAAGTCCTGTTTATGTTAAAATGTTGAGCCGCTGCAGAGAAGAATCAACCATTTTCTAAACTTGTTACAAATCTTGCATTTACCTAAATCCAATTATTTTTTAGTTGTTTATTTAAAATTTAAAAATAAAACTTACGAGAACAACCAATGATAAACATTAAAATTGAACAAAATACTGAATACTCTTAATACCTATATAATGTAAGAATTGCAAGTGATAAAACAGCTAAACTGAACTCTTTGATAGGCTCAACCCTGTATTAATTTTTATTGGTCAAAATATTTGCCTAAATCTGCCTTTAGATAAAATATTGGACGTCAAATCAATTTTTGTTTTGTCAAAATATGATATGAAAAACTGCTCGAAAGATAAAGTGAAATTTTTTAAGCGGCATCAGGTTTTTATGAAACTAGCTGAACATATTAGCTTATATATATATATATATATATATATATATATATATATATATATATATATATATATATATATATATATATATATATATACAGGGTTATTCACTTAAAACTCCGCACGCCAATAAGTCCAAAACGAAAAGAAATATTTAATTTATGTAAAAAGTAGTCAAAGTGTGGGGTCAAGTAGATATTTCCTAAAGTTTAAAAAATTCGACGCCTGCAAAGAGCTGGGCGTCGCGACGCGTCGAAAAATTATTCGATTGCAGAGACTTTGGAAATACGCGCATACAAAAGTACATATTATTTAAAAACTTTTTTGTTATTTACTCAAACTTATTTACTTTACCCGTTTCTAAGTTATACCGATTTAAAGTAAACATTTCTTGATTAATAAAAAATGTGATTAACGCTTATTTTTACAAGTATGCCATGAATGTTAGTTACTATGGCAACCATTGTTATCGCAGTTGTTTTAAGTGCAATTACAAAGAATAGATTTCAACTATTTTAGTATGATTTTATTTATTATTTTTTATCAATTTAGTTCTGATAACATGATAAATAAATGAAAAAACAGTAAAATACCTACAAGTTAATAACCAACCAGTGTTCGAAGTGTTTTCGGAGCGCGAGCATTGAAGATGCCAAGTGAGATTTTGGCGAAACGTCTGCAGGATTCCAGTCGGATGCAGGATTTGCAGGATTCCAGACGGAGTTCAACGAGCGAACGGATGATATCCCGGAATATAGTGTCATCATATATATTTATGTATATATATATATAAGCTAATATGTTCAGCTAGTTTCATAAAAACCTGATGCCGCTTAAAAAATATTTATATAGCGTGTTATCATTATGACGTAGGAGTCATTACTTATTACCTTTAGTATTTAACTTGTGACAAAAGAAAACGATACCCATTTCTATGTTCTCAGTTCCAGTTCAAGCGAATTTCGAATAGAGTTTTACGCTACGAAACCAATTTTTGAAAATGGCTTTGTAATGTAATTAATAATATTAGGAGTGAAATAGTAATTACCTGCAATTTCCTAAGAAAATAATATTAAAGTCATTTTCTTATTACTGGGTGGTTTTATTCACCCTGAAGTATCGAATTTTAATAATCTCTAGTGCTAGTAATAACTAGCAACACAAACGCACCAAATTATCATGATTTTATGTAAAGGTTCGCTTAAGTCGACCTTATTTTCGCTTTGCTCTTTTTAATAATGCATTTTGTAACGGCCCCGCCCCCACTTACTCTCCCTTCTTGCCCTTGGGGATCACGAAGCGGACAAACTCGAGCCGCACCCTCTCCAAATATTGGGCATTCTGCATGCCGTAAATAAAGTACCGGCACACCAGTTTCGGTATATACGGGAACGGGTAGTTCGGGCTGAAGACGAAACCGCTGGACTCCTTTTTGCTGAAGATCCTCTGGTCGCATTCGGTGCCCCTGATGTGTTCCCCGTCGTTTTTGCTTATAAAATCTGAAGCAAAACGAAGGAGGGCGGTACTCAACCGTATGCTCGCGGCATGCGGGTGTAATACACACCTAATTTTGTAAAAGAGTTAGAAAACTCGAATATTCCCCTGAATCCCCTGTTCTGGGTGTTGGCAGTGCGACGCAGAGTCACGAACGTGACGAACAGCGAGGACTCGGACGAATAGACGACCAGGTTGCGCTGTTGTCCGCAGTAAGTGCCGATAATGGCGGACGCGTTGTCCGGACCGTCGTAGATCCGCACGTAGTCGAACGGACAGCTGAAAACGTGCCTCACGTCACCTCGCTTTCAACCAATAAGACATGGCCGACTTTTTCAGCCGCATTTTATCGAAATGTCGAAAAATGGAACGAGTAGTGTAATTCAATCACCTGTACTCATTCTAAAAAAGTGAAAAACTATGCAGAAAGTGTGTTTTTATAATATTATTAGTATTTGGTCTCTTTCGTTGTTTATTTTGTCGCTATATTTGTAACTGCCTAATGGTATATATCGAATCGATAGTTCATATTTAAAATACGGAATTTTCTTAAAGTAGTCCTGCCATCTGGCGCCTAACGTTTTTATACCGAAGTTTGACATTTTGAGGTTAGGTTTACTCAGTTAGGTTTTGGCGAAAGAGTGTTGTTTGTGTTTTTTTTTTGCGATAAATTGAAAAAATTGTGACGGTTAAGAATGGAACTTTATCGGTAGCATTTTCATGTAATATTTTTTTATAAATTAAGACAACGATGAACTTAATTCGACTTTTTGAGTTAAAACACCATCAAGGACTACTGTTTATAGCTAGTTTTCGGATTTCAGTAGCGGTCGTAGTTTTCTTAAGGATCAATTTCGTGAAGATCGTTCAAAATCGGCGGTTGTCCAAGAAAACATTGATGCAGTGCGGAAACTGATTTTGCAGGATCGTCATGTGACTCACCATGAGATTGAGGTATCTTTGGGCATTAGTGGGACCAGCATCCATACAATTTTGCATGAACATTTGGCGGCTAAAGAATTTGTTTGCGTTGGATTCCACACAATTTGACATCAGCTCAAAGAAAGGCTCGTGTTGATTGGTCCCAACACATCTATGATATCGTGACAGGTGATGAGTTATGGACCCACTGAGTGGGTCGTTCAGAATTGGACAAAGTTCACAAAAGTTGTTCGTGCGCGAAGCATCTCGAAACAAATGGTAGTCTGTTTCTTCAGAAAAACTAACCACGTTGCAACTGTTTCTTTGGAGAAAGACAAAACAGTCAATTCTGAATGGTACACATTTGTTTGCCGAAAGTCTTCGAAGAAAAACCAACCGCCGAAGACAAATCACTCTTCACGACGACAATGCTAGTTCTCACCGATCAGTGCAAACAACGAACTTTTTGAGCATTAAAAACGTTGATTTGATGAGGCATCCACCATATAGGTCCTGATTTAGCATCTAATGACTTCTTTTCATTCCCATACATTAAGAATAAATTACGTGGAAGATGTTGAGAGATTTTTGGACAAGTGGTATTTCTTTAGAACTTTTGATATGTGGTCAGTGATGTTTTTAATGTAAGGAAGGACAATAATGGTAAGTGTGAGATTGCTTTCGGGCTCATTGCTATTGGAAGGTTTCGGTGAAGTGAACGTTAGCAATTTCGACTAAGCAAAAACCGACGCAGGAGGAATCCAGAAGTTGTGTAAAAAGTATTACAGTAGCCTTTTAAAAGTTTTACATATAAATAATTGGTTCAAATAAAACTAAAGTCGTTTGTCGGGCAATTTTTGAATGTTTAGAAGAAACAAAGGACGAAAGAAAAATCGACGAACAACGAGAACAACAATCAACCCCGTCGAGCTCCCATTGAAAATCGTATGCTGTTGGAATTTTTTTTATGGAAACGACGACCCGCCCGGCTTGTTTCCTTCCCCCTCTCCCCGACCCCAGCGATTTTGATTAATAGCTCGGCGAAAATTCCGAGTAATTTATTTGGTGTCGGCGCGCCACGTAGTAAGGGACGAATGAGGAAAAAAAGACAAAAGGGCCAATATCGGGGGGCGGCGTAATGTTGAAGTCGCCGCAGTCGCACAAACTAACGATTGTCTAAATTTACAACCGATTTTTATTTTTATTAAACGTAATTGCGTGTTGTTGTCGGTGCGCCCCCGCCACTGACCAATAAACAAATCGAACAGCGTCTGGCGTATAACACTACCACCTTCACAGAAAAATTGCTATATTTTATCGTATAAAAAACATATTTTACAAAAAAGATTTCATTGCAGGTACCGTGCGTTGAATTTATCTTGCCAACATTTTAATTGACTGTAACTTTTTCGTTTTTAAAGGTATCAAGGTGGGGTTACTAGCCAAGTTTTTTTTCAAGTGACGTATAAAACAAAACACAGTCAATTTTCTTACATATAAGCCCCATCATATTTTTTTAATGGAACACCCTGTATATTCTATATGTGCGATTTAGTGCACTCGTATTTAACCAATCAGCAGAAATAGGAAATTTTTATATAATTTCATGACTCACTGCAACAAAAATAATTATTTACAAATTAAAGTTAAACAAAAACACTAAAAATAAATGACAAGACACACTAACGTAAAAAATTCTTTAACTATTCTAAATACTGCGGTATGTAACCACCATTTTCCTGAACACATTTCTCATACATTCTAATTGTATGATATCTTGCATTCAGTAACGTTTCCGGATTGTCTCTTAATCTCTGAAATGATGTTTTATGCGCTCCCAAATGAGAAAAACCATTTAAGTTAAATTTGCCGATTTGTCAAAAAGCAGTGGAGTAAAAAATATAAAGTGCGTTACATCATCACATATATAATATACAGGGTGTTCCATTTAGCAAAAATATGACGTAGGCTTGTATGTCCAAAAATTTTGTTTTGTTTTAAACGTCACTTGGAAAAAAGCTAACCCTAAATTTTGTTTTTTTTTTGTTTACCTTGATATCTCTAAAAACAAACACATTACGGACAATTAAAAAGGTTATCAAGATAAATTGGCACATGAGAAAAAATATTGTCACGTTACTGCTACTAAAATAATTGATAAATAAACAGATATTACAGTTATATCAAAATTACAGACTTCTAACCAAAGAATTCGAATTTAGTTTGGCCAGTCGTCTACGGACAGCGATTCTTGAACGCCACTTGATTAAGAAAAAAACGTTTCGTTTGTTTTCAAACACCCTACGATACACCGGGCAGTAGTAGTTTTCGATAACAATTGGAAGAGTACGGGGAAAAAACGATGGGGGCCCATTTTTTGCCAAATAATCAGTTATTTCGTATAATATATCCACATATTAGATATGGCTAGAAAGATGACAGTTCGACGATAAACAGAATTTAAAATGTATTGTAGTAGACAAAAAAGAGAGGTTGTGAGCAAGAAAGATGACAGTCCTTTGACGAAAAGTTACGCTTAAGTAGTCATCAAACTGCAGAAGACCGCAAATGTTCGAAACTTAAATGTTTCCAAAATCTCACTGCAGCTGATTTAAGCACGATCGTGTCCAGTTTAATCAACTACAAAGTTATGATCTGAGTGGTTTAATAACGTGCAAACCTGTAACACGCCATCGTCTCAGGAAATCTGAAGATGAAGATGATTTTCATTCATTTTCGTGTACTTATAAGGTGAGATTATTACAAAACAACGAACTAGTGTGCTATAAAAAGGCCACAAACTATACAACGCGGATTCAAATCAAAGGGTTCGGGGCCATTGGATGGGCGAGGACACTCTTCCAGACCTAACCGACTTTCTAGAGAAATAACAGATTCGGTCATGGAACAAAAAAAGTTTTTTGTGTATTCCGTCAAAAACTATTTTAGTTCATGTTAGTAATAATTATATTGCAAAATCTTTGTTTACCATGTTCTAAAGTAGTCTGCCCAAATAAAATAACAATTACTTAGAATTAAGTTTTTTGGACACTCATCTTTTTCCCCTCTGTACTCTTTAATTATTTCTGCATTTTGCGCGCAAAACAAATCGTCCATGTAATTTCAAAGTGCAGATGATCACGATATACTGCAGTTACATACAGAACTGCGAACCTTGCAAGTTGAAAAAGAAGTAAATTAAACAGTTGCTAGGCTTGAGGCTCAAAAAGGCAAAACCAGGGAAGCTATTGTGATGGATTTTCCAAAAAAATCTTGGAACTGCCGAATATTACAACTAATGACACGTATTATTGTAGACAATGTTCGTTCTATCTGTTCTTTCGACCTCTGAAGTTCTTTTCTGTACTTATACTGAAGTTTCAGAGAAAAGGGTTTTAAGGGATTCCCTTAAAAAACCAAGCCCTTGTAAAGTTATTTCTTGTAAAGATAGGTTCATTGTTAAGAGTTGGACCAAATTTCTAGCGGATATCTATATGCCCAAGTGTCATTTTCCTTCATGATGGTCGAGAACTTGAAAATGTCATGAAACAAAAAAAGAAAAAGACTTTCGCAAAGACTAGCGCAGGATTTTTTTACAGCAATACCACATTGATAAGATTACAATAATAGATTGTGGACCTTCATCTTTATTGCCAACTGTTTTTTTGTATTTTAGTTCAAGCTAGCAATAATTAAATTGCAAAATCTTATTTTTGTTTACCATGTTCTTCCGAAATAAAAATCACAATTAATCAGAATTAAGTTTTTTGGACTCTCGTGCTTTTTCTCCTGTATTCTTTAATTGTCGATATAAGGTTTGATAATTTTTTTATCTGACAGCAAAACATATTCTAAAAATTCACATAGTGGAGCGCCGTAAGGCATAAAAATGGTAAAATCTCGGAACCCAGGGCCAGTCAATGAATCTGTATAACAAGTGTTTGACTGCATTACTAAAATCTCAAATAAAAATGTTAAAAAAAAAATTGGCCGATCTCGATTACAAAAATTTTTATAAATAATTTACTGAAAAATGAAAGGCGCAAGGGGGAAAAAATGTTTACAGTAAAGATTAGATTTTCGCAAAAAAATGATTTACAAAAGAAAAAATTTAACCTTAACTATATCGATTATTGTTGATTATTGTCGTCGTCGTCGTCGTCGATTTCGTTGATGTAGATTGTAGGTAAAGGATTAGTACAACTATCACCATTGCATTCTAAGCGAGCTGCAGTGCAGTTTAATCCACTTTTCCTGCACCCACAAGACGCTCCACATAATGTTTTGCATGTGCAAAAAATAATTTTTAGTTAACATTCTGGAGCTGGTCGCTGCGTCATTGTTTGCGGTATCAATATTCCCCCATTCTTCTGGTAATATTTCTTTTCCGAACCATGTTTGAACTTGTAAATATACTCTTTTGAAGTGTTCAAAAGCGCCATCTGCAGTAGGTTGTAAAGACGGAAGTTTAACGCAGGTATTTTTGGTAGTTGCTTTCAAAAAAGAGTTATATCTCAATGCATTAAGATTATTTTATTTTTTGGGGGGCGTTGTATAGGGCAAGAGTGCATGTAACACCAGCTTTAAAAATTTTATCGATGTCGTTTGAAAACTGTCGCAGCATTTTGCAAGTCCGTTCGTTTTTCGAAATTTTTTGCAAACACGTTTTTGCCACGTTGAAAAAAAGCTGACGTATTTCATATTGTTGTTTTTTAAAACATATGATTGTATTCGATCCAAATTTACTGGAGAATACAATATTATCCTCATAATGGTTCATTAACCTCATTTTTAACGTTTTATCATCACGAAAATGATCAATTCTCACAATACTTTTTAATTCTGCCAGTGAACACTGGCAGTCATCATCTTCTTCAATATATTTGAAAGTCTGCTCCATTGCTGCATCTACTTGTATTATGACTGGATGAATTTTTTTATCCCTCTGGGTCTGTTTTACGGTAGTTTTCAAACGCATATAACAATCCGCGTGATACTTAGCGTCCTGAGCTACTAGATCTAACACACCTACAATTGTTTTATGGATATTGCGACAATATTCGCTTTTCTCTTCGCTTATCGAAATTTAAAAAAGTTTGCTTGAACTCAGAAGTAGTTACGTAGCTGATTTGCTGTCTTACCGATTTGGACTTTCTTCTTTCCTTCATTTCATCCGCTTCTTTTTCACATAAAAAACACTTATTTTTCCAATCAAAATCAATAGAAGTAGCCGTTCGCAGTTTTTGTGGTGTTCTTTTTTTTTAAATAAGCATTAATACATCCTTTATTGATATATTTTTGTCTGCATACTGAATGCACGTAGACAAATTCGCAAGTATTTAAATACTGAGAAAGTCCATCCTCTCTTTCCACAGAAGTAGCTTTCAGTGTTGGTATTCCTCTAGTGACTTTTATAATATCTCTTAGCTTTCTGTTAGGGCCCGCGTTAACAACACCCAACAGCTGCTGTTGCCCCCTCTATTCCCCCCCCCCCCTTTAAACGTTATACCTGCAGTCCCTTGAGACCCAAGATGAAGTTTGTAATAGTTCCTCTTTTTTAAATCTAATTTTACACTAATATAACTTAAGGAAAACTCCAAAAAATTAATAATTATTAAAAAATTAAGATCGCACAAAATATTTTTTTTAACATTTTTCTATATGCTATTAAAAACACATTGCCAAAGTTTATAAAAAGATTTATTGACTGGCCCTGGATTCCGAGGTATAAACCTTACGGCGCTCCACTAACATTGCTTCACCATATCGCAATGTCACACCGATCGCCTCCACGCGGAAGCAACGGCCATTTATAAATCGTGCTTACTGCTGGCCGCCGTAGAACAAGTCAAAGTCTCGAAACTCGAGCCGTACGCGTTCGTTGGGTGCTCCCAGAAACTGGTAGGAACAATAGAGATTCTTCGGATAGGCACCGGGATAAGTAGGCGAGACGATGCTTCCGTTATGCCTCACGGAGCCCTTCACCATAAAGTTGCACGGGCCCAGGCCCGTCGGCGCACCGATTTCGTATTCCGCTAGCGAAAATAAGTAAATAAATAAATAAACGTGAAAGCGCGCGCAGACGTATCGCGCAACTCACAATCGTTGATGAACGCGTAACGGCCGCTGAACAAATCTGCAATAGAAGAATTTTTGTCGGAATGGAAAGAGAACGCCAGCGCTCTAAACATGGAGACCCTCGCCCTGGGCCTTATAGATCCGCAGTACCGTCCGCCGAACGGCGAGTTCACCAGCTCGCCGAGATCGGGCTGCGTCACCTCGGAGTAAATGTCCATATACTCGTGGACGCAACTGAAATGAAAACGGGGCCCGTTTTATCGCCACGGCTTCGGCCTCCGACCTATCGGCATGCCGAAAAAATAATAGAACCCGTGCTGCGCATGCGGTGAACAAGCGGAAGCGGTGAGTGAGGGGCGGGGCAAAATCAGACTAAATTTGGATGCATGGAAATCTGCCCATTGTGAACATTTATTTGACTTCAATTTCATTTTTCTTTGATCGGATCAAAAAAATATGCTGTTTTACAGACAATTTAATATGCTTTAATACGAGTTGAAATGGAGTAAAATTTATTCCTGCTTTGAAGGTTTAGCATGGTGAAAGGGATTAGTGGCTAGGATGCCCTTGAAGCAGTGCTTATGGTATTGTGTCATTCCGTTCTATCCTGGGCCATGATTACGGATTGGTTTGGTCTAATCCATCTTTTGGGTGACCTTCCGCGCGGGCGTCTTCCTTCGACTATTAGTAGATGCAGTGAGTCCGTTCTTCTTTCAATATGGCCAATGAATGTTAGAAAACTTCCATTTTTTGTTTTTCACAGATTTAGTTGAGTATTTAGTTCTTGAAGAACGAGCTCATTCGTACGCCTTGCATCGCTCTTCTTGATCGTCCGGGTTTCAGCTCCATAAGTGGCAATCGGGAACACAAGTGAATTCAACAATCTTAGTTTGGTGTTTTTAGTGGTGGCTGTATCCCTACAGATCTTACTTAACTTAGTTACGGCTGTACGAGCTAGTGCAATTATCCGCTTTATTTCACCTTCACATGCACCGCTATTGTCAATTAAAGATCCCAAGTACAGGTACTTATTCACCACATATGTTTTTTACGTGAGGTTGGTTGTGATTTTGCCGGTCTACAATCACGACAATAGTTTTGTTGGGATTTAATTTCAATTCAAATTCTGCACTAGTTTTCTGGAGAAGGTGCACAATAAATTGTTTGATTGTTTGATAAATTGTTAACTTTCCTTCCCCCTACAGATATACCATCCTGTCAGTTATCCAGAATGACCCGCATTATGTATTCGGTGTATATGTTGAACAGTATATTCAGGAGTGTGTGACACCCTTCATCGCTTGAAACCTGTTTGATGTGACATCGTTGATTCTTATCAGACCGTAATTGTGTTCATAGAGCTGTCGGATAAGTATTATTAAGTGGTCAGGGATCCCCATTTCTTTGAGTATTTGCCACAATTTTGGCCATTTTACCAAGTCGAAGGCCGTGGCGTAGTCGACAAAACAGAGCTACATTGTTGTGTTAAATTCTCTGGCTCTCTCTCTATTTGTTCTCTCGTACACTTACCCGGCATAAAGCCGGTTTGTTCTTCTACAATCTGGGAGGAGAATTTTGCATGCATATAAAGTGACCCACACCATTCGTCTGGCCAAGCTCCTGTCTTCCATATAAAATGCAAAACGTCAACTGCTGGCTGTCCTATTGACTTCAGTATCTCTGCAGCTATGCCATCTATGCCAGGAGCTTTATTGTTTTTGAGGCTCTTCGAGGCGTGTTCAACCTCCGATTTAAGAATCCCGGGTTCGTGTTCAGTAAGTGTAAAATGGTTTACATTGTTAAAGGGTCCATAATCGTTGTAAATTTAATGGCAGTATTTCCGCCAGACCTCAGCAATGTCATCTGGACCGGTAATCATTCCACCATTTTCGTCCTGTATAATTTGTGTACGAAGTAAACATCTCAAAATAGATAGTAATAAAAAATAATAATCTTAAAATATAGAAACTATTATTATAAAAATAATTATACTGTCAAAATAAGCTAAAAGCGAGTTTTTTTTAGTAAATCGTTTGATATACGATAAAATTTATGGTATTTAAAAACATAATATAAAACTTGGTGTAAATAAAGTTCTCTCATAACAATAAAAGTTTTCTTAAAAGACACCTATTAGTTATAATAATAAATTAAAAAAAAAACATACTCCTTTACTAATCACTGCTGAAACAGCTAAAATCTATCATTGCACTTAGTAATATGAAAAAATATATTTTAATAAAAGAAATGTGGATATGAAAAGTTTTCTTTTACTTATATAAGGATTTTTTTAATAGTACTTTATCCTCTATTTCTCCTTTTTGGTGGTCACTTTGCTTTGGTTTGTTCATTGGTATTTTTTCACTAGTTCATTTTGCGAATTTAGACAATTTCCTGTTGTTTATTTTTTTTATGTTACAGTATCAGTCTTTTTGAGATGCACAATGGGCTATTTCATTTGTAGGCTTTTCTCCATCATCAGCATAAACGTGGAACATGTCTTTGGGTGCATCGTAGTGAACTTCAGTCGAATAGTGAATAGTGAATAATGAACTTTTGTCATTTTTTGTTTTACAATAAATTTCTTCCTTCTCCATCTTGTTAATACGGCTTCGCAAATCGGCCTATCCTTCTAGCCCCTTTGTGCAGCCTTAAAGATTTAGGCGTTTTTTTTTTATACTTTAGAAGGTACTAAATACTACTGTAGCTACTGTAGTGTTTTCAGTGTGACGCATTACTTTAAACCGCCATGACACAAATAATAGCAGTATACGCGACCTTCCCCTCTATCTTACACTCTTTGGATCTACTTCAAATTCTCCTTTTAGCTCATTTCATAAATGTTCGATAGGATTGCATGGCATGGCCACTCCATAACTCAATATATATATATATATATATATATATATATATATATATATATATATATATATATATATATTCTCACGTATTGATTCACGGATGGAAAAATGTGATGACACTATATTCCGGGATATCATCCGTTCGCTCGTTGAACTCCGACTGGAATTCTGCAAATCCTGCATCCGACTGGAATCCTGCAGACGTTTCGCCAAAATCTCACTTGGCATCTTCAATGCTCGCGCTCCGAAAACACTTCGAACACAGTCCATTGGTGGTAGGAGCGCTTGTCGATGAGCTGGAGTAAGTTTTGGACCAATGGCAGTAGTTGTTTTTGGCGGCAAGTTATTGTCCTTCAGTTTTCTTCTCACTGACCACTGACTAATACACATTAAGGTGACGATTTCTTAGTATCGTTGACACAATAAAGCGGTCATCACGAGTCGTTGTAATTAGCCTTCTGCCTGTTCCAGGGCTAATAGCAAAGAGTCCATAATACGAATAATGTGAAATTTCCAGTTGCAAGTTTGTTACTATCACTAAACTACTTCATGAACACGTTTCATTTCTTTAACCGTAGCTACGCATATTGACAAATTTAAACTCATATTAAACCATACTAAATCGTCTTCCAAATAGCATTTTTAGTTTTTGGGTCAGACGGATAGTTTCTAAAAAAAAAAACAACATACTGAAGTCAAAAATTTACAGAACGTTGCTTGTGGTTGGGAACGAATGGTCTGCCAATTGGGATGACATCTGTAAAGGCTACATATTCCAAATACACGGAGAACACCGTTGCGCGTTGTTATGAATATTTTACTTGTTATAGTGAAAAATTTTAAAATTACTAAGATTAAGCACTCATAATATTAAAAATATGAAGTATCCGTAAAAAAAAAAGTTTCGAAAACCGAAAAACATCTTCAACAGAGAAAGCGCAGGAAAGTATGTGCGACGTGCGCCGTCGAGTTGTGAAACGAAAACTTATTTTCGGTATAAGCGCGAGACGGAAAGCAAAAATCTAAAAGGAGAAACAGAGAAGAAAGAGAGGATAGGTCGTGTAAAAAAAAAAACGGTACTCACGCCGGGAGATCCCCAACAGCGGCTCCACTGCGGCAGGCAAAATTAAAACACGTCAAATCATGTCACAACCGGTTCTAAGCTAACGAAGTAGTTTCCACGAAGCTCCGTCTCCTAAACACACGTTACGTGGTGACCATCTCTATCTTCTAATTCGAATCCACCAAATTAATCCATATCGATTCAATTTTTTTTATTTGAAAGTTGTACGTTTAGAGGACGGATTTCAAAATATGGCCTATAACATCGTCTAATTGGCCACCCAGTTTGTTGCGGGCGTCAGCAAAACACATTTAGGTTCCAATGTGACTCCAAACTAACGAGGACCTCTACAAAAGCTCTAATCGGACCCGTACCGTGGACCGTTAAGATATGCAAACAAAATTTGTTGTATGGATATTACTCAATTGTACACCGCACTAGGACGCATGCGGGTATGGTCTGTTCATAGATATAAGAAAATGACCCATTGCTCTTGAATGGGTGGCCATTAATATACAATGCAAGAAGATTATTACCTAAAGTTTCGGAATTTAAATTCAGGTAAAATTGTGGTCCGTAATGGAAAATAATTTTATACCTACCTGTGTTTAATATTGTCTGGTTTGGTATACTACTTAGTTTAAGTTTATTAGTAATCATTCTTATTTCGTGTGTAATACACAGTAGACAGTTGACTAAAACCCCTTCTTCATGTGACACAAAAGCAACAATCTAAAATTACATGTATAATAACGACATTTATTTTCACGAAGATTATACCAAAAGGCAATTAATTGAGGTTCTACAAAGCTTGCATCTACAAAAGGAATACGTCTGTGATAATTATGCAAAAAAATCTAGGGCATACAGTTTTAAGGCTTCAACCTTACCACTGTACATTTAATCCCATTGAACATGTTTGGCACCAACTGAAATCTGCCATTCGTCGTAACAATGTTTTTCCCCGTGTTAACTCCAATGTCCTCAAACTTATAGAAACCGAAGTTTTTAACATCCCTCCACAAAATTGGGTAAATTCTGTTAAACATATAGAAAAAGCAGAACAATCGTATATTGCAAATAATAATTAGAACAGGCGATGATAGCGATAGTGAGACTGATATATATTGTGTGAATAATTTTAAGTAATTTAAGTAGGTAATAAAAATAATTTGTAATTTTATTTTAGACTTAAAAATAAATACATCAATAAATAGATAAATATTGTTTAGCATTTTTTCTCACAAAACCCCAAATAATTAAATTTTAAGCAAAGTATGGACCTGTTCGGCCATATTTCATTCTTGCAGCTTGCCCGGATCTTTCCTTAATTCGTATCAGTTAGTCACTTTCTTATATCTATGAACAGAGTTTATCAGTTTCAATCAGCCGAAAGTAACAAACATCACAACCTCTATACATTAAATGAAAAAAAAACGAGCTAAAACGGCATTCAAATTGAAAATAAATATAGGCTACGTTGTTTGTTAACAATGACGATGCTCGACCGATTAAAAGACTTAATCCGCATGCGCATGTTTGAGAGCCACGCCCCTCGTAACCTCGTCTTCACATTGCTACCCTACCGACCAAGTTCAAACAGGCAATCACTAAGACTGACGTCTACAATATAAACTCCTGCATCTTGGCGATGAGGCTATCGGCTCATGACTACGAAAAGGCTTTTGATAATGTAGGACATGAACATATCTTCAAGAACTTGGGTTGGACGACAAAGATCTGATTGCTAATCTATATGGGCACCAGGCGACTGAAATACGTCTTCAAAACTCAGCAACAACAAAGAAATTTGAAATAAGGAAGTCAGGCAGGGCTGCATTCTATCCCCAATGCTTTCCAATCTCTACGTGGAGAGAGCTTTTGCTGAGATAATATCTGAAAGATCTCATGGGTATTGTAGTTAATGGTATTCAAATTAATAATATACGCCGAATATGCCGAAATACTGTCAATGAGGCAACCCAACAGAAGGGCTTAAAGATTAACACCAACAAAACGACCAGTAGACCTTGACCAGTAGAGCTTGAAATTAGATGCAGGATAGAATGGTTAAGTGTTATGCCTGGTCGGTTCTCCTGTAGGCAGCGGAAGCGTGGACGCTTAAAGCTGTTTCTATCAACCACATTGAAGCGTTCGAAATGTGGACTCCGAGGCGGATGCTAAAGATACCGTGGACGGAACGGACCAGGGATGTGCTCAGGATGGCTGGATTGAAAAACCGAGAACTCTTCGACCATATTAAAAAACGAAAGATTTCTTACCTGGGGCACATTATATGGGAGAGCCATATGACTTTCAACATATGACTTTCAACTCTGAATACTACAGGGAAAGATTGAAGGTGAAGAAATATTCGCCAGTGGACGGGTATAATAAACTCATATGATAGGGAAAACGCCTAAGGAGTAATTTGCATGGCACCTAAAGAAGAATAAGCGATAAAGGGCCATAGATATCGCAAACAGTTTCAAAGTTAGAAAAGTTAAAATCTTGATTGAATGTCTTGAATCTTTTGCACAGATTGTTGTGTATCTTTTAGGTAGTATTGGACATCGGCTTGCAATGAAGCGAGAGAGTGATTTACTATTGAAACGCGGTCGGTAGATCTGCGGAATGCCATCCCCTTTCCCCGTACCAAGGTCCACTTACTCTGGCGGCGCTCCCCTGAGTTTGAACGAGTCGAAGTTGATCTGGACCCTTTGGCCAGGACCGCCCAAGAACGTGTAGACGCAACTGATTGTGAGACCCCGCGGGTTCACAAACTCCGGTCCCGTGAATGTACCGTTCATGGGGCCGTTGGCGCGACTCACAAATGTTTGATGACAACCTGTGGAAAACGAGAAATTAAAAAAACAACCGTCCGCGGTAAAGGGGCCGGTTATTAAACTCGGTAACTTATTTAGAACCGATAATCCACAAAACGAATAAGCTCCCTAAGCCCCCACCTCCCTCGTGGAGTTATCGAATATGCGGACATTATGCGTTCGAAATTGACTTGTTTCTGGGCTAATTGAAATGTAATTACCGTATACTTTGTGTCGCATTCGACTAGTAACTCGGTCAGATGTCCCTAGTTTCGTAACTACACAAAGAGAAATATGTCGACATCAAAATCAAAGTATGAGAACGTTCCGTCTACAAACCATTCCATCGGACAAATTACGACACCCTAATCAAGAAAAACAACAAGATGTGTATACGGGAGGGTGGGGCAAGGGGGCCCACCTCAAAAATTAACCAAAAATTTTTTTTTCGTTATTATAATTATAATTTCTGGTTATTTGTATATTTTTAGTTGTATATTTTTAGTTTGCGTAATACCAGGGGTAAAATGGTCTAAAGAAATTATTCCATAATTTTTTTTTGTATATATTTTTTGTATAGATACCAATAACAAATTCTTTAATCGATAGAAAAATACCAATCAGTAACGTTTTTTTAATTAATAATTATAATTATTATATATAACATTATAAATAGGGGAGAGTGGGGCACGACGGCCAGAAGCTTGGCCAAAATTTGGGTAAATTTAGTTAAAGTTCGTCAAAAATGATTCGACTTGACGGTTAAAAGCCACAAAAAATAATAAAAAGTGGGGGTTTAAGTGGGCCGCCTCGCTCCACCCTCCCCTACGCTATGGAAAGGAAAAGCGTGCAAAATTCATTTAATTATTATTAAAAATTATTGCTTCAAGTTAAAGTAAAAATAGAATGATTCACATTGCCCAAAGAACTCCGTCTGATAGGATTTATTATTTCACTAATCAGAACATCGAAAACGTTTTTGATAATTATAGAATCAATATGGGACGAAATAAGCAAACTGGAGCTCTGCAAGACACCCACATCTCTGAATTGATCAACACAGTTCAGTGGGCTAATATTAAAATGATAAATACGGGCATTAAAAGCTCTTTTCAATTTAATTTTTGCTGTGGGAGTTTTTCACTTGTTTCTTTTCAGATTATGTCGTCCCTTTTGCGTCCAATTTATTCTTAACCGCATTCTTTCATATAAGCTCAGGATTTTTTTAACTCCCCTTTTCAATTAGTTCCAATCTTCCTGTTTACGCCAATATAAGGTTTTTTGCTTTGGCGTTTTACCTTGTTACCTTATGAACAACTTTGACATACTCTAATGCAATTTCTTAAGTAATTCCGTAGTGACATTTCCGCAGTGACATATATATATATATATATATATATATATATATATATATATATATATATATATATATATATATATATATATATATATATATATATATATATATATATATATATATATATATATATATATATATTCTCACGTATTGATTCACGGATGGAAAAATGTGATGACACTATATTCCGGGATATCATCCGTTCGCTCGTTGAACTCCGACTGGAATCCTGCAAATCCTGCATCCGACTGGAATCCTGCAGACGTTTCGCCAAAATCTCACTTGGCATCTTCAATGCTCGCGCTCCCAGTGTTCGAAGTGTTTTCGGAGCGCGAGCATTGAAGATGCCAAGTGAGATTTTGGCGAAACGTCTGCAGGATTTGCAGGATTCCAGTCGGAGTTCAACGAGCGAACGGATGATATCCCGGAATATAGTCTCATCATATATATATATATATATATATATATATATATATATATATATATATATATATATATATATATATATATATATATATATATATATATATATATATATATATATATATATATATATATATATATATATATATATATATACAGGGTCTTTAAAAATAAACAAGAAAAACTGAAGGGTGTGATTTCTGGTTTAAAATAAATGTTAGTTTGTTATACGTCACAGGACAAGCATACAACTTACAAATATGGCGGAAAAAGAGTATTTTATTTTTTATCTTAAAAACGCGCATGTCAAAAATTTTCGCTTCCTGTATTATCAGCATTTTCCCAATGGTTTCGCTGAACGAATTTCGATAATCCTATGTTGTTTCAAAAATCCTCTTTTCGGACGAAGCTAGTTTCTCACGGGATGCAATTCAAAACTTTCACAACTGGAATCTATGGACTGAAAATAAACTGCATTCACCAGCAAAACGTAGATATCAATATCAGTTTGCCGTTAACGTTGCCTGTGTACTTGGCCACCTCGTTCCCTAGATTTAATTCCTTTGGATTATTGCACCTAGGGATATCTAAAAGAATTAGTACAACTATGTTATAAAAATTGTATAATTGTATTGTATTACAAATAAGTTTTTCGCGTTTGTTTTGAAACACCCTGTATAAAACTTTCCCTGACCTTCACGCCATCTCTGACGTAAATCTTTATAATGCAACGCGATAAAACCGGACGATTTCAAGCAACAATTAAATCGATTTTTTTACAGCCTATTCAAAATTGATAAGTGGATTATTTTTAGCCCCGTAACCGTAACGAACATTTTTCTTAAACACCGTGTGAAACCAAGACTATGCACTGCATACCGTTTCTACCTTTGCTGGTAAACGAGATTTGCTCATTTTGTTTATATACCGCACAAGTTTTTATATCTCAAACGTCCCAACTAACCAAGAGGTATTCGGTAATTTTCAGCTGTTGACGGCGACGTTGATGAAAAAAGCGACCCAGCAGGATATCGGTGAAATCGAGAACGATGGAGATACGGAGATTGACGGATCGGGATCTGGTGACGACTACTCTGACGAAAATACCGAGGAGTTACATGATCATATCGAAATGTGTTCCTTTTGACCATTTTATTTGCTTTTAGCTACGGTGTCGAACCAGCCCTAATAAGGATTATAAACGAATACCGCCGTTCCAGTAAAGATCTGGCAGACCCATAAATCCAAATATAGTTTTTGTACTGAATAATAGTATTTGGTATATTAATAGCGGCACTAAATAATACATTTTGCGTTTAGAATAGAAAATCCCAATATTTACGCATAAAATAAAAGCATTTCAGATAGCTTACTGTTAATGATTCTTTACGTGTCAATTTTCTAATGATAAACACACACCTTCCTCTTTCTCATTCTTCAGAAAATTTAAACACATTTTGAATTTTACGTCAAACGCGAAGTATGGAAATCTATGGATATATATCGTGACAAAAATTTAAGTGAAAAAACCTTTAAGAGTAATTTTTTCCGAGTCTCACTTTTATTGTGCATTTACTACTCGTATCACTAAATCCTATATTGGTGAAAGGTTGCGGCTATTTGACTTTGAAGATTTATTATGGATTTTTCAAAGAAACTTCCACACTATTTACAAAACTTCTAGGTTTCTCCAGCGTCGGTTGCTAACAAATTAAACTTGCTGACGTTTTCCCAATCATCATGTTGGCTTCTTCAGAGCTTGAGTGAAACTGGTTTGCATTTTACTCTGTACCTGCTAATATATTGTTCGACGGGGGACGGAGCGCCAAAGGAGGGGCATAAACATTGGCGAAACGTAAAGACTTGAGTCGCGGTAACGATTGTTTAGTTGCTTATAAAAAGATTTTTTTCCTACTCCCGTCTGTAAAATACCTAATTTTTTTTCCGCACGGATTTGGGAGCAATCGGATGTTTTCGGAGATATTTCCGACGCTTTGAATTTTGACGTTTGTCATTCTGACGGTCAAGTCAGTGAATGTATTGGTGCTGCTTTGCGAAAATATAACCAAAAACTAAAGGTAGTAGAAAAAGTATAGTATGCAACACGTTCGGTAAACTTTTTAACTCACTCGTGTATTAAAAACTCGCTCCGCTAGTGTCAAATAAACTCGTGAGTCAAATGCTGTTTACCGCACTCGTTGCATAATATACTATTATATACAGGGTTTTTCACTTAAAACTCCGCACGCCAATAAGTCCAAAACGAAAAGAAATATTTAATTTCTGTAAAAAGTAGTCAAAGTGTGGGGTCAAGTAGATATTTCCTAAAGTTTAAAAAATTCGACGCCTGCAAAGAGCTGGGCGTCGCGACGCGTCGAAAAATTATTCGATTGCAGAGACTTTGGAAATACGCGCATACAAAAGTACATATTATTTAAAAACTTTTTTGTTATTTACTCAAACTTATTTACTTTACCCGTTTCTAAGTTATACCGATTTAAAGTAAACATTTCTTGATTAATAAAAAATGTGATTAACGCTTATTTTTACAAGTATGCCATGAATGTTAGTTATTATGGCAACCATTGTTATCGCAGTTGTTTTAAGTGCAATTGCAAACAATAGATTTCAACTATTTTAGTATGATTTTATTTATTATTTTTTATCGATTTAGTTCTGATAACATGATAAATAAATGAAAAAACAGTAAAATACCTACAAGTTAATAACCAGAATTATTATTGCAATTTACTACATAATAAGACATTTCAAAAATTTTGTTCAAAATTATGTCCATCTGCTCGAACACAACTATCAAAAACTTTTAACAGATGAGCTTAGGTCACTTGTAGGAGAGTCCTTCTTGTGATAGCGGCACACGCTGCACTAATTTTGTTAATGAGATCAGCCATATCTTCGATAGGTTCTTCATAGATAACGTTTTTTAGGTAGCCCCAAAGAAAATAATCTGGTGGTGTAATGTCCGGGGACCTCGCCGGCCACCTTACCGGTCCATTAGTACCAAACCATCTATTGGGATATTCTCGGTTCAAATACCTCGTTACTATTTGGGCATTATGTGCAGGCGCTCCATCCTGCTGTAGCCACATATTCATTCTAGTGTCAAGAGGCACTTCTTCTAATAGTTCCGGAAGTGTAGTTTGAAGAAATCTTAAATAGCGATCTGCATTTAAAGTTCCTTCGTAAAGGTAAGGTCCAATAAGGAATCCATTTAATATGCCG